AATATAAAATAAGAACAAAACTGGGAGCCAAACTGGACAAAATAAGTACCGCATGGATCCAGCTAATTAAAGAATGCCTGGTGCTTAAGCTCAGCACAATTGTCCTATATCTGAGGTCACCCAAATGTGACGGGAAACACATGAACAAATGGTCTACCGAGCCATTAACAGAAACGTCAGCGGAATGTTTGTACTGCAGTGACCGGCAACATTTTCCGTCAAACCATCATACCTACCGAATTTCTAACTAGTATTATGTTATCGAATTTCGCCAAACATTGTTGATCAGGAGTCATTTCATGCAACTGGATAAAAAAATATGTTTAAGTTGATATAGCCATAGGCGCAGGAATCTCACGAAAAGGGGAGGAGGGGGGGGGGGCGAAACTTCAATGTCACTTTGTGGGAACCCCGATACCCCTATGAAGAAATTCTTTGCAGTTTTGTGCTCATCTCACGTCCTTGCTGAACCATTTCATGCTCTTAGTTTTGTATCTAAATCGAAGATAAAGATTTTACTTTAGAGAATGGCTGAAAGTGGGGGCATCCCCTGCCCCGCTGTTCCTACGCCTATGATATAGCGCCGCACATCGGGCTGAAGTACACAAAGGGAGATGCGTGAATGAGTCTGCACAGATTGCACAACGTTCGTCAGTCCACAAGTCCTTCCAGTCAATATCCTACCCAAAACATCCAGGGCCTCTCATACCACAAACAGCACCGTACATATTTACATAACATGCAGACTGGAACGGTATTCATGAGGGCGAGAGGGGTATGGGGCTCAGTTGGGTGAGATCGACACGGGGTAAGAAGGGAGCTCACCGATCAGCTTGATCAGGTCCTGGATGTAGTCTTTCTGGCAGATCAGATGGTGGAAGTTCCTGCCGCAGTTCTTGACACAGGTCTCCAGCACCTGCCGAGGGCACGTGACAGTTTTACACCGCTTTTATTACGCGAGATTCTGTGTTTCCTGTTCTGAAAAGGGATCAGATAAGGCATCTCTTATGGGAGAGTAGTGATGTGAAAAAACGGCACGCAGCCTCACATAAACGTCGATTAAAAAACGTTAGAGAGACATGGAGCGTCAGAGACAAGGCGATTGAATCACAACAAAGTGACACAGGGCATCGCAAAAAAGTAACTAAAGCTGACGAGATCGCCCCATACGAAATATAGCGGTACAGATCAGCAAAGGTAGCCCGGCATAGGTGTAAGACAGAACCGTTGGTGTGATCACGTGACGGTTGCGTTTACGTGCGACTGAATAAGCCAGACATCACGTGACAGTTGTATAATACGATACGCCAAGACATATTACGCCCGCCACGCGGTTATGAGAAATCTCATCAATGACCATTGACCCCATCCATCCCAGCAAACTGACCGTCAGCGTGTACATGACTGCCGTGTAGTTTTTCCCAGAGAAATGGTGCAGCCGTTTCTTGATGGCTCGTGCGGCATCTTTGGCCGCTTCCTCCGAAGAGTTGATGATGTCGCAGATCTCCATATTCAGAGTCCAGTCCTCAGAGGCCAGTGATGGATCCGTGGCCTCCTCTGTTGGTAATACAATGTGATTAGAGTGAGTGAAGTTTCCCGATACTTTGAGTTGATCGGCGGTCACGTAAAACGATCAAATTTACGACGATTATTGATCAATTTAAATCAAAATCGATTCCGCAAGCGATACTTTTTTTCTAATGCTCGACGCTTCGGTGATCCGATCGAACACATCGAGGCACGGAGGGTTATAATGCCCCCTCCCCTGTAGTTAGGCTGCTGGTCGCGTAACGGTAGCGAAAGGCGGGAAGCAGTGTTCGAAACGTCGTCATAAATAATTGGAAAGGTTCGATACACTGCCACGTGCTTATTCTTTGTATTGAAAAATGGCTGTCGATCGTCATTCCGACACAAAAACGATCGAGAAATTATCGGGAGCTGGTGACTAGCTGTAAACTAGTAAAAGGACATTACATTGAGCTGGAAGACGATGACATATTCATGTGCATTGTTAAAATCACAAATAAACTCAAATTTCAGTAAGCAGACAGCAGAATATGACATGCACCAGCATTTAGTTTCCATTTCACAAACACAAAGAGGCTCAACTATCACATAATGAGCACAGCTATCACATGAACTTCCAAAAACACTTGCAAGAAAAACAAACATCTTTGCAGATCTCCTTACCTATTTTGTGTCCGACAGGAGTAGCCATTGGATTTCCTGCAAATAAATTGGCCATTGTGGCAGCCATGGTGTCAGTTAGATTTAACTAATAACCACCTTTCTGTGGTGCTTATTTGTGCTCTTGAAATATGATCACCTGTAAAGAAAAATCATGGGTAAAGAATAACAGCAAAAAATTACATGAAAATAAATATTTTTTACATTCTGAAACTGAAAGGGCATGTTCAGAAAAGTACCTATATGAAATTGAGTCAATGCCTAAATTGAGCTTAGGATTGAACCCTCTCATTTCTTTTATTTATCATTCCCCTCCATAGTCCATCCTTTCCCTCACTCAGATCAGTAGGCGGAACTATGGTCAAGCGTACCCATTTTCGGGAACGCATTTTCGTTCCCATGTTTGGGAACGATAAACCCAAATATGGGAACGCCATGTAGGCATTATTTAAAACAAGAAAAAGAACTGTTAAATGACGTCCAAAAAATATAAAACGATCGTGAACCGCCTGATAGTTGTCTCAATATTGTTGGGAAAGAGTTTGATATTGTAAGGCCCATCGTAGTTTCAAATCGTTCCCCTATTTCTAAAGCAGTCCATCACCCGGGCCGCGAGCCCAAATTTGGGAACGCTGTCGTACACTGGCGCTGCAAGCGTTCCTTATTATGGGAACGGCGTACCCAAAATTGGGAACGATTTCACCGACGCCTTTCAGGGGCTCTTTTCATTAACAAGCATCACGTCCAACGCCGCAAATTATTGTTAACGCAACAATCATCAGATGACCTTTCCGGCAAGACCGTTGCATGTTTCGCCCGGTCTTCTGCGCTTTTATTCCCGTCGATCTCGCAGCGGGCACGCCCCCCTCTGCAGGATTACGTAATCCACAACGCTCAGCGATGTTCAACAAGGTCTTCCATACCTATATCCACCGTCCGCGCCGAGGGTGGAGACATGTCAAGCACCTGTCTGCTAATCACCGAGAGTTGACGAGCACAAGAAGTATCCAAAAATGGGAACGCTGAATATGTTACACCCTCAAAACACCTAGTCCCAATGAAAATCTAGTTTTTTCCTTTCTTAATGAGTGTAAGTGGCAAAAGGCCTGGTAGGATGGGCACGACGTATGATCGAAATCAGCATAAAAATTATAAATAAGCCACACAGAGCGACCTATATCAGAGAAATTCCCCCAACCGATCATGCTTAGAAACGCCGAAGACAAAAACCACGCTCATGACACTGCTTATAAAACAACGCTAAACAGCTAGCATCCAAATAAAATATGTCTTTCAGGGCTGATAAAATACAGCTGAATGATTTTAAACCACTGAAACTGAGTTTACAACAGTAGTTCGGTAAAATCACTGACGTTCCACGCGGTCGATCGCCCCGACACCAAATGTCAACAATATTACCTCGGGACTGTCCGCGTGTTCGCTTGCATATGTCATCATCTGGTGTCGCTAGAATGAAACTTCATAACCAGGCGAAAATTATTATACTTGACCTCAAAATGTAAAAAATGCTTCATTTTCCTTAAACTTGCATGTTAAATGTCGTATAACCCATATTTCCACCATTCTGTCATTTTTAAAAAATCATTAAAAATATCATTCCACGGTCAATTTCCTTGTTCCACGGTCAGATTAAAGATAACTTTATGGAGATTTAGTAGATACTTAAATCAGCGTGCACTTTTTTGAGACGTGATGCACTTTTGAGTTTTAGTGGGCGAACGGCCGAAAAATTGCCTTCCGTTCTCATAAATGGGAACGCCCGTTCCCATATTTGGGAACTCTGTTCCCAAAAATGGGAACGTTCCTATATTTGGGTACTCATGACCATAGTTCCGCCTACTGAGATGAAGATCAGAAATCAGTATTCAGTGACCCCGGATGAACTTTTATGGTCAGCCACTTATAAGGCAACTTGTCTCATGACAGAACACCAAAGTTACAGTGAATTCAGGGCTATTGTTAATAAAAAAAATGGTGTATACATTCCTTTATCTTTATTTCTTAACCTTTGTTGCAGACCTCAAAACATCATCAAGCTTCAAATAAAAAGTTCAACTCGTTCAGGTAGCATTTATGATGCTCTCCGGCCACTTTAAACTCGAAGACACATCCCTGTTGAGCATTAAATAGGTACATACTGGTATACTGGGATATTGGGAAGAATTTAGGATCAGAAGAACATGTCGTTTTCCCACTCATTATGTACCTACTGAGTTATCATACGTCATAGGCAAAACACTTGCCAAAATTTTCAGCTTGTACAGTAAATGGACAGTGGTGAATTTACTTTAATGACTGATTTGCTAATTGCTGATTTAAGAAGAAATTCATTATTGAATATTTAGCTTCAGATATAGCTTTTAAATAAAACACCACCGTTTCATCTGCAACAGCCAAGTGCCAACAAATCAACAGCTTTATCGTATCAAACGGTGCAACTTTTAGCAAGATGACATAAGGCAAATTTCCAAGACAAATACTAAAAATCATAGGGCGAAAGATCACACCACACCCAAGAACTAACTTTACGCAATATTTTACGCACTAACGCGCACTCACTGGTGTGTAAACACAGCGGCTACTACTCACGGAATTACAGAACCGTGCTCAGTTATTTAGTCAATTCGTGCAAATCCTGCTTGTTCAGCTAAAGCTGCGATAGTGATTGGGTGCTATTACCACTTACTGCTAATGGCTTTTAAAAGAACAGGATGATTTGTATGGCGCAGTTGCGACAAAATTCGTAATTCTTTTAGTCTGTTGTAGAGAGAATAGCAACAGCAATTTGTGACGTCAAACAAGTTGAACCACTCGTTTCGGAGCGTGTCATTCTTTTTGAAAACTGTGTTGCAATTTCACCTTTTAATTTTACATTCGCATAGCAAAAAATATTTTTTCCAGTAGGGAAGAAAGTTGAATCGACGTGTTTGGATACTTGTTTTCTGAAAATCTGAATAGCTAGGATTAACTGATGACCTCATATTTAAATCATGCTCATTGATGTGTCTACACTTCTGCTTATATGCCAGTTCTTTCATGAGTTTCCCCCTTGCTCTTTTCGTGTGTGTTACTTTGACGGAGGCGTGAGGGTGAATCAAAACTTGCAAGACGCTTCGGTTTTTTAGGTTTCAATACAATTTCGAGGTTGTTCGTGTTGCTGGCTGCAAGATGCATTCCAGACGTTCAGGGAGCCCAAATATGGACCCGCTTCAAGCCATGAGGCGGATGGACTTCCCTTACTGTGTCCATGAAGCTCTGAAAAAGCTTGGTCAGTAACTAGGTACCTACCTATAAATTCAATTTTTGTGTTAACGATTCATGTCAGTCCCCCAGTCACACCCCAACCCCATTGCTCAGACTTTAAAGCATGGCGATCTCATTGATCTTGTTGGCGATCCTGCTGGTGCTAAGACACTCGGTGTCAGTGTTGTGCAGTTTTTCTCCTAGAGCGGCAAGGATTTTGTTTTCGAGTTGTTACTGTTAGTCTTAAACCTTCGATCTAGATAATATGTTTGACATTGGAACAGAGTGTTGTATCTCGTAAGTCTGAAGTCTGAAGTCAGAACATTTCAAAAGTACGTTTTTAACTATGCTTATAAATGTACGGTACAGGTGCGGTCTTGTGACGGAGTAACTATATCGTGACTGACTCAGCCTCTTCTGTCCTTTTACAGACCAGATAGTACACCAGGAACCAACACGACTGCGACCCATTCAGCCGTTCGTACAGCTCCTTATCAACGAGTTCATCATCTTTGACGGCACCGGTAACAGCAAGTTCAGGAGGGTGAGTATGCTTGATGTTGAGTTTACATTTCAAACAATGAGTTAACCCTCGCTCGTTTTGGTGTTTTTTCCAGCCGCGAGCGTATAAGGAGGGGGGGGGGGGGGTCCGTTGGACACCCCCTTGCAGTTTCGCCCCTGATCGAGCTAGAGCTTTGTGGAAGAAACGAACGTGTTGCCCGTAATGAGAGGAAGCCGATGATACCCAATTGTAAGGTCCTAGGTCATTGGTTGACCTTCCAGGTCAGGTTAATGACACAAAGGTCGGGAAAATCGGGACATGTTAGAACGACGTAAAGTGTGGCTGCCATGGGGTTTTCGGGGTGCTGATCACGAATATCATGTTAGTTTTGATCACAGATATGTCTTCATTCATTTAGGCTAGGTCGGGTCACTGGTCAGGCCAGGTCAGGTCAACCAGTAGGGGTCCTGCCGGGTATTCTTAGTAGGTGTCAACCACCTCTGACAGCTTCGTAACATGTTACGAAAGCACCAAACCTACTTCGTAAATGTTCATATGGTTGCTATATTCAAATGCAGCTCCAAAAACTAGCCTAGAAACATATAAAACTCGAAAAAAGTGAACGAGGTTATCAAAGGTCAATGACATGACCTGACCCTTAAGTGACCTTGACATCCACCCTTATGCATGGGGGCAACACGATACCACATGTTTGAACGCTTGAAACCACGAAAAGACTGCAAACGCGCGGCTAATGCGAGCCGACATAGTGCCGAATCGCGATTCCGGCCAAATATGGTCTCGAAAAGTAGGTCACAGGTCAAGGGTCATTTAGGCAAACTGACATAAAGGTCAGTTTAGTTCAGGGTCATAAAATTTTCAGGGTACCTAGGTGAAAAATTGATAAACGCGAGGGTACTGAAAGTTTGGTCGCGATCGGCCGCTTTTTGGGCGAGTTATTCGCGAAAAACCGAGCGGGGGGGGGGTCGTTCGACTCCCCCCCCCCCCTATACGGGCGAGAGTTAATTCACTATGTCATCAGGGTTGTTTCCTGGTGTCGATTTTGAGTTTTATGAAAATATAGCATCATCATAGTGACTCTCATAAATGCAGTAATGCTCACTGTGTGAAGAAAGGTGTGTCTAAGAGCTTATGGTGCCCATTGCGCTGGTTCATACTGTTTACCCTTCGTCTCTATTTGCTGCAGAACCTTAACAACGTACAGAACCTACAGCTTCTTGAGGTTCTGGGCGACTACTTCAGCCTGCCAAACTCGGAAGCAGCGCGCGTCATGGTACGCTTTTTACGGTTTTTACGTATCGTAGAACTCTTGAGGCCATACTAGTTACGTGGAAGGTACATTCTAACGTGTGTGCTTGCTTTATCACGGACATTTTAAAGTCAAAAAATGAAAATAAATTTACGCACTCTCTTTGACAGGCTTCCTGATTGTGGAAGTTTACCCACATCGCCGTTTCACGATAACCGAGCGCCGTCCCTTCCGCAGACATCCATGGCTCAATGCCATCCTTCCGCCTCTCTTGACAACCCCGCGCCGTCTTACTTACCAACTCCCTTACCCTATCAGTAACCCGCTACGTCCCTCTTCCAGGCGTTCATGGTGCTCTTCCAGCCGGTGCCGGGACCCGAGGGGGCCGCCGGACGGCGCGTGTCGCTGCTGTGTCGACTTGTGTCGCTGGCTGTGTCCACTCGTAATAGCCAGGTGCTCTCCTGTGCCGGCGCCTGGCTACTGGTGAGTCGAATACAGTTCCATGGATAATTGACTAATTTCCAATAATTGACAGTGGAAGCCGGGACGGCACTCAGTGTATTTTGGGGCGGCCCTGTTTGTTAAACGTATTTAAACGTATGATACACGTATTTGTTGAGAAAATGCGATTATTATTTATTTATGAAGTTAGCCCGTAATGTATATGGCTATTTTCTTTGTCATGATTATAACTAAGGAAGTCTATACCAAGTGGATCGTAACATAACATCAGTTTAGCTCACGGATTGTTTGTTCTCTTGAAATCGCTAGACCCCCTTCGACCACCGCAATCACTGACATCTCATCCCCTTTCTCTCTACCGAGCAGCAGCAGGGCTGCACATCGGCCGCCGCACTGCGGCTGGCCGAGTCACTCCTGGAGGACCACCTCCTGCCCCTACCCCCTCCTCCCTCCAGCTCCGGAGAGGAGACACCCGACCCCCCGGCGGCTGACAGTCTGCCGGAGCTGGCGCCCCTGTTCACTGCGGGGCTGCTGACGGCGCTGACACATCTCTATAGGGATCTGCGCAGCCGCCCGCCGCCGCCGGAGCTTATCTCGCAGGTATGGGGTGGATATGGATGAATGAGAAAGGTAGAATGCTATAGCAGTGAGGGATGGTATTGTGTGGCAGTCATGATGGAGGTGTTGTGATGCATTTTTAGAGTTTGCTTATGTGATGTTCATATTGTAATGCTCCCTTTGCGTGTTTCGTAGCACTAGGTGGAGGCTATTATTGGGCATTACATAGCAATGAATTGTAAACCGCGTTTCTACCAGAAACCGCATATGAAAAATTAGCGATATCGTGACCGTTTATTACGACGTTCTACGCATATTTTGCGCCCACCTTCTTACCTGCATTTTCATCCCATCTATACCAATTACCACGTATCGACACTCACCCACCCCCTTTCTCTCTCCCCACAGGTGCTCCGCTGGCTGGAATCGAGCCCCTCCCTGCCGCTGGTTCCTCTCTCCGGGACCGGCCCCGTGCCTCTGCCCAGCTCGGCGCCCCCGCCGGCCGCCGCCTGCCCGGCTGCTGGACTGATGACGTGGTCGGTGCTGTCGGCTGCCGTGGGACCGTCCCAGACGGTGAAAGGAGCCGATCAGATGGCGAGACTGCACCTGCTGCTACTCACGTGTCTCCTGGTGGGTGACGGGGTTCTGGTGTAGGGTAGGGGTAGGGGTGGGGTAGGGTAGGGTAGGGGTAGGGTAGGGTAGGGTAGGGTAGGGTATGGTAGGGTATGGTAGTGTAGGGTAGGGTAGGGTAGGGTAGGGTAGGGTAGGGTAGGTTAGGGTAGTGTAAGGGTAGGGTATGGTAGGGTAGTGTAGTGTAGGGTAGGGTAGGGTTGAATTGAGTAACATCCTAACTTACAAAGGGCTCGAACAACTCGCATGCATCACCATCATGCTTTACAGTTCAATTAAAAGCAGTTACCCAGTTCTACACAAATAATACCAATAAAAATGCAAGTTTCTACACCCAAACTAATGCATCCGTTAATCATGCATATCAAAACATACAGTTATCGCGTAAACCTGTATTCTAGTCGTAAATAAAAACCATATTTCGTGAACGTACTTTATCTAAAACACATGATTTTTCCACGTCTATGACAGCCTTACCGCTCATTTAACGCTCCCGGTCTTCTCCCTCCACCCTCAGGAAGTGCCCCGGCTGCGACCTCAGTCGGGCGGCCGTCCGGCCCTGCTCACCCACGGCCAGCTAACGCGACTGGTCACTGCGCTAGAGTCGGCGGGTCTGGGGGCCGACCAGCCACCGGCACCCCATCATCAGCTGGCGCTGGACAGGATGGCACAGCTGTTCCAGGTGGCGCTGGCCGTGGAGGGACTCGGACATAATAAACGTGAGTCTATTTTATAAATGGAAGTGACTGGAGGCTACCTCGTTCGTATTGAACAAGTTTTTGGGACAGTTCAGGGAATCGTGTGAATTTTAATCATTAACGACATATCCAATCCATGGTGTCTGTTTTGTGTGCATGTGAATGCTTTTCTAGGACCGAACATTTCTTGAGCGTGAAGTGTTAGTTGATATTGATCTTAGGGCAGTTTAGCTGAACTATTTGCATTGTAGTGATCTCCTCTTTGGCGTGCGCTACTCTTCCTTACGATACGGCTCTATGTCTATATATTCCAGGCGAGAGTCTACAGCAGCTAAGTCGGCTTCGGCAAACGCCTCTCATCCGTATCGTGCTACAGCACAATAGCTAACCAAAGCGCCCTCCCGCCCAACGGACCAGCCGACCAGCCACAACTCATCCACTTGGATACTACGGTGGGTCCGCCTTACGGCCTTATCCCACCCGGGTCCCTGGTGGCACCCATTGGGTCAAAAAAGTGTGATCGGTGAAGTGCGTTTAATTTGGTCAGAGTGTAACTACTATGCTGTGGCCAGGAGCGAGGCTGGTTTCTTGCTGGAATGAGCCGGCTAGCCAGTGTCTTCTATTTCCCATAGCGATACTAGGTTCTGGCCTGGTCGAGCCTGATCAGGCCTGAGGGTCTGTTTAGGTTAGAAACAGACCGCCGCCGATGAAGAAAGGCTGAGGCGTTTGTTTAGAACGGTGATCAAGCATGCGAGCTCTGAAGCGTTCATAATGAAAGTGTCTTATGTTATGTGTTCAGCTAAAGTGTCCATATTTTGCCATTGACTTTGTCCAATCAATACATCATGATGCATTGTATCTAATCTATTGGAAAATGATCTTGCCCTTTTTATAGATTGATTGTTTTTAATGCTTAACCCTCCCATTCTCGATTATTTTGAAGTAATTATTCAATGAAGGCAATCGGAATTTCACCGTTCGGATAAAGTTACCTTTGCCGGAAACTTCATCCGAATGCAAAGCATCGTCTTAATCGACATCCCTCCATAAGAATAAAAGCGAGAAGCTTATCTAGCAAAAATGGAAAGCAAAACTAATAGATAAATTGCCTGTGCTCAGCGGTGGCCCCTAGGGGCCTACTCAAATTTTATCCGCTCACTAACTGTCTGAGGGTAAGGAGCACTGGATAGTGTATTGATAACGGGAGTATCGGCTGACGGTTCAAGAAACGGTCCATAGATGAAAATGTTTAGTGTTTCATTGAAATGCACAGCAATATTTGACACTAAGGCCACGGCAAACACTACTATTTAAAAAACATGATTCTATATGGTAATATATTATAATCATATGATTAACCCACTAGATGACCTTCCCTATCAGCGCGTTTCCTTGTCGATATCGTCCCCGGCGCACAAAGCCTGTCAAAAGTCAACTGTCCGTCCCGTCCTTTCCCAAATGCCCCTCCCCACGTCTCGCAGGATTAACTGGTGCCCTCATCACTATATGTACAGCACCATAATAATCGTATCTGGTGTGGAATTAACGGAATATGGTCGATGAGCTTCCTTGAAATATCAACGCAGCCTGATTAAATCCATCTTCCTCTGAAGGTCGTAGACTGAACTTAGCGGTCCTTCAACAAAGACATCAATTCAGTCGAGCAGCGATGGTCATCCCCTGAGAAACCTGACCGGAAAAATATGTAATGCGTCATTATGTTAGTATCAGTAGATCTCAGCTCATATACTTACCTCGTGCATACTTACCACGCTTAACTGTAGATAGAAATAAGTAACGTCTTCCGGTCGTATTTATCAAGCGCTATCATAAAGATTGCTATGCTTAGGTGTATGTCAGGGTGTCATCTTCCTTGTAAGAGGTTACTTTGTGATCCAGGGGATCCGAGGCTTTGATGCGATCCACTGATAGCGGGGCCGTCAAAAGGCCACCTGTTGTTGTTGACAGCTTATATTTATAAGGGGCTAGGGTACCCGCGGGGTTATCAGCTACTGGCATCAACTCAGCTGAAGTTACTAAACACGGGCCAATTCGTGTAGCTGTGTTTATAACGCTCGCACCTGTAATATTTTAATGGATGTTGATGAATTCCCAGAGTTATATTTGGGGGTAGGTGGGTATCCGCCCCCTCTCGCCCTTGTGAAGTTGGCTCAGACTCTTGGCTTGGTCCGTGCGCGGTAGTCCTCTCCGACCGAGAATGGCTGATGCCAGCCCTGTTGTGCTTTTTTCGTGATAGCTCGGAATGCGTCAATCGTCAGAAAGGGAAAGCTTTATCGTATAAGCGAGACGTATTCGAGAGCTTGCTATTTTCTTTAAGCTTCATCAGCCTGTGTGATGTTCCCTGGGACTAAGAGCGCAGTATCAAATCAGGAGTACATTTGTAACCTTGCAAAGGTTTAGGTTTTCATATCACTTATGTGACCTGCCATGAAAAATAAGTGAGACGCCAAGGGGTTTGGTTTAAATTCCCAAATTTAGGTTGAAATGAGCCTATCAACAGTTGGGATTCAGCCGCACCTTTTTGCGCGTATTTATTTTTTAACCAATTCGCGCAGCATCATATTCTCTTTTTTTAAATCATCATTTGACGCGGATTGACATAAAAAATGCGAGATCATCTAAGTCGTTACTCTGCGACGGCTATTTGTGCGACTGAAAAACGGTCTTTGGGTCGGTGACCTGACCTCCTAGGTCACCGGCCGACCTGTGGCTTTAAACTTGGACCTGTGCTCCGAAGACCAGAAATGGATTTATTAGCAAATGTGGGACTAAAGGAAAGAATTGGGCCTGCGAGTCTCTTTGAAATGGGGCTGGACTTTCTCCGCTCATCTGGGGGACCCGGACGCTCAGAATAGCTTACATTCATATCTCAGGTCGGGCATATTTCTAGTCTTGAAATCATTGCCGGATCCAGCAGGACGTTTTTTTTTGGGGGGGGGGGCAAATGGCCGAAATGGCTCCTTTCTTTCCATGCACCGCCCTAGGCGTAATGTTAAAACTCGGGTCTTTTAGAGGGGGGGCCAAACGGGCTTTGGGGGCCATGGCCCTTAATCCACCCTGGATCCGCCGTGTCTGAAAAGGCTTGTGTCGGTCCGTTCAAGGGCCTGCCACTCGCCGACCTTCGGTGTTTGAGTCCTTCAAGTTCAACTGAAAGGGCGTGTGCCCTTTCAGACCGTTTCGATGGTGTCTAAAAATATGCATAAAGCAACCTCATGCTGATAATGACGTACGTACTTTTACCAACATTTTAGTCCGAAAGCAACGTTGGCACAAGACGTAGCCATTGGCATCTTACGCGGTAACATTTGGTGACGGTGTTATTGGCAGCCATTGCCATCGCTTATCCCCGTTTGCGAGGCTATACCCAACGCCAGACCCATAATCTCTAACCACTGCAACGGTCGCCGGATTAGGCCGCCATTGGATCGTCACCTCTGCGTCAGCCTCCCCACACCTATATAGGCCGGCGCGGCGACAGCGCGGGTCTGCTTTAGCGGCGCGACTGGCGGTAGGAGGCCGTGTCTTTACCGTGTCCCCTCCGCTGGCGGAGTGAGACCATACGGGAACACGATGTGGCCGGTGAGATACGGGGTGGGAGAGCATTGGGTGGAGGATCAAGGTTGAGCTACAGGGTGTAACGAAATTATCCGGACATCTTTCTTCGCGCTGTAATTAAGAAGCAAGACATTCTGATATTTTCCCTTTTGAATTATTATATAGCCACCTTTCATAAGAGCGCAGGTACACATTTTTGGAGCATTCCAGCCACTGGATTTTCCAGCACAGTGGGTTTCATATAGAGTAGCGCCTTACTAACCTGTGCCCGCAGTTGGGCGGCGCTGGTGGCGGGTGTCCCCTCATTCATCTCCTGATGGACAATAGTCCATAATATATCGACGGAATTGCATGGGAACTATTTCCAAGCCATAGCCCTTTAGCCCAGAAGAACAAAAAGGTCCTCTCGGCATCACTTCTCATTCTGCTAGGGACTTGAAGGTGGTGCGCCGCCCCGTATGAAGACTGCGCGGCTTGAATCAGGTATCGGTACACGTTCAGAAACCGAGCCATCCTGTGCCGTCTGGTTGAGTGGCTCCAACCAATCGCTAGCCAGGATGTTGCGCCGGTAATACTCGTCACTGATAGTGGTTTTCTGTGTCGTCATGAGCAGCTTGAATATTACACAGCAGCTGAACATGCTCCAGGTCTGGATTTTGGCCGGATGTTTGACGCCGGCGACGGCCGGCACATTCGAGCTGCTGGCAGCCCACACATAGCCGATTTGACGGTTCAACGGGTATCGCAGCTCGAACAGCTTCCCATCCGACCAGGTCACCTCATTCGTGTCTTCCTTCGACCAGTGGACACGCCCTGGCCTGAAGCCAAAGGTGGTGGACTGGTTGTTTTCCCGTCAATTTCATTGTCTTTTCCAGTTTGAAGGGCAGTAAAACCAAGCTAAAGGGCGGGTAACGGTGAATCATGATGTGGGACCTCTTATTATCTACCTTGGTAAGAATTCGAGTCAGTATGCGGATTAATTGGTGCCGTTTCCTTGTCGCTATCTTGACAGCTCTCCTCACCACTTGGCAAAGGGCGCCTTTTGCGATCGAGGCCGGGCTGAGTCTGCCACCAAGTCCCAGCTTATTACGCCTCAGGCAGATGTGCTACTGGCTGCTGCTGATGTCCAGCTGCTGACAGACCAGCTTCTGGCTCATGCCACCATGCCACCAACACGTAGCCTTACTACGAAACGAGAGACTGTACTTCTTTCTCTCCACTGCCTTAAACGAAAACTATCAAATGAACCCGTCGGCGACTCGACTCTTACTCAGAGTAAGAGTCATTTCGCAAGGTCAGGTCACTGCTGAGTTGAGAGCAGATACCAGAGGTATGCATTCATCCAATTTTCCAGCTTCTGACATTAAAAGAGAAACTGTGCGAGCAGATATGGCAAAAAAATAGATGTCCGGATAATTTCGTTACACCCTGTAGTCTGTTGATTTGGTCTATTTTCGTTGTTTTTGGTTGTCTCTCATCGTATGTTGAATGCTTGATTGACGTCTGCGAGGGGACTTGAAAAAAAAACTTTGCTTTGTTCGGTGTCATGCTTACTGATAAGAATTTTGATTTCTCGGGCTGATCAAGCTATTCCATGTTCTGCTCTTTGGCCGTAGCAGTAGCTTGTCTTTTAGGTCGTAATAGCTAAATGAGGGGAGTCCTAACTCCTGATAAGATTGAGATACAGTACACATAGCGACCAGTACTCTGTAGACGGTGAGTCGTCAGCTAATTTACCGCTCTCAACAGGTACCACTTCTTCTGCTGGTGGCGACGGTGGTCCGGGCTCTCCCCACGCCGGCCCCTCTGCTTCCCAACCCACACCCCATCCTCTATTTCTCCCTGTCTGACTTGGAAACAGCTCCCCTAATTCGCCCTGTCCGCGACTCACCGGTTCCCATAACTACCTCCCACGGCAATGATCTGACCGATCCCAACACCTACCTGCAGGACTTGGTTCATGTGGAGCCACGTAAGACAAAACCCGTAGAGCCAAGTCCTCCGTCATTTAAACCATACTTATTCAACCCTTATCATTTCAATTTTATTCATAACGACCATTTCCATTTCAGTCCCTACCAATTCAATCCTTACCAGTTTAATCCATTCGTGCCTGTTTCGTTTCACAATCCATTTTTCTTCCCGGCTTCGTCTCCATCTACCCCACCAGCCTTCCCCGGTTTTAATCCCTTCCTGTTGCCTCAATTTCTACCGCCACCTCCCTCTTCGCTGTCACCTCCCTCGTCGAGACTGGCATTACCACCCGCACCACCGGCACCAACACCGGCACCTACACCGGCACCTACACCAGCACAAGCACCGTCAACAGCACCGTCAACTCTGCCGGCCTCCGTCCCTCGGGTAGAGCCGAAATTCCCGAAGAAGAAGAAGGCCGGTTTCGGTCCGGAGAAGTTCCAGCTGTTGAAGTCAGCTAAACTGCAGCTCCGACCCGAGCCGAAAGCTCCTCTTCTGTCCAAGGAGGATTTGGAGTTGATACGGCTGCTGAAAATTGAGTGTGCCACTGGAAACTCTGCGTACTGTGTGTGACGTCACGATAAGGTGAATGACGTCAGACATACTGTCAAGATTGAGACGAGGTCAAGCGGAGGTTTTGCTGTGCCGCCGCTCAACATGATGTAATATAAACGATCGGTCTGGCGTCCATCAATATGCAAATCACAATGAATGAAGGCCACGGCTCCTCCGACTGGATGGGAGTGGGAGGAGATGGGGCGGGGGGGGGGTAATGATAGACGTGAGGAAGCTATATATCTAACAGCGTCGGTCTAAAAGCTTTATGGTGAATGAATATGATTGAGCAAAAGTAAACATGTTTCAACTTCACTTTCACCGCTCACCTAGAAATAAGCAAGTCAATAAAAGATCGTGATCAAAACTGTGTGTAGCAGACATGGGCACGGATCCCAGACGACCAAACACGAAAATCAATATGACCACTAGATTAGTGGTCTTTAAGCGTGGAATTATGGTGGAAAACATGGCTTATAGATGCCTCTCAACGAACCAACCATTTTGCATTCCCTCAGAGTTTACAGTTTTGAGAAAATCCCTCAAGATCCATCTCGGATCCATGATCACGAATCATGGATCCGAGATGGATCTTGAGGGATTTCCCAAAACTGTTAACTTTGAAGGAGTGCAAAACAGTTGGTTCATTGAGAGGCTTTTATTAGCCATGTTTTCCACCATGATTTCATGCTTGAAGACCGTTTATGTAATGGCCATCTCGATTTCCGTGAATGGTTGCCTGGGATCCGTGCCCATGTCTGGTGTGTAGGTGCATCGCCGTTATTAGTGTTCTAGTCAATACAAACAGTGTTGTGAATGATGGTGTGTCTGTGATCGTGCCTCGTCTTTCAATTAAATAGTGCAGTTTGTTTCACGAGCCTTTCGTCCCCTACCCTTCGACCTAACGAGATGATCTGCGCACCAATTCACCTTCACATGCTGGTGAGGGCTCGTCTCCTGCGCTTTTGCGACTCATTTTTGCCGAAATTTTACGTGCGCATCACCGTCTCAACTCTCATCTACAAGTTTCGTGGTGCGATCTATCGGATAACCCACTCAGCAATCCACTCACTGTTGACGCATCAGGAAAAGATAACAAAATACCGCTCTGGGAAAACCATCAACTTCTACCCAGTTGCGTGCTGGTGGTCCATCCATGCCCGGATTAGTGATCGTCTTAGCAATAGCTTTTTCCGCCTGTCTGTCAGTCTGCGGGTCTGCCGTCAGTTGACAGTTTCCGTATCCGTTGCCATTGGTCGATCCAATAGTCCGCTTAGCCGTCTTTTTTCGGCCTGGCGCCTCGCTAAACGCGGAAAAACTCACGAGAGGATCAAAGCTGTTGGCTATCAAGAGGCTTGTACGCGGCCCGCCGTCAGCTTGAATAATGAAGGGGGGTTTTATTTATCGAGACTCCATGATTATATCGTGACGGATTGCCTACGGGCTCGAAGAAAACGAAGAAAACTGCATGCCTGCAACGGATACGACTGCTTTGAACACCATGATGTTGCACTTCGTTTTCTGATGGCCTACATTGGCTGCCCGGACATTTTTAGAGACATTTCGCATAGGAACCTGACCGTTCCCAAATATCGAGTCCGCAGCTAACTTCATGAATAAAAGACTGATCGTTTCCGCACATCGTTGCTATTGATGACAATGACATAAACAACAAGCCACAAAACGAGTACAAAACAATAAGTAGGTACCCAGGATGCCCCAGTGAGTCTTTCAACGACAACGACGCCGACGACTACTGGCCTACTGCGGCGGCTGGCCTTCCGTCGGCGCCGTCGAGCCCTGGGTTCGTCTCCTGAACGGTCGGTGACGCCTCTGCGGGGCGGGAGCGCTCTCCGGTGCCGGCCGTACCTCAGACTCTGACGTGCCCAGTGCATCCTCCACCTCATCCAAGTCAAACGTCACCGTGCCTCTGGGATGCGCCTGTCGCGGGGCACCGATGCTAGGTAGACCTCCGCCGGCCGGCGCGGGCAAGCTGGGGAGGTGCTCCCGGGATGGCTCTCGTGGTGCGCTGACGTCCTCCACCGGAGCTACCTTGCGACTTGAGGTCTTCTTCAGCACTGAACGTGACGGACGAGCCTCGGGTACCTCCACGGGTTTAGTCTGCTCAGCCTCCACCGCTCCCTTTGTCTCTAAACTCGGCTCTTTGGCGGCGAGCTGCTTTGGCTCCGAGGGCGGAGCCAGGGACGGCAGAACGGATCCCCGACTGCGCACGGGGACCACCTCCTCTTTGGGCGGCCCTACGGTGCCACTCCCTTCTCCTGATACCACCCCGGAGCTGGCAGCATCGTCCACAACCGACCGGCTTCGCGCGACAGAGGAAGTGCTCGTACGCACATGGTCTTCCGACTTCTCTTCCGGTGGGAACGTCCTAGCCAGTGTGTCCATGGCGCTGGTCCTGAGAGCTATGGTTGGCAACTGGTTGATCGTCATGGCTCGCCTTCGTCGAGAGGTATCGTCGTGCGGATTGAAGGATCGTAGCACACTGCCGCGTCGATGATGACGGAACGACGCCGCGAGGAACGTGGCACTCTCATCCATGGTATCCTCGAGGGAATGACGACGCTCCTCCTCAGTTTCGGCACAGCTACACGCCTCGCTCATGTAGATTTCACTCTTGATGAGCGGCGGCATGGATGGTATGAACGGTAGTTTCCCGAACATCCACAATGCCAGACCGATCAACCAATCATACAACGCCACGAGCGACACACCCACCAGGAAACTCAAGTTGCCCAACATCTCCGCCACCATTTTACCAAAGTCGTACTGCTGCGCCTCGCCGAAGACAAGCAGCTCGTCTGAGATGAGGACCTCGAGGCGCGGATGGCGAGCCGTGCGCGCGCTGCCGTTCTGAGGAGTGTGAGCGCTCCCTGCCAGTCGGGGTGTGATGGTGAGCTGGTCGCAGTGACGGGGACATCGTTTGGTGCAGTTGGACGCCTCGGTCAGGTCGAACACGGTGCGAATCGTCTCGATCGTTGACTTCAGCTCTGAAACATGCCGGGAATCGTGGCGGTCAAATGCAAATAAATCGCACTCGTAACTTTGAGTCACACGAATATTGGTAACGTGCTGAAAGCACAAAAGCACATTTCATCATTGCACGACAGGCTCGGGATATAAGTTACCCTTTGTTTCATTATCAATTGTTAATTAAGTGATTATTATAATACAAATGCCACCCATCCAACTAAACATATACAATATCTGGAATAAGGATTATGAACTTAAAGTATGTGTGAGTTTACTGTTGCAAAATGTTTGTGGAGGAGTGCATGACAAAATAATAAATAATCCCTTACATGTCCGCTGCTTATTTAATATTAAATATCTTGGGACGTCGGACGTCATTCGGCTCGTTATATAATACTTAGCTCTTGTTCCCGGACTGGTCGGTCGATTCGTACCTTGTTTCGTGTGACAGAGGGGCAGGTCGACGGCATGTAGGTTGCTCCGGCGCTTCAGACGATCAATCCATGGAACTCGACATCGCATCTTGCCCTCACTTGGAGTGTCGTCACCCTCTGTCTTGTTTTCTGACGTCATCTTTTCGTATAGGCAGCTCTCGATGCATGTGACCTGAGACTCCTCTTCACCATAGTCCTTGCAGTGTTTTGTGTGTATCCGTTTTACCGCTAGAATATTCAGGCGATGTCAGGTAATCGACAATGCCCTATGCTTCTGGACTAAATAACATGCGGTGGAATAATGAGCACAATTATGAAACGTGTCATGAAATGTGCAAGGAGGGATATTCACTAAGTGCTCACTAGCATATCAAACAGTTAGGTATGCACAAACCCAGCGTAGAGTCACGTCTTCCGAAACGTCCTTAGTTAACCCAGTGCGAAACGGCCACACCCTTTATGTTTGTAAAACATGAATGCATAGTTATTCAGGCCATCAAAGTGTAAGCAACAAAATGGGAAAGGTCACGTAACTTCAACTGAGTACGTTTTCCTTACCGGACACATGCACCAACGTGTTCTCATCAGCTGCCACCCGGTAGGGCACGATGACGCTGGCGGCCGGCACGTCGGTGAACTGGTTGTAGGCGGTGATGTAGACGGTGATGTACATGTCGGATGTCTCCAGACAGGGCGACTTGCCGATCAGCGTCTTCTCGGGCTCCTTGGGACAGCTCTTTCTGCAGACGAGAGATTAATTGTACAGACTAATTTTTAATGACGTAACAGGAAGGTTACGATCCAGTGGCGAGGAAGAAATCAAATATTTTAGTTAATCTTCGACTTATGAATGCCTTCTCAGATTCGCGAGCAACATGTTGTAGACTTTTGCTTAGTGACTAATTTTTATCCGAATTTTCAACGACTGCTTGTGGATAAAGAAAAATGCACTCGCACTGACACGCTAATGGATGTACTTCTTTTTTCGTCAGTAACTACCCGACTCGAGGCATCCAGCAAGCGTACTTACCGAAATTGGTAGGTTATTTTGGATCGCTGGTAGCCTTGGTTCTCGTTGTGCCTAAACAAATGACGGAAGCAGTTCGGCGCCATGCGCGTGTCAATCAGGCTTTCCTCCAGGGTCTGCGTGGGTCCCGCGATATCCTGCATTGACTTCCGTAATAGATCCTCATCGATGTAACGTTTTAGATTCACACCAACGTAATTCAGCATTTGCTCGATGGTCATGTTGTCGTAGGGTAACACCCAGGCTTGGTCGAGGAGCCCGGGATACTCCTCGAGAAGCATTTCTTCGAGAGTTCCGAAGTATTTGTCTAGGAACCGTTTGATCATTGTGCCGTCTTCAAGTGCTAAGTACAATGGCATGAAAAATGGCCGTCTTACTTGGCACCTTCCGAAATTTGCCATCTTAGATATGAGTAGAGGAAGAGGATCGGTAGGCTTGAACTCCCTCTCATGCTCAAGGCACTTGAGAATGCCATCTTTTAACGCTCTAGTAAAAGCATGTGGGTATTCTTTCCGTAGCTGAACTTCCAGGTCGTCCATGAAAGGTGTTATTAAATCGTCATATAGCAGCTTGTTGAAGAATTTCGGCAAACTCTCGCCGAAATGTGTCATCCTCAAGCCGTAGACTCTGGGCATCGGGCAAAGTACTATCTCCAAATTCTCTCTTGATATCGAGTTTGTTTGTGCATACACCTGAAAATAAAAGTGTCATCAAAGGTCTTGAATTAAACATAATTTAAGCATACATATACCATTGCAAATAATGCGGTAGAGAACGGTAATATATAATACTGAACGAGGCCGGTGTAAATAAATTTTCAAGACCAAGGTCCTTACTGAATTTTTGAACGAGGCCGAAGGCCGAGTTCAAAAATCAGTAAGGACTGAGGTCTTGAAAATTTATCACCGGCCGAGTTTGGTATGTATTTTACTGTATGCCAACGATAAAATAATTGTCTAGACCGAAGCTCTTAGCCGTTTTTTGAACGAGGACATCCCAAAATGTTGACTTGGTAATTCGTTTTTGACCGTGGTCACTTTTCTTACACCAGTTATTACCACACCCCTCAGGCTAATGTATTTGAATAGGCCAGGCATACAGTAAAGAAAATGGTTTGCACCATTTCGCAGATAAAGATTAACCCTCGCCCGCACATGGGGGGGTGGTGGTTGCCACCCCCCCCCCCCAGGCAGTCTTTCTGCTCTGCACTCAACATTTTTAGAGCTAGAAGGCTGATTTTTCGTATAGCTGCTCGTCTATCCTTTCTTGATGTCCACTGAAAGTTTCAAGTTTCTGTGATTTTTGGTTTCGGAGATATGACCTTGTTTGTCAGGTCATGTCATGACCCAAATGGCCAATTCTCAACATCTTGCGTTTGCCATGGGCCTTGTGAGCTTTTGACACCCTGATTTCGGCCTTTTTTGCCAGTCTTACCTCCCACCTATCATGGAACATGTTGTTCGACGATGTACAGGGGTCAAGGTCAGGGTCAAGGTCAACCTAGGTCATCTAAGATAATTGCGTTTTAGGCAAGCTGAATTTACTTTTTGTGAAGTTTTTTGACTGCATTTTTGGTAAAAGCTTCTCAGATCATGATTTCATGTGATATGGACCCAAAAACAATCGGTGCACACATCAGTATACACACAGACACACACAGACATACAAACACATATAATTGACCTTGACCTAACTTGACCTGAAATGACCTCAGCAGCAAAATTCTGGTCGGATAGTGTGGCAAAGAGGTTCTAGCTGGCTTGGCACCAGAAAACAGCATCGTCATCGGTATTTGATAAGCAGCGCACTTGATATCCAACAGTGACCCAAAACAGCAACATTTTTAGTTTGACCTGACCTGGAAGGTTAATGACTGACCTGAGAAGGTAAAACTGGGTATCATTGGATTCGTCTCTTCCCAAAGAATCTTTTTGGTCTTTACTGCTAAGCTCTATCTCCAACAGGAACGAAATGGCGCGGGGGGGTGGCAACCACCCCCCCCCCCCCCCCATGTGCGTTCTAGGATGGGAAAATGGCATGTGCGGGCGAGGGTTAATGCTATTTCATACATTTATTAGTCATGGGAAGAAGGGTGATTTTAATATTTAATATACATGTCTGGGTGCAGCTCTCAATAGCTTATTTTACGATGGAAAATACCTTTGTAGTCATGCAGTTACTATAGTTATTGAGTTGTGCAATATTTGGCGCTGGTTGTATCATGGGAACTTAAAAATGAATTATCGCTTTCCGTTCTGTCTTTTTTTTTTCCTTTACTTCTACTCACCTCTACCACTTTACCCTTCACATACTTGTCGATTGCCTTCCCGAAAGCAATAACCAGCACAGCAACGCAAGCGAAGACGACAAGCTCTGGCTTTGGGAATCTCTTCAAGCACAGCCAAAATCCTTTTAACATGGATTAACTGAAACAGAGATATGCACGAGTTTAGTAACCGTTTTGTGTCTATAGACGCGATGTTTTCAGCATATGCGCTGTTACTAAAATACAAATATACAAAGTTATAAATGGTGTAAAGTAGTTTTGGAAGATCATTCGAAAACAAATGACTAAATAAATAGGTGCATTGCTAGGTACAGCAAGCACTTGATGATTTAAGAAATGTGATAAGATGCGGGAGCCGTATTTACCTTGACAACTGTCCAATGTCTTTTACTTGTTGCCACAAGCTTACACAGCATCGTTCTCGTCTAGCAACTTGAATGTACAAACAGTTCGCACAGATTCCGCGTCGAATTCAGTTTAATGTTTTTCATCACGGAGGCCTCGAGATTATCTCATGTGACAGCGAAACAACACCTGAAGTTGCGATTTTACGAAAGCAATTCATGCGCTTGATTTCCATTTCCCGTTCGCTGACTTCACACATCGATATTGAATGTAAAACATCACAAACAATGATGTTTGACTTTATGTCAGTTAAAAGAACGCTAATTCTTCATTCCCCAGACATTTGACATCTTTGTTTATAAAACTGGCGCATTTTGCCTCATAATTTTGATATCCGTTTAAAATGTGAGCAGGCTCGTGACAACTTTTGCAGCTGTCCTACCGAACAAGAAAAGCCATGCACAAAGGTCATTTGACTTTTGTGAAAGATCCGGTAAAGATTGCGGATTTTTTTGCGGAAGACACCTTGAAATGGGATAACATAGGTATTATACCAAGTTTTAATATATGTCACAGCTGTTATTGTCAAATTTGTGGCATCTATCGGAACCCTGAGTGCCGTGCTAGTGCCCTGAGTCACTGAGTGCATTGTCTATCTCAACTATAGTTCGTTTTTCTTAAGTTTGCCCCTCACTGTAAACGTCTTTTTGAACACAGCACGAGAATTGCTAGCTGAATTACTGAGAAAACTGGTTGGCGCACATTGATTTCACCATATTTCACAGACGATCAATTTTCTCAAATTTGTTTTCTATTTCACAGACTCATAGCTCGTATTTACCCATACCTATACAGCTCCACAGTGATTGACGACTTCTCAGGAATGCTTCCCTGAACTAATTAATAAATTGCACGGCGTTTAACATTAACGTTAGTCGTTACATCGTCGGTGTTCAAAGTTTATTTGGAAAATATTATTCATATCTCCAATACAATGTGCGCCAACCAGTTTTCTCAGTAATTCAGCTAGCAATTCTCGTGCTGTGTTCAAAAAGACGTTTACAGTGAGGGGCAAACTTAAGAAAAACGAACTATAGTTATTTTATTTTGCCCGGTTAACTTAAGTGACCCTCACTGAGCGCCCGGATGTGATAGATCGAACACATTGGTCTCGGCTGGTCTCGGCTTTGGTGTTCGCAGCATGAAGCCTAGCTCGACAGGGTATTCCTATATTTAGAGCGACGATGCCTCGAAGGTACAGTGCCGTCGGTAGGTATACACGCGAAACCCATTGTGCCTATACCGTCTGCCTTCAGTAGGTGGCGGATCGATGACAGCCAGCCGACCTGTGTACCTCACGGTTGCCATGGAAACCGGCCCGTGCTCGGCGCCGACTCTATGCGTCACACCTGGTGGGCCTCCGCGTGGGTCACAGCGAATAGTGACGGAGGAGTAACGGCGAGTGACGGCGAGAAGTTACAGTAAGCAGTGACAGCAGTGAAGAGCAGTGACGCTCTCTGTGAACCGTGAATCACGGCGACTCGTGACGGTATCACGATACAGTGACGGGTAGTAACGATTAGTGACGCCTTGGATCACGGCGAGTAGTAGCACGGTAGCGACGCACAGTAACGGTGAGTGACGTTCATGTGACGCCCCGTGACGGCTATCACCCCCGTATGAGTTCTTGGAAGGCAGTGGATAGCAGAAAGGCTCTTCAGTCACAAATGCGTGCCGATCGTGACTTGTGCTGATTGGTTCATTGACCTGAGACCTGAGCTGAGCTCGACAATCACCAGGTTACGGGATTACTGTCCATCGACGGAGCTGGTGAGTGACCCGAGTTAAAACGATGGACTGATTGATTGTATATTATTTTAGCTCTAATCGATTTTATATAGGTACCTAATCCGTCTGTGTTACTGGTAACGTCACAAATCACTTCACTTACGTCTGGATTTAAACCGTTTGCTTTTTATCCACACCGTGCCCCTTTGTCGTGTAACATAATCTCGCTGAATAACACTATGTTTACTTATTTGCCGCAAATTAAGAAGCACTGACAAGTGGCAAGTTTCCGTTGCCAATTTTATTTCGTAGACCGTAGACGAAAAGAATAATGGAATAGAGGTAACGGATTGACGTAAGCTTCAGTCCATATCATTTTTGTCACGCGGTTTTTTGTATGGAAGGCGCTCCCAGTAAGAAACAGCGAAACGCGAATAAAAAAGAAGAAGAAGAAAAACGGAACAGGAATACCTATCATCTTCTATCCCAAATTGAAATTCATGACACGCTCTCCGCGCAGCTCAGCGTATACCTGCGAGATAGGCAACCCGCATTACACGCCTGCGAGATAGGCAACCCGCAATACACGCTGCGGCGACGGGCCGCCTGGGAGCTGCGGCTCTGAGATTCGCTCTCGGGCTTGGTTAACCAATCAAACAAAGAAGCTCTGGTTATATAGAAAGGTTAAAGGTAGCTGCTTAAATGTAGATGATATGGACTGGCTGTGGCTAGACGGTCGACAATAGACAATGAAGTTACTAGAACATCGCCATTTCGTGCTGCACGTTTCCAGGCACCCAGCTGCAGAAGACGTTCTTTACGCGCCCGACACAGTGTCCAATGTTCATTTTAGTCTCGATTATGAACTCATTGTTTATAGTTTGACGATATTTGCTACGAGTCACGAATAAATATTAGGCTTCTTGACTTTGTGATTTTCTATAATATCCCGATTCTCTTATCCCAGCTACCAACCGAACCTCATGTGACATCCTGCGGGGATTTAACGTCTCTCCACGGTCGCATGCCGGCCTGTATGACCTTTGTGACCGTCCGGACCCCGCGTGACCCGCACCAGACCCGTGTCCGGCCGGCGGACACGCGAATTTGCCGTGTGCTGCCGGTTTCATCAGACTACTCTAATGAGATTGGTGCATGTCGGCGTGCGGAGACCGGTGACGGTGAGGTCTGATGAATGATGATGACTGTCCTACGGTAGCAAATATAGCTCGGTACTATAGGACAGGACTAGGGGACGCGGGAGGGATGGGCGTTTTTGGAAGAGAATTAGATATTTAGTAGTGCTTGGACAACAACGATGGGAGGAGCCACCTCGGAAATTGACGCAACCCATAAAGTCATCTCGGTCTTGTGCCGTTTTTGTGTTAACATTTTCTTCAAACACCTGCAATGTGTTGATTTATACAAGTTGATATGTGGTTAAAACAATTAGGTAAATGATTAAGGTATTGATCCACACTTAAAAAGGCATCCGTTGTTATGTCATAGCCTTTTTACGTAACATCCCGTCTAGTGTCTACAGGTCGATATTAGCTGCAGTGCTGAGTGACCGTCCAAATTACCGTTAACTAACATCAATCGCTCTCAGATTCGAATCTGGGCTTAGAATATTTCATATACGATTTGAATGATATAATCAGAGAAGCTATTTGCTATATAGTATATTTTTTGCTATATATATAGTCACCCGACGTCACAGCGCTTTAGTCCGCAAGCCAACCGAACAGCCATGGCTCAGTTTTGAAGTTTTCACTCAGATCGCCGCTCTCCTGCCATTTATCCGTAGCCTGTTGGCGTGTCAGCCATTGGCTTCTTGAGCGCTCGCGACGAAAAGCTCTTGACAGCCTCTGATTGGCTATTGACCTGCTGTCAGTGTCAGTGAGCGAATACTCACAGAACACGACAGTCACGACTGGGAGATAATGGACCGGTTAGGAAGAAATGTACCCATTGGGGACAAAGGGACGTTCACGCTAACAATAATGCACGCTAACAATGGTCACATGCATATTGCATAAGTCACTACTACTGACTACACAAGCGTCGTACTCCACGTCGCTAGTCTGGGTGTAGGGATTTCTAAGAAGCTGCAGAGCCAAATCGCTGATAGGTAGGTGTGAGAAGATCGAAATAATAATTCTAATAATTAACTATCTCGTAAGTAGGTGATCAGTAAAGCTCTCGTATATCGTGTTAAGCTGACAATTTTTATTATATGAAATACCGATTTGGCCGATGCATTGTCCTGACCTGACCTGATCTCACCGGACCGTGGACCTCACTTCGACCTTTGTTCAGCATAAAATTAGGATTAAAAGGTCCATATTATACGGCTCAAGTTGCCACCAAACGATATGGTACAAAATGCTAATGCTCTGAGGCCATTCAGCCGAAATGATATGCCGAAATCCCAAACCAGACACTTCCTAGCATTGATATGACGTTTGAGGTCACTGGTTGTCCTGAGACAGTAACTTGTGCTTGATTCACTTCGTCTCGTTCACCACGTCTTATGTCACTTGGAAAAGACGGATAACACGAATTAGGACGGAAGACGGTTCCCAGTTTCATAATAGCTTCTCCAAAAATCGTCCTCGGGTGTCTGATGCTGTTTTGTTCTTGTTTTCACAGGTATCGAAGAGGGAAAAATCGTTTCTCAGCATCACTTCAGCGACCAAAGCACCGTCTGTTGTCTTCAAGAGACCTATGCGACCCTCAAAACTGCAGATCTGGCCAATTGAGAACATGTGAAGTAAAGGAAGAGCAGTAATGAGTGAGTTCCGCTGATCTGGGCAAGCTGGTCAAGCAAACGACACTTCGGCGACAGCCCACGAGTTTCTGACCCTCGGTCTCATAAAAACATGTAACGGAAATCCGTCCATCTACCAGCCATCTATGAATAACCTACCAACCGTCCATATATGAGCGACCCGTTGCTATCGACTCATATCAGCACCTGGCTCCATCACCAATGGCCAGTCCGGTTAACGACGAATATTCCGACCGATTGGACTCGCATAGATGGTCACATCGATCGCGCTACAGTGGAAGAATTCAATAAACTGTCAGCGGGTCGGCTGTTAGCCTATTGGCTGTCATGTCCCCTTCAGCGGGCCCTGAAGCGGTGGAGTCAGAGTCAGAGAGAGCAGAGGAGTCCAGGACAGAGGTTGGGAGAACAGAGGCTACAGGATGTCCGTGCGGTCCTCCTCCCGGTCAACAGCTAGCTCCAGAATACCGACGCTGGCGTCGACAGCACGGTCTTCAAGCTCCGCTCCACGGACAACAGCTAGCTGGATGGATACTTCTCCTGGCCGCTGCTGCCTTCACAGCTGGTGTGCTGGTCCCAGCGCTGACTGCTCCGCTACAAATACCCGCCGCCCTACTGGGTGTAGTTCTTCTGCTGGTACATGCCATCAGCCACGCAGCAGCCACTCTGGTGGATCCCGCGGATGGTGAACTCCGTTCTCGTCCCGGGCGCCACGCGGTGCCCGAGTTCGATCGACAGCAACACGCGCATGTGATTGAAAACGGTCGGTGTCATCTTTGTAATGTAACCATCACCTCATCGCGAACCAAACACTGTGCCGCTTGTAACAAGTGTGTTGATCGGTTCGATCATCACTGCAAGTGGCTGAACCACTGCGTGGGGAGAAGAAACTACGTCTGGTTTTTAGTGTGTGTGGCAAGTGCAGCTGCTCTATCGCTGCTAGTGCTAACCCTCGCCGCCGCAGCGCTAGCGCTTTGTTTCACCTCCAGTGGACAGACAGTGGTGATGAGAAATGATACGCAAGCACCAACACCTGTAGCCAACACCACCCAGCTCTCTCAGACTGGAGCCGCTGAGTCTCTGCTGAAATCACCGCCCCCTGGTGACAGTGGTGACGGTGGTAACGGCGATGGTGACAATGGAGTAGCTGGTTCACCTTTGGTGACTGGCGCACACTTGGCCATGTTTGGTGTACCCGTTGAGAAGGCGCTCTTCGCCGCAGGAGCAGGTCTGTTCGGTACTCTAGCTCTGGTGGCTGCGGTGTTGCTGATTCATCTCCTTATCTTCCACGCATTTCTAGCCGCTCGCGGTGCTACCACATACGAATACATCCGCCAGCTTGACTCTTCCCACAAGTCAGCCCCACCTTCTGCAGAGAGCAATCGCAGGTGGCGCCACCGGGGCTGCTGTGCTCCTACAGACCTCACCCGACGGCGTAGAGTTCGTCCGGGTCGAGCGCCACCCGCGCCGCCTATCGGTCACTCCGAGAAACAAAACGGCGTCAGTGGACCTCACCCGGCTGAGTGTGTGGTGACGGTATCAGGGTCAGTACCTCTGGCAAGAGCGGAGGGATCCCTACCGGCCCTGCCGCCTCTACGGACGGCCTCTGGGTTGAAGGACACGCTAGACACGCTACAGAAGTATAACGATACGCGCACTCAGCTACCCGACTCTGATAGTGAGGGTACTGAAGAAGGTGGTAGTGCGGCTGCCGTGCGTACTTGTGCTAAGGTTGAAGCTATAACACCAGTTGCTAATGGGAACGTGAGACCGGCTGTGACCAATGGCTCACAGTGGCTCAAACAGCCAGCGACGAAAGCCGATTCTCCTGCACAACCGGAAAGCAAAAAGGACCGCTCACCGGAGGCTACCTCCCCTAAAAATGACGTCTCATCAGAACCAGAAGCGGAAAAGAAGGAAGAATCGCCCACCGAGGCTAAACCTTCGCTTCTAATGGCCAACATAGTTACAGTGGCTTCTCAGAGACCTTACAGTGCTCCAGTACCAGCCACTCGAACTTCGCGACCACGAGAGCTTGACCTCACTGTGGATTTGGGCGCTCCGTCAACCGACGAGGGTCGATTCCGTGTAACACCGGTGACGCAGTTCGAGCCCACGCCAGCGCCTGCGCCGATTGGCTCACCACACATCACTCGCACTGTGGGGGGAATGGGGGCGGGGATGAGACGACGGCAACCCTCACCGGTTCCCGAGGAACCTCGGAAAGCTAAACGCGTCACTTTTGTAGAAGTGACGCAAGTGCGCCGCGTTGAGTGTGCGTCAGATACTGAGGATTGCGGTGATCGTGTTCGGGATGAGACGAGGCCACTGTCAGCGCAAAACGCAGTGGCGGATTACATGCAGAAAGTGCGGGCGCGCAGAAGAGGACACCTAGCGGCGGGAAGTGAAGCGTTAGTTGTGCCGCTGGCCGGTAGCGGCGCTAGTGTAGAGGCACCCTCCACCGAAGGGCGACCGTCTAAAGTATGGTTCAGTGATGGTAGTTCAGCGTTGGGAAGTGTAAGGACATGACGTCAGGCTTCGGTACCGACCGAAGCTGATGTGAACGATTCAGAACTATCGAGTGATAGCCCGGTGACCGATGTGGGTATGGCTAAACTGGAAGAGCTAAGCGAGAGTGACGACGAAGTGTGATGTAAACGGGACAGAACTGAGGGCAGTGTCTGGGTGTGAACGTGACTTGAATGGTGGCCAGGGAAGGACAGTTGGCCTTTTCATCGAGGCCCACAAAGAAGTCAGAACGAGCTTTGCAGATGTACATATCTGTGGTGTCGATACTAGTCACGGGACCTGTGTATTCATATAAAAACGCACATCGCGTCTGTGCTATACTTGTATGTGAGACAATCACTGGGCTAACACTGCCCTGCCGTTCGCCTAAGCAGTGTCGCTGTATGTACAACTATACGGGCTGTCTAGATCACTGTACCACCACTCTTTGATGTCATGTATCTGATAACCGTTCGGTGTGTAAACCATAAGATCATGCTGTCATAGATTGATCGGTAGATCATCGGAGATCGCCCCGTCACCGTCCACTGCTCACGGACCAACTAACCTGTTCCCCCTTCCCCCTTTCCTTGTCACTGGCTCCATGTACTAACAATGTGTCTGTTCCAGTCGCACTTCCACCTCTAAACTCCTCCTAGATTACTTTCCTGTTCCAGTGGCAGCTCTAGCCCCTACAAAGCCAAGGAGGGCCCTGTTCCAACCTCCTCTATCTTGCTCTTGGAGGAGTTTAGAGGTGTTAGGAAGCGCGACTGGAACAGACCCATAGCCACCCAGTGTTCAGTCGGTGCTGCTCTACAGTATTTCCATCAGCCTGTCGGGAGCCTAGGTGAAAACTGACCCGGGTATGGGAGGTCTATGTCGGTTGTATCGATGCTACGGGTTGTCAGCTGCCTTTGAATACAGGACTGCCCCCAGTGGAGTCTGCTGGGAAGAACTATGAAGCAAGAGATGGACAGGGGAAAGGAGACGGGGGTAGGGAGACGGGGGATGAGCTTTGGAAGGGGAGGACTGGAATAGGCTATCAAAATACATAGACTAAACAGACTCTGTATGGAACGCAGTGAGCTAGATGTGGCAAAATGCTGACGGACAAGGCTTACCAGTCGATATCAATTCATAATCACATTTTTATTGTCTGTTCAATAAAAAAGATCGCTTAAAAACAAAACAGCAGAACCATCATTGCAGAGCCAAAAGTCACAACACTGGCGCGGGCCGTATTCATTTTCTGAGCAGAACAATACTGAGCAAACGGCACGTAACAGCGAGTGATGAAACCCACGGCGGTGAGGACCCGTCTCTCACTCTAACACATCCATCCTCACGACTGACGGAGACTCAGATCATATCTGATCATTCAGAATCAGACCCACTCCTAGACAAACGCACTACACCTCGGAAAACAAGACATCCAACAAGACTCGAAAACACTCGCGTTTCGCACCCATATTGACTGAATTCAGGCAAACGTCCCTTCCCATCGTCTCAGAGTCACATGTTCAGCCCACACCAACAATCATAGCCAGACTCAGGCGCCAACTGACTCAGTTTGGATTGATTAGGTCCTCTCGACAAACTCGGACTCACGACAGTCTCAGATTCACAAGACTGACTCAGCTCATCCTAAACCGCACTTCCTACCCATAACCCTGAGTCATTGATCGCGGATTTTTTTTTAGCCTCCGTCCCACTGAGCACTGAATGCTAAAACTTAGCTTTAGACAATGTCAGTCAACGTCAAAACCAAAGTTCACCTTCAGTCAAGCATTCCCTAACCGGAACATCTGCACACTTGAACTTCAGACTGATTGCATATCAATATGTGACACCCACCACAGGCTTCAAAACACATCAGCTGCTGCCTCTCCTCCCATCCAACAATGTGACCGATTCCAGACCCGATACAAGGTACTCGATCTCCAGAGGTCACCAGTTGAGGTCAACATGGCCGTCACCAACCAAGGTCACCAATCAAGGTCACCAGTTAGGTCACCTATCGTCACCTATCAGCTGACTGCGGCGGGGGCGGCGGAGTTTACAGCTGTTTCACCAGAACCAGTCGACCCAACCCCGTTAGTCGAGTCCATTTCCACTTCCTCCCCTCCTTTGGACGAGTCCATTTTAACTACCTCCCCTCTTTTGGATGAGTCTACCTCCACAGCTTTCTCTCCATTGGGCACTTCCATCTTCCCAACCTCCTCTCCATTTGAAGTACCCATCCCATTCCCCACACCCTCTTTCCCACCTGCACTCTCCCCATCTTCTTCAACCTCCTTCAGCCTTCTCTGCCGATCATGCCAATCCCTGGCGTTCTGTCGCTTGGTCTTGACCAGAATCCGGTGACCGGGACAGTCCAGGTTATGTTCGTAACATTTGTCCCGACAGTGGAGGCGGCAGAGCAGAAACTCGCAGCGAAGACCCTGGGGATGTAAGGAGGAGAGCGGTCACTAAGTGAGAAGCGAAACATCTATGGAGTCTCCTATCAGGGAAAGGAAGATCACACGGGGCCTTTGACGGGGAAATAAAGGGCAGCATAACCACTAAATGGATGAAGAAGAGTCACATTTATGTCGATGACGGATAACCAAATATAGCATGAGGTCGTTAAGGGGATAACGAAGTCTCATGCGATATCAACTATCAACTATGGGAAAAGAGGGTCATATAGCGCCAATGGTGGGGTAACGAAGAAAAAATAATTAAGACTACCATTAGCAAGTTTCGACTAACGTCAACCTCTGCAGCGCAGCTAAGCTAAAAATCGATCAATCTCTAAACGTCAAGCAGGTAAATCGAACATCCAAACTGGCTCCCACAACAAACACGTCTATCCCACAGCCTTCCTTCTCCCCACTCACCCCCTCTCACACCTACCCGTGGGTTGCAGCACAGACTACACCGCTCCATGATGGCGCGGTTGGCGCCAACTTTGGCCCCTCGCGCCAATTTCTTCAGTTTGCGCTTGCTGAGCGCGCTGGGGTCCTGCGCGCGCGCCGGTGGTCGGGCCGGGGTGTCGTCACCCTCCTCCTCCCGCTGCTCTTTCCGCTCTTTCTGCTCCTGCTGCTCACGACGCTGTTTGTCGGCATTAGCCTGATGGTAGAGAACAGAACCGAAAAGGCCTGGTAAAGTCTATACACAGAACCAAACGAGACTGCAAATCAATAGCGCGGGGCAGACGGTGGACGTATAGAGCATTTTTCAGTAAAACGTCTAATCCAATATTAACGGAGGCTGATAAATCTATCGATAAAGCGAAAACGATACACAGCAATAAAACAAACAAGAAAATAAACCGTATCATTGAGCAAATGGCCAAAAGCCAGGCGTGCGGAGCCGGAGCCGGAGCCGGCACATTTTGCCCGGAGTCGGAGCCGGAGACGGAGCCGCCATGACATTTCACCCGGAGCCAGAGCCGGAGCCGGAGCCGATTTTATTTCTCCGAAGCCGGAGCCGGAGCCGAAGCTGTCTCAAATTTCCACGGCTCCGCATCCCTGCCAAAAGCTTAAGCCTCATTAGCAGCTGGAGTTACAAACACGAAACATCTTCGTAATTCGACTAAATTCAACCACAAACTTTCATATAACCCGTCAAGCACAAGCCGCCATTCTACTCTTTCCACTCTCCAACGAAGTCCCAGGCCGTACCTGCATTTTCTTCAGGTGGTCCTCAATGGGCTCCCTCTCGTGCGGCTGACAGAACAGCGGCGACAGCGGCAGACGGGCCAGCACCGGCGGATCGTCGGGCGCCGGCCGCCACTCGACCGCCCCGGGCTCCGTGAGGTGGCTGTACCGCTGTCTGAGCAGTTCGACGGCCTCTTCCAGCTGCTCCAGGCGCGAGGCGCGCGCGGTCAGCTGACGCACGTCGTGGTTGGACGGCATCAGGAGGCTGGAGAGGGGGTAACGTGGTTAGAGAACACGGCAGAACAGACATCAATCGAGGAGAACGAATGATTGGTGACTAAAAGAGCTCACACCGTAGTTTGGAGGGTGTCAAGCGGTTAGGGACGGGTTACATCGCATTCTTATCAGACAAATAGGACCAAAACATCAATCATGGAACACGGAAGACATCAGACTTTGAAGAGTACGGAACAAATTCCAAAAACAATGCCTGAGACCAACCGACAGAGATCAACTAGTCGATTGAAAGAATATCAAATGGGCCGACGGAAACCATCAAGAAACACAACTTACAGTCAAGAGAGAGGAAGATGATCATCGTCCATCGGCCCCACACAAAACACATACTTTTAGTAGGGAGCTGAAACCAACAGTTCCAGAAATCCCCACTCTCTTTTCCCCATCCCTCCCTTCTCTCTTCCCCATCCTCCTCACCAGTAGTGCAGTATCTTAAACACATGTCCTCTCGCATAGCTGAGAGGACACGGGTACCGTCTGGCCAGCTGAAGATACTCCTCTGCCACCTCCCACACCGGAGGATGAAGCCCAGCGAACAGAGCTGGGTTATGGAGGTTCCCCTCAGCAGTCATCACGCCCTGGACGCCCGTGTGTTCGAGGCAGCGGTGTACGTCGGAGAGGTACTGGATGTTGCCGTTGGCGAAGACGGGGATGCTGACTGCTTCTCTGTTGGGAGAGAAGGGTTATTGTGAGGGTTAAATGCCATAATAGGTCAAAATGTATGCAAACAAAAACATCGTACACTGCAAGGGATGGGGTGGTCAGAAAAAGCGCAACTCTACCACATGGTGGGAAATAATTTTAAGTGCACACCGAGGAAGGTTTGACACGTAATAGCCACCCTGTTGTAGAGTGTCTGCTGACGTAAATACAAATACGATGCATCATACTGCAGTGTACAACATCATATATGAACATCGCACAGTCAGTTATTGGTCGGTGGATTATAGTACCGAGCATCACAGACGATTCATTCAAATTAGACGGTAAAGAAAAGAGTACGGTCCATTTAAAGGCGAGTTTGTACGATCAGTGCATATGTGTTCGAGCATTGAGCAAGTCATCCAAGTACCATCCTCACCTGACTGTTTTCATGGCGTCCCAGGCACTCACCTGACAGCCTTGATGGCGTCCCAGTCGGCCAGTCCCGTCAGCGGTCCCTTCATCTCCCGAGTCCGGCCGTGGACAGTCAGCAGCTGGCACCCGGCAGACTCCAGCATACGCGCGTACCTGGTAAAATAGGACGGGATATAACAAGGTTAAGTACAGCTGTGTTCATGAATGGAATGATAAACACGGGATAAATAACGGGGATACTGTCAGAGATGATCTATACACTATATGCTCAGAGATGATAAAAGTACACACACAACGGAAAGCTGGCAAACTACAGGGTATTGTATTGCTGCACCTTGTTACGGTATAGCGGTTCACATTATGGGATACCCGATACCGTCATACGTCATACCTTACGACAATGTTAGACATGTCAGCCGTGAGGGTAATGCAATGTCTACCAATATAACGAACCTCCGATAAAATAATAACGCGACTGTCGGAGGGACTCACCTGATAGTCTTCTCCAGCTCGGGGAAAATGCGGATCTTACAGGTGACCGGCAGCCGGGACTGTTCGTGAACAACCTTCACTGGAAGCAGACGTACAAGCGGACGTCAGAACAGAAAAAAGTACCCGCTAAAACATGAATATTTTCAGCATAGTTGCTCAGCAATCGCTAGCTGAAAGGCTCCCTAATCTTCCAAGTCGAATGATCAGCTCCCTAAATTCACCGAATTTTCTCCCCCCAAACTCACCGAGTTGACTGATTAGCTCCCATTCATCCTGCAGGAAGGCGCCGTAGTGTCCACGCCGGGCGATCGACTGCGGACAGCCCAGATTGATATCCAGTGCGTCAAACTGACCTCCCTCGCAGTACCGGGCCGCCTCCAGAAGCGTGGCAGGATTGTTCGCACAAAACTGTAAGGTAGGGGGGAACGAAAGTCATAACTGATGGTCATAAGTCGTAAAGTGAGATAGCTCTTGTCAGTCGGGAAACATACAACGTCGTAAAAGCAAACCGTTGAAAGCAAAGGGATGAACTCCCCCAAGTAATAACCACATTAACTTCAAACTGGCAGTGCTCATCGGTTATGTGCCGCCAGATGACTTTTTGCTTCGCTCCAGTCGACTGTTGTGCATAATATTCTCCGGAAGCGTGATTTTGTCGTGACTAAATCACTGATCAATGGCCGAACATTTTCCTTAATTAACATATATCCAGTTCACAAAGTGTGGTGGCCGATGCGCCGGCATGCCACCATAAATCATCCTCACCATCCCAATCTTTGCACCCTTTGCCATATTAGCTGAAGCGTTCTATAATCCCGTCCCACAGAAGACGGAGCCGCAGTGCCCCGTCCCCGTCTAACCTGAATGATGAGCGGCCGGTCCTCGGGGTAAGTAGTCAGACACTCCCGGCGGTACTTGACGTCCTTCACGAACATGTTAACGTGGTACATGGGCGTGTAGCACAGCTCGGCACCTGAGAAGCGCGGACAGGGGGTGGAGGCATTGTCATTTTCACGGCTTCGTGAATACAAACGAAAGAATACATATGATGGCAGGTTTCACAGATGGGGGCCAGAATATTACGTAGAAACACGATTAGAGAAGAACAAAAGGGGCTGAAGTCATGCAGTATCGAGTTTCAAAGCCCTGAACAGAGCTTGACATAGGTAGTTGATCACTCACCATACTTCCTGCTGAGCATACGCCAGGCGGCCTCGCTCTGATCGACCATCGGAGCCACGACGAGACGTGCTGAGCGCAGACGACCGCGCCACAGCTCAAACCCGCCCGGCTTGTCGCCAATCGCGGGGTCAGAGCCGTCCCCGGGTGTCGACTCGGTAACACCACGGTCTGTTGACTCAGAGTCGAGAGCAGAGGGCTCAGTCCCACAGCTATGAACAGTCTCAATTCCAGTGCCAGGTGTAGGCTCAGTGCCGTCAGGAGTCGGATCAGAGCCACTCATAGCAGCTGATGCAGTCCCACCACCAGAAGTCTCAGTTGGTTCAGCCATACCACCAGGTCCTAAGGCCCCATCGTTGGCTGATTCCAGCGTCACTGCGCTAGGATTAGCCGCGTCTTGCTGAGGGGGCTCCCCAGCTGCTGTATCAGTCAGCTGAGGTTTATTGTCGGCTCCGCTCTCCATATTGACAGCAGAACCAATGGATGAATTTATCCTGAAGGCTGAAATGGAGACACAAATCATATTATTTAGAATAGAACAACATCATTCAAGCTGTCAATGTAAGCAAAAAACTGTTCTTTTGGGACATTTCCTTGCCATTTGTTACGGTCCATCTGGAGTGAGCAAATGTATTGCATGAGAAAGTTGCTTTACATTCTCCAAGTTCCATATTGCAATAGCAATTGCAAGTGTATTTGTATGTGCAAATCATTCTACCAAATTCCTTCTTAAGTTGAAGTCATTTTCCAAACTGACTTGGACTTATCAATGAATCTTTATTACCTATATAAAATTACATCTACAAACAGCCTCAACATGAATCCAAGCGGTTGCCTACTACTATGAATCTTAGTAAGTTTGTGTAAAATCGATTAAGTTGAAAATTATGTACCAACACGGAACATCGAAAATGCGGAAGTCACCCACCGACCATACACCCACCAGCGTGCAACTCAAACGCCAATGCTTCATCGTCGAAAATGATTTTGTTCTATCAGAAAAGCCATGTGAAAATCTCCCGCAAAATGCTAGGCAACTGGTTGGAACTCTTGGTTATTCTGGCGTGTTGCTAGGCAACTACAGTCCGCTTGTCCCAGCTTCTTCGCTAAGATGAGGAATCGAACAGCATTCCATTCATGCACATTTGTCGCAGGCGCTGCATGTATGTCGCAACTTGTGCTTTCACAAGTCGAAACCAAAACGGAAAAAAGTCGAAAACGAATTGGCAAGTCAATTTGCCCAATTCGTAATATGAATCGATTCACATTGGGGCCCGACGGTTTTTGACAGACGGTAGGAAGTCAATTCCGAGGCATTGAATCGATATAAGTGTGTGGATACGGAATAATCAACGGACTCAGACTGGGTAAATAATTCAAATTGGCATGTCATTGCGTGGAATTGAAGTTAGGCCCTATCAATTTCAATCAACTATCGAATTTAAATCAATTGTCAAATTCAAATTGGCAATTTTGATTTGATAATTTTGTGTTTGTCATTCACATCTGCAAATATGTTTTGAAGTAACGGCTGGTAAATAAATTAGAATTTTGGCGCGTTGCCTCAGAATCTTAAAGCTTGACTCCAGTGGAGCTTGAGGTCATCAAGATTGAGACATCAAAATCGGAATAGAGTAGAGCTTGTCCGTTAAAGCCAGAAATGTGTCTATGTTCTGATGGGACGTCCCGCCCACTGACTTCAACTGCCTACTTCTGCTCCCACTAACCGCATGCTATCCCTGTCATGCCATAACTCTCACACTCTGTCCCCAGGTCGGTGGTCAGTGATCATCATTTTGTGATGTCATTGTGTGGCCAGTGACGTCACCATGCAGCCAGAGACGGTGTACAACCCGACCACCATAGCTGGTGGCTCGGAACGGGGTGGTTACCTGGACAGCATCAGTCAGGACAGGCATGGGCGGCGACGATGCTGTACAATGAGTATCGGTGAGTGTGCTGGACACACTGGCATGTCTATGAAGTGAACTGGTTGGAGGATGAGGTGTGGTGACCATATGAGAGGTTAGGAAGGGGTTGTTCAATGTTTGGGAGAACCTGGGTGACCTGTGAGGTGTGAGCAGTCTGGGTGGTCTGGAGGAGAGTACAGAAAACCTAGAAAGGGTCCAGTTGACTGGAGATGGGTCAGGCAGAATGGGAGATATATTGTTCAAGTCATGCCCAACAATGCAATGGACCATCAGCTAATGATAGATATTCTGACAGATGGTTTTAACTGGTATTTGCCTCTGCCCATTCTCCATTGCATTCTGTTCATCAAGTGCCATGGCATGTGGTGTGTTCTCACTTTTCCCCTTTCACTATGCTCCCAACAGAGTGCCAACTATAACCCTGTCTCCACCTCCCCTTCCAGCGGTAGCAGCTACCATCTGCACTCTGATCGGGCTGGCCCTGACGCTCTACGGCAGCGTGTTCCACTACCACTACACCGGCGTCGGCGCCCCGCCCGCCGGTTCAGACTCGGAGCGCCGTCTCCGCCATCAGTCTGAGGTCCGCCTCTACAGGGCCCTCCTGGCGGCCGGCGTGCCTCTCCTGGTGGCGGCCGCTGCACTGTGGACGGCCTACCTGTACCGCCGGGGACGGTGTCGGGACTGCTGGCTCTGTCCCGGCGCCAGGAAACGGCGCAGGATGCGGAACAACTTCCGCACGCAGGTACGGAGAAGGGAGAAAATAACACACAGGTAGTGTCAGGCTGATGTGTTTAGTCGTTTTCGGGATTAACAAGACGGGTGGACGGACAAAAAGCTGGCTGCTCGTGCCATCGCACTTGACATGTGACGAATCAGCCATCCCGAAATCAACCTCCGGAACTCACACTCGTACCGATCTTGGAAAATTTGTATGCGCGGTCTGGCCTGTCAAATGTGTCCGAAAATTGTCCTTTTTTTGACATTTATAATGATACTCTCATGTGGCGATGTTAATGTCGCAGAAGGGCATGAGATATGTGCGGTTTGCGTGCATTTCTGAGTATTGCTCTCGTAACGCTTCGTTTTCGGTAAATGTGACACAACATCGCCGGTTCTGCCTGTTGCAAGTGGCGGCTTTGCAAATGGTGTGATCTTGGAACGTTTTTTTTTTCTCCTCTCCGCCCTTGGTGATCAGACAGCACGATTCGCGTCGTTGCACTTTCCATTAGGGTTCCTATTGGAAGTTATCTGCCCACATAGTGTCCTCGGGGACCGACTTCTGTCGGGCTTTGGGAACCGTCAGCTCGCAGGCCACCAATCTGTTTGATGCTGTTTTGCTTCTTCTTTTGCAATGCCGCTTCGGAGTTTGCCTGATGTCAGTGTCCCTCAAGGGCTAGTCTCGGGCGTATCAGTGTCTTTAATGCCAGTGTGTTTTGTCTCGACATGTCTTTCCGACCAGTCTTCTCAGCACATCTGTTCAGTCAATCCAAGTCTCAGCGCCTCTGCTCTGCCCGGCGGTTCTCCCCAAAGACAAAATTAGCAAAAACAAAACAAAATAGTGCCACCAGCAGAGCTAAGGTCATTCCACCAACGGCCACCACCAGTTTCTCCCCGGGTTCCAACCGGCGGCCGTAGTTGACGGCCAGCTTCTCTGCCTTCCCGTCAGGCATCATCTCTTCTTCTTCTTCTGTATGGTCTTTCTCCTCTTTTTCGTTCACTCTATCCTCATCTATCTCTTTTTCTGTCTCGTCTTCCTTTTCTTCTTGGTCTTTCTCCTCCTCCTTTGTATCTTCGTATTTTTCTGTCTCTCCCTCCTCGTCTTGATTTTTGCTTTCCTCTTCTACCTCATCTCCTACATTTTCGCCTCCTTCGTCCTCTTCCACTCCCTTTTCCTCTTCCTTTCCTCCTTCCTTTTCTTCCTCCTCCCCAGATTCTGCCGTGTGTCCGGCTGGAGCCGTTTCTCGCAAGATCAACGTCGCCTCGGGTCGTGGTAAAAACTCCACCTTCATCGCGATCGCTTCTAAGAGCACAACCGTTGCGTGCGGGTCTCTCAGGAGTCTTCCAAACCCCGAACTGATGGTCATATCCAGACGACTGGAGCGTCCACGCAACACTGGACCCCGCGACTCGTTTCTACACACATAACTAAAACATTCGGCTCGTAGACCGGCGTGTTGACTGCCATCCCAGAGAAGAAGTAGTAGTTCATGTTCGTTGGGTAGGTTGGCAATCAGTGAAGCAACACCGCGAGGATCGACGGCTAGCGGGCGGAATGCGGACGGATGTATGCGGAGGCTGACGGATACTCTATCAGAATCAGAAGGCGCGATGGCAGTGATTGTGACGAATTGGACGTACTGAAAGTCGAGACGTGCTCCTGGTACGGGGTCTGCATTCAGAGCTCGGTCGCTAAGTTCCACTGTTTGAGGTGTGGTTACTTCAACCAGCGTACTATGAGGCAAGGATGGAGCGGCGGTGTTGCGGTGTTCACATATCGACCCACTGTATTCAGGTGGACATCGGCATCGGCAATCAGCGGTTAGATATCCAAAATTGCGACACCTTGTGGTAGGCCATCCGAAGGCAGCACAAGTTTTCCGCTGCCTTAGCTGACATCCATATAGCTTGTTGACTGTATACAAATCGAAATGAGACTGACGTAGACCGGCTAGTACATGATAATCAAGTAGATGCTGGTTTCGACCGTCTTTCGCTACTAACACCGGTCTCTGATCCTCATCAGCAAACGCTGCTGCTCGTAGCTGCATCACAGACAGAAAGTCGTAAGGCGCGGGTGGCGGCGATGCGGCAAGTCTCCTCTCCCGGCATTGTCCCGCTTGACGATAGCCACCATCCCCCATTCGACGTAATGGGCTGTGCTCGGGTCGCAGTCGGATCACCTGATGCCGGTCGGGTCGTTGGTGCTGGTTCTGTAGTCCCAGCAAGTGGCCCAACTGGTGCGCGGCAGCCGCCAGGCCGCATCTTCCTGGCTCTAGGGAGAGGGGTTGGTCTCCTGCACCCGTTGTCGCTTGACCAACGTAGGACCAACAGCCAGTGAAGTTACCCACACAGAGCGTGGGCTCGCCGTCGCCATTTCTCCCGCGACAATCCCCATCAGGTAACCTTACAGCCTGGAGACATGTGTGTTCAATCCAACCGCTCAAAGCGAATGATAGCGACGTAATGGCTGGGGGACCGTCCTTATACAGACGATATCTTAGCAACGGTCGGCCAGTTTTCGTTCTCCATAGCTTGCTCCGATCACCACATAGCTCAGTTTGAGAGAGCACTTCCTTTGGAGAGAGCCCCACGTCACCATCGAGAGCAACTAACCGGCCGTCGGGCAGAGCGCGGGCAGAGTAGCCCAGGATGAAGAGAGCGTCGATAATGTCTCCTCTACCACAGTCGCCGTGTATGGCTGGTGTGGAGTTGGTTGGATGTGCTGATCCATTAGCAGCTTGGGTTGGTTTTGTATCTTGTAGTTCTGTAGCTGGGAGAAATGAGGCATGACTGAAGGAGAAATATAGGATGGCAATGAAGGCATGATGAAGCAAGGTATATTTCGATGTCATGTCATTTTATGTCGATTGGCAAGCTGCTTCATTAGATTCACTTATTGCATTTACATGACATTTCGAATGTTTACTGTGAAATTTTCTCCTTTAACTCGATAAATTTGTTAATTTTCCATAATTAAACTGTGTTGTCTGGAAATCCCCTCAATCCCGCCATGTCGATGCATGCTGTCCTTGATTTTCACGAAATGGAAACTGCACGCATTACTTGATGTACATCTCTCAGTCAGGCGATATTTTCCAGACTGATGCTTGGTTTGATGCATTGATGTACTCGTACATGTACATCGAATGCTTTGTAAGTTAATGCTTTGTTAGAACTTTGTTAGTGCCCTATTCTCTCGACTCTGTCTAGGTTCGGGTTTCCCCTTTTTTCCTTGTGCTCGCTCCAGTGTTGTAATTCTTCCCTGTTCTTCCAAGTGTCTGAAGAGTCTGACACTCCACCTATGTTTCCCTATGTCCCCGCAGTTTTGTAATTCGCACCATTCTCTGTCTCCTCCCGGCAGTGTCTGGAGGCGGGAAACCTCACCACCTGCTACCCCAGCCGCCCCTCCCAGCCGCTGTCGCAAGAGGAGGACCGGCTGGTGTCTCAGAGTCTGGACGAAGTTGCTGGGTGAGTTATTAGACCACTTGGGGCGTTCCACGACAGATCGACCAAGCCATAACACCCTACCTATCAGATTTTGATGAAATTGCGTCTAGGGGGTTATCTGTACCGTAGATTCTTAATCTCCTATTTTCAGCGTTATACTACAAACAGTTTACGAGTTATAGCCAGTGGCATTTTTCAAAATGCTCAGAGTAACCCTCTTTTTGACTCACATTATATAAAGATATGGCCTGTAACTTACATTAATATGTATATCATTGAAATCCTCATTGACTGAAGAAAAATAATCAATCAAAATATTTTGAAAATTTTCAAAATCTCAACATTTTTTTAATTAATACATTTTTTATTTTTTATTTTCAAAATGTGGCCATTAAATTTTTGCCAAAAAGATAATCCCAAAAGATGCCTCTGGATATGAAAATTAGATGTACAAAAAGTTGGCGAGGTGTTTTGCCTTTAACTTTTTATATAATTTTTTATTTACGGCAATATTAACACGCGCAGTGGAAGGGGGATTTCGCCCACCCCTCCTGTTTTTCGCCAATAACTCGCGCCGCAAACATAATATGAATGTGAAATTTGGGCTACCTGTTTAAAATTGAACTGCGGATCTCCTCGTGCAAGAAATAAGAAAATTGGATCACAACTTTTCTAGTGATAGCGGTGTAAAGTCAAACATCCTGCCCGCTGCCGCCGCGGCGGCGCGGCGGCCGGCGCTAGCCGTTACGCGCCGCCTGAATTGTAGACTGTGCCGGGGCGGGACGGTTCCGTCTTTACATCGCGCTCCTTACCGCTGATTATATTCGATTGGCGTCAAATTTTGTGAGAAGACTGAGAAATGTACAGGCAATCCTATGATTCAATAATTTTGAAAATCGGTCCGTAACAACTTGAGTTATGAGTGTGTAAACACAAAATTGTGATTGCCGCGTTTCTCGCGTCGGCCGATCCCGCTTCAGCGGGCGACATCTTACCCTTAGCAGGCTTCCAACTGCCATATTTATTGTTGGATTAACTAGAAATTCACCATACATACTCACAAATGTATATTCTCTCGTATAGTGAAAGAAAAAAGAAAATCGACCGGTAACTTTTTGAGTTATCGGCGTGTAAACGCTCATAACAGCCGAGGCTGTGTTAGGGTCAAATGAGGAGAAGGCTCACCCTAGTAACCGCATGATGTTCGCTCTGTCCATGTAATAATGGGCTTTCAGTGAGTTTGCTTATTGAATATGCCACACACAAAATATATGAGACAAAAGTGCGGCATTTGGAAGCAATTCATTGCAATTGCCTGGGGCGTGACCAGGTCAGAGAGGATGCAGGTAACAAAATTACAAGTACCGACGTGAAAACTGGCCGGGATTGTATTCTGTTTTCCTGGAACTGGAAGCATCTCAAACGTTTTGGATTAATGTATTTCAAGGTATTAAGTGGCTTGGGATGCTCCATGTTTCACTAACATTCACTTCCATAGCATTTTTATTTCCACCTGGCCGAAGGTTTGATGTGCAGCCCCAACGGTTTTCTCGAGATCGTTTGCAACGCTGTAAGGCTGGAGAGCTGAAATTGACATACCTTCCTACCTACCTGAGCATTGACTTAAGCCGTTTTTTTTACGCCAACAGAATTTTGAGGCTGAGCTCAGCTTACTGACCTATGACAGCACAAATAAATCTTGGAACGATGCAAAAAGTTGCAGCTTTACAGCGCCCTCAGTGAGCCTTTTGCAGGGGATGAAACTTAAGTCACGGCATATAGTAACGGCTCTTGAGATTTCACATCAATTCCTCCAACTTTCCTAACTTTCACCCGAGGTCAAGCTGGCCACGTGACTTCACTATTACAAGTCAATGGGAAATATTGAAACATTGAAACTATTATTTTGATGCCGGAAACGAACGAAGCCTGTCATCAATTATCAAACACCTGTAATCGTGATTTCATACACTTTGCAGAGGGCGATTCTTCGGGACCTTCCATGACGTCGTATACCTATGCTAGTACTTTGTATGGTCGTTTTAGGTCATCGTTTTTCTTTTGTCATTGTCAATAACCTTGATTGGAATTAATCTCGCGAGTCGAATAAGCCACCAGTGCGTGAACTCACGGAACCCTGCTGAACCTAATCATATACCTAAAATAGCTGCTTTCACGACAAGTATCTAACACACATTTACTGATAGTTGATGCGATTTGGTCAAATTTGGTTCATAGTTGATTCTTAATTGCTTTAGCTTGGGTTGCACTAGTTGCTTATTGACCTTATTTATCATATTATCAGACTTTCCTTTTAAATCAAACATTTGAACAAAATTACGTTATGAAAATAGCTACAGTAAAACAGATTTGGCTAGATTCGTCTGACATCCGCCATGAAAACGGCTGATACATGGCCTCATTTGACCAGCTCATCTTGACCTCAGCGGTTTTGATGTGACTTCGACCTGAGGAAAACACCTTAAGCTGACCTCTTCCAAATACAGTTAATGATTGTAATGATAGGAGAGACCGTAATGATAGGGGAGAGTGGGGTGGGTTGTATCAGTTTTTACTCCGAGACCCATAACCTCGTAACTATCCGTGATAAACTCATTATTTCCATACTATCCCCTTCCTTGATTCATCTGCTTTTTTGTGCAAAGTAACTTTTCCGCTACCTCTACCAGTTTTTCTTCTACGGTCTCCCGAATAGAACAATGTTTTTGATACAACTTGCCCCATGGCTTGGGTGAGTTGTATCACGTGGTGGGGTAATTTGTATCACTGTTTCACGTTTCAGGGAGTGTGCTTGCTACTGGTTTTGAACATAGCAACAACATTAAATGGGGCTAATACAATGCATAGGTATGCTCAAAGGCTTCACTTTATTAGACCAAACTTAGGTCAATGCAACCCGAACGAAACATCAACAGACTAGACGCAAAAGTGGCCCGTTAAGAGCAAAGAAGCCAACACATTGTGCCGAAATGGAACGAGCATTGACTAGCTACCTACAAACGCGAGCCAGGGCTTAGCTTTCGCGATCAAAAGCAACATACCCATACATACATACATCCATACATGTTACAACATACCCCACCCGGCTCTGATACAACATGTACCTAGCCGCCATCTTGGAAAGAACATCCTCGTGCTAAAAAAAACAGCGGACAGCTGGAGAAATCCGTTTTCACTCACGCAGCTTTAGAACCTACCCTCACCACCGCTACGGAGATCTTTCAAATTCGTGCACATCTAAATGCCCAGAACACACATTTTCTTGCAACTTATTTTTTTAGAATGACATTAAAAAAACATAAAATCGGCTCTCCCCTCGAGACGCGTCCACTCAGCCACAAGACAGAACAGGGAAAGATGGCGCCCGGAAAACCTTGTCGGCTGGTCGTGTCGCGAACGCCATCCATTGGATAAGTTTGGCACAATTCGCCCTGATACAACTTGGACATGATACAACTCTCCCCGCTCTCCCCGGTCATTACGGTCAACTGGTGACCTCTGTGGTCAGGTCAAATGCCCTGAACCAGGGATTAATTTTCTGTCAATAAATCCCCAAATGGTCGCAGCACCGTCATTTCAGTACCTGACACTTATCTGGCACCATCGTATTTATGATGCTCCGCCGGGTAGAATGGTGTGCTGATATTTTGGAAAGCTCAGCTTAACGTGCTTACTTCAGGTCAAGGTCAGAACGAAGTCGTTCAGGTTACGAATCTGGTCGATTCAGACATTGATGACCCTTCCCTCAATGCCCTCATTTTGTTTGGAATCAATTGACGAAAAATTATCCCATCAAACAGCCTTAGTGACGTCACAAATGACGTTGCGTTTTTAGGTCGTCACGCAAGGTCCAGGAGCAAAACTGAAACATCGGACCTTGCAAAGAATGCGTGAAGTACATTCTCCTCGTAAATAATTGTTGGCAATGAGGGCGTTTCGCTATTGCGACATTTTTAACATTACATAGACTTACTTATTTGACGTAATAGTTCAGTGAAGTGACCCTATATAAAGTTCATTTGGTGTCACAAGCTAAATCGAAGATAAGTTATAATAACTTTCAGCGCTCTATCGCCATTGCGTCCCTAGCACGGCTAGCAGTGATGAGAAAACCGTCAGAGGCGGATAGTACTCGCTCCCACGGCCACATGCGGTTTAACCTCGCTCTCTTGAGAACAATACGTCATTATGACGTCTTTGACTATTTGGGACCTAGCTTAGCTTGCGTAGGTGTCCTAAGTCTCTTTAGAAAAAATTAACAGAGTTGCAATGAGCTCTCGATCACATTTGACCGTTCTCAGTTCGGACCAGTTGACAGTTATTGTTATTGTTTCCACTGTACGACGAAATTCAATGTTGTATAGCGACCTTAAGAGGAAAAACACCTTTTTAATATTTTCATCATTCAATGGCAATGCGTTGAGAAGACTTTTACTGCAAAAATAAATTGCAAAAAAAGATGGCCACATTCTCAAAATTTGATTTTTACAAATAAATTATATGTAAAAAATTAAAAATCGAAAATTTTCCAAAATAATTGATATCACAAAAATCTTTGTTTAATTCCAATTGTGGGGATATGCAGTTTTATATGAATCTTATGAGTATTTAGCGAAATATCCGCGGATGAAATTTATAGTTTTTATGCTAGTCATTAAGTTGTCTGGGGCAATATCTCCCAAAGTATTCGACGGATGTGATTGAAAATGTCACAAAACGAATCGCCGGGCTAGATAACCACATAGACGAAATTTCATTAAAATTGGAGAGGTAGGGTGTTATTTCGCGATTTTTTTGGTCGATTTGTCGTGGAATGCCCCACTTTCCCCGTGAGAACATCAGAGAGCCTTGGTGAGATTTATGGCTGGCTGCTGTCTCTTGAAGTCTGCCAAGCTGTTTCTGCTGGCGTGCTTGATGGAATAGGCCCGCTGAATGCGGCTTTACTAACTACCGTGTGTGAAAATGACGCCACTTTTTAGGAGGATGGTGGAGTTTTATTGAACCAACTAACCGCCTGTGCTTGTTATCGGTTTTTAAGTGCCCATTGTGCTGCGTTTTACTCCAAGAGGAGCCGTCACAAAGTTTAGAGATCTGTGAGTGAGTTTTCTGTGTGTGTCATTTGATCAGATAATGAGGCCCCTAGGGCGGCATTTGCTGACTCTTCGCGTAGCTACCTAATTTTACTGTTTTTTTTTCTGGTTTGACGTGTTGACCCCAACCCTCGGAATTTTGTTACATGCATACATAACAGCAGTACCCTACCCGCGCTAACCGTGTGACGCCGAGTGACCTGACATGACCTCTAACCGTGTGTGCCCTCCCTGACATCCTGTGGCTCGTGGTGTCAGACTGGATGATACAGACGCCATGCTGGACAGCGGCCCACGGCCCATAATACGGCCCGCTCAGCGTGCCACCTAGGGACAGGTAAGAGAACTACATAACTCGTCGCGACCGCTGCTTCGGCGCTCCCGTAAAGTGAAGAATCGCGGTGGTTTCACTGTCATTTCAACTTCATGTATCAAAGCATTGTAAAATGCTTATTATCGCTTGGTAAATACAAGGGGTGATAAATGCTAAGAAATTCCATTAAAAAAGAATGCGTACCGCGTTTTGTAAGTTCTTCGCTTACGAGGCACTAATGCTGTACTTCAGCAACATTGAATGTGCATTTTAGACCCTCTGCTCTGGTGCAGTATTTATATCATTTCCCGGTCAGCTATGCGTGGTTGGTTGCTTTGCACTATTTATTATCCCCCATTAACAATTGGTGTGACACTGACATCATCTCATCTCTCCCCCACAGCGGCGGTAACAACGACATCGGTACCACCATATCACCCCCTCTACCCAGCCGCACCGCAGACACCGCTCCGCTCGCCAGTACAGAGGACCTCACCGCCCTCTCCGCCGAGACACTCTACCTAACCACCGGCGGCGGCTCTCTAAACCCAGCCGCCTGGTCCGGCCTGCCCAGCTCCCTGACACTCAACTCTGGAGACTCGCGACTACCGAGCGACTTGAGTCTAACGGGCGATGGTTGGACGGGAAGAAGTAAGCCACCGCGGGCTGTCTCGGCGCGGTGTTTACGGAGGATGTCGGCGAGAAGTGGAGGTGCGAACACTGATAGGGCGATGAGAGGAGTTAGTGCGCCCGTGGAGGCAGCTGTGGAGACATGGACTGATTCCGTCCAACAAGCTGTAGATGAGAAGTAGGGGTGAAGATTTTGGTATATGTAGTCTACCACCGAATATTCGTTTGTTGTGTGTCGTGTGTGTGGGGGGACGAATGATGATATTTGACGTGCCTGGGACGAAATATTGACAAGCTGCGTCAATCTGCGAAGCGGTAGTGTGATGGAAAAAGGGTAAACGTTGTAGCCTTTTGCTTTTCGAGTGGGAGTCACGAACTTATGTGTCTTTATAGAATGCCTGTCGTGGCCAGTTAGGTGTGTGCTTTAACGTTTGTAGTTTGTGGGAAACCGTATGTGGCCTTGTGATCTAACATGGGTATATAATGTCCGAAGAATCTCAGTTTGAATCTTATGTGAGCTTGTCGTCCACATGAAATCCAGCGAGCATCGTGCCTAGTTTTATAAACTAAATGTACCGCGAGTTGGATCAGTCGTGCCCCGAAGTTTGCGTAGGATATTGTTATTAGGGTACTGTTATAAGTATCAAGGGCAAGAGCCGTGTGTGTCTCGGCTTATGCTATCCTGTCCCTCCCTTATCTATTGTCTTGTCGATCTGGTACTGTCATATCCCGTCTTGCACCACCGTCATATCTCCCCCACTCTGTCCCATCCTGTAGACTTTTGCTCTGCCTTTCTCTCCTATAGAAGGGTTGTTTGTTGCTCGAACCTTGCCCCCCCCCCCCCCCACCCCTATCACGTCTCATGGCTTTCTGTCACGCATTTGATCACCCTGGCCTGAACAGCGGTAAATACGCGAGTAATTCTGCTGCCGTGCTAGCCTGATGTAACTTTGGCTCATTTGCTAACTATGTGACAGCGTTGTAAATAGGATTCTTGTAGTAATTCGAGTCCGCAGGATGGGACGTTCTCTTCAGCGAGACTGAACATTTAACGAATGATCTGCATCGCTTGGCTAGTAGATATTTATGTGATCTTTTATTTTCTTTTTGCTTATATCGTGGCTTTATTTAGTTCTCTTTACGAACCATAATAGTGTACGCCTTAGGTACCTGGATGTGTTGTGACTAAACCATATACGATTGCGTTGTGTGGCATAGGCTCGCGTGAACCAGTGCGTTGACGGTCATATGCTGTAACTATGTATCTTTTCTGACCACTAGTTTAGGTAGTCTTTCGGTTCAGCTGGTCAACTTTGTACTGAAACGAGGTACGACTTTTCTACCGATGTTTCTCCTACTTGAAAACCTTTTGACTCTGGGGAATCCAGTCTTGTGCCAGAGGCCCTGTACCGATGCATAATTGTCAGCTATACCTATGGTTCTGTACACGGCACTTTTACGAACAACCCTGTACCTACTTCAGGGGACAGTGAGTTGGGCGTTTTGGATTTTTCTGTATGCTGGGAACGCTGAACAAATACAGGTGGATAACGGACTTTTGTAATGCTGCTGCAGCTGCGGATAACATGCCCGGCCCATTCTTCGTGTATGAAGAGTTCAAGAGATCGTATAACGCAACAATCATAAAATACTCAACGACCGAGGGTGCTACGTTCAGAGGTTCTGGGTAGATACTTCGTTCCTTGTTTCGTCCGTATCTAAGCTGGTTCTGTGACCAGTTGGTTTTCTACAGCTGCTTTCTAAACTGATCGGTGTTTCGTCACCATTATTGAGCTTTCCAGTCTATTCGAAAGTTATCGATCGCAATGTAAGCCCGAAGAATTGACACCCGTATCGAGCAAAAACAGTTTAGTGAGATTCGTGCATAATTTATTACATTTTACAATTAACCGTTTCAGTTTGACAGAACAAATGCAGTAATGTAGCTCGTCCGTTCTATAGCACACATAGCTCGCAAACGCAGACACAGGCGGTTCACCACAACAGTCAGAGGCTAGGGATAACAAGACACATTGGCACCGCTCAGAGCCTCTCTGCAGTTTCTAGCGCTCGCCGTTGTCGCTGCCAGGGCTGTGACGATCCCCGTTCACTCCATCATGGCCGTGATGATCCCCATTATGATCTCCATTAATCCTCTTCTGATCTCCGTTGATCCCGTTGTGATCTTTCTCATCTCCGTTGACCCCAGCTTCAGTCTTCTTATCTTCGCCTTCGCCTCCATCGCTTCCGACACGCTTACGCTCTCCTTCCTTCTCTCCATCATTCGCTGCTTCCTCCGCGTCTTGCTCAGAAGCACACGGCAGTCCAAACCTCACCCGCCCGCCTCCAGACGCCGGCCCGATGCGTGCCGTCTTCACCGGACTGTACTTGTTGAAGCCGGTGCCGTCTGCATCCCGCTCCGCTCCGTCCACCCGTCTTCCGGCCTTCAGAGCGGCAGCTATGTCTTCAGTGATGTCTCTGTAGTGGGCGTCGGAGACAGGTGAGCCGGGAAGAAGCTCGCCAGCAGCGTCGAGCTTGCGATACGGCCGGTTGGTGGTGGGAGACAGCTGAACGCCGCCAGGCTCTGAGGAAGAGTCCTCCACTGTTCCCCTGGTGCAGTCCTCAGATTGTCCTCCGCTGCCGCTCTTCGCCGATTCTCCGCTCCCATTTTCGATTACGCTGCCGCTCTTGGTAGGTCTCTCGCCGTTCATCTTCACCTCTTTCCCTCCATTCTCCATGGGTTTCTTGTCCGCTACTTTGGAATCCTCCTTCGGTGGCACAGTACCAGGTTCATTCTCTGGGATGGCACAGAGGGCGTCCCTCCCAGTCCGAGCCGTAGCTGGGGTGATGGTGTCCTCTCGTTCATCGTCCGGCACGTCCTCGGAAAGCACCCACCCGCCGTCTGGCGATCCGAAAGGATCTGACGTGGCGGCCACCTCGTCCTCTGCCTCGTCGTCAGCGCTGACTCGAACAGTCAGCTCAGAATCGGGAGTCTCACCCATGGGGTACGGCTCCCCGTGACGAGCCGTCCACTCCCGGCTCTGAAGGTGTAGATAAACCACGGAGTAAACCAGGTAGCCGAGGACATGATACAGCACGCAGGTCTCCAGACTCCAGGGAAGTCGGCCGGTGCGAGCGAAGACGGCCAGACACCAGACGTTCCAGCCGTCGAAAGACCAGTGCAGGAGGGCCAGACGCTCCAGGAGGGAGCACTCGGGTAGACGCAGAGCCAGGAGATGTAGCGCCAAGAAGCCGGCCTTGAGGAGTAGACAGGTGGCTACGGTAGCTGCCGGTCCGTCGTGCGCGATCATTCGTGCCGTGTCGCCCAGCGAACCGCTGAGAAGAGTCATAGCCTCGACTAAACTCATCACTGAGTACGGATGAATCAGCTCCAGAGAAGCACTGGTAGTCTGGCGGTCACTGGTTGGAGCTCCTCTAGTAGAAACGTAACACCAGTTGTAGCTCGCAGCTGAATGCAGAGCGAGCACGCGACACACGGGCCCGGGGTGGCGGCGGCCGGCGGACTGCGCGGGGCGGCAGTGACCTGACCGGCGCCGACCCGACCGCTGCCCGGGGCGGTGGCAGAGGCGAGCTCAGGGAGCCGAAAAGGGAGGGTAACGCGCTATTGGTAGCAAGCGGCCTCCAACCATGTGGCAAACAAACTGCTTCCAACTCACACAGGGAAATAGCAGACTATCACCCCAATTTCATTGTGGTGCTGTCGATTAATAACGGCCTACCATGCTATCCTTTGCACCCCCGGGAGCACCCCCGGGAGGGGTGCCTCGATGCGCCCCTGTCGGCGGCGGGGTGAGATGACCCAGGCGGGCTCACTGGAGGTGCAGATACCGCGTTCCGTGCTCCACATAACATACAGGTCGAGAGGATCGGGATTGTCTTCCCGACTTTGAATAAAGATCATTATGTCTAATCGCACGGGAAAACTCGCATCAAAGTTGATAAGAGATCAACTTTGATTTGATAAGAGATTGAAATGCAAGATGTCCGAAGTCAATTGTCAAGTCAATATTTGTGAATTTCCGTCTAAAAAATTACAAAACGATATAATTGCGCTAGAATATCACAAAATATTCATATAGCATTTTCTACTTCGAAACTGGTGTATTGCTGAGTTACGTATTGAGCGAATGCTGTGCACAAAACCAGTGACCAAGTTTCGACAGAAAACGCTGACAAATGTATCCAACGACACTTCTGGATGAGCTAACCCACGCAGGACGACAGGCAAATATGGCACATATTTTGTAACGGGTCTCATATCTAGATAAAAACGCACAGACTCACGGGAGCATCTAAAAAAGACACGAATTACGCAACATTTAACTTCCTCCAGGAGAAATGTGTGGCAGATAAAGATATCTGCAGTTAAAAACGTTATGATTTCGGCTGAAATTCGCTCTCTGCTCGACTGCATCTATCCGGGAGAAAGTTTGTGACACTCGCGGAAAGACTGGCTCGCCTTGGGCGACTAGGGGCATTGAAAGCACGGCCCTCAATCTCTTGGTTTGGTCCCTTATGACGTATATGGTACACTTTACCTACAGCAAAATGTGACGACCTGCGTCAGTCGAAGGCTCTACCAACCTATGCGGTGAGTCACCAGATATACTGACGACTTTGAGTCGGCACAACTGGCATAAAACGCAGCAAAAACACATCACTCTACAATATGGCACACACGGCAAACACACAAAACAACATACAAAACTTTTAAGTGCGATATGAAGCATGACACACTATGATCTCAGATAGATTTGTGAAAAATTGGTCCCTTGGACGCACCTTGGGAGCGCGCATACATTTCGGTACGCAAAACTACCTAACACATGACTATGAAAACAACTAAAGACAATATCTAAGCACTCATCTGAGGCATGCATCTGTGAAACGACGAGTAAGATCTATCCAGTTCGAATTCAGATCAATTCATAGCGCAAAGCGCACTACCAACCATTGCACTTGGTAACAAATATGGAGCTAGTTTCGGGTAGATTTGTCTGAGTACCACACACCAATAGATGAACTTCTGGCCCGACGGCCCGTCGTGGGTCTAGGCTGAGTTAAACCACACTCTTGTATTCACCTGACATAGCCTCAGACCGTCGGATGCAGCAGCGCACAAAGTTTGTACAACCCGTCCTGTGTCGGTCGAGACCTCGTATTGCCCGCTCCCACCGTTCTGAGTGATAGGACTGATGGTGATAGGGGACATGGAGGAGTTCCCGCGATGGTAGATCCCGGTCACCGAAGTATTCGGCGTCCGCTGCTCTGTTTCCGGTGCAGACTCCCGGCCACTGTGAACACACGGCGCAGGATCAGACATTAGACACATCCCATTAGTCACCAGCACAGCACAACAGCACAACGACATACTATGGCAGGGACGTAGGTCATATAACTTGGAAGTGGCTATGAAACAACTTGCAGCAGTCATTACAGATGTGTCTATGTAAACTTGAAACGCTTATAGCGTCGCATGATAACTTCTATCGACACCATTGCTCATTCCTAAGTCACGAAACAGCTATGCAACAGTACAATGGCCTGCGAAAGTCAACGTGAAGAAGAAACCTTGCTTAGTTAGACAGCATGCAACCCTGCTATACAAAACCGCGCAGTGCCTAAACCCCATGCCAAAGAACTAATCTAGCGAGTCAATCGACTTAAACATGGAAAGTAGAAAAACCGCCCGCTAGCTGTCATTCTCCTCAGGTTCGGTTTACCCTGACACTTGCCAAGGTATTGGCGAAACACTTACCCAAGTGTTGCTCGTTAGTAGAATACACAGCATTTATCGGAGCAGCTACCACCAGCAGTTATGTATACCGTCACCGATGCTCGCATCCCAACACTCAGTGTTATGTGGAGTATTAAGTCGCCAGTCGAGACCAACTGATCTGTGTATTCAGGCATGCATGGTCTGTCATCTCATCTACGCACAAACCAGTGGGGGCGCACAGCATACCCCGCAACCGTGAGATATGTGTGAACACACTCATACTCACAGCATAGCACACGTCTTACAGTTATGCTAAGCAATACACAGCAGCTAAATGTATGTAAATATAATTGTCCGGCAAGAGATAAAATACTGGCCTGCATGCACCGGAGAAGGCTAAATAAAACAGACGCCCGGAAAGTGGCATCACAAACACGATTTGTTAGCGTCAGCCAACATGCAGTTTATGGCCAACAGTCATTGCAAAAAAAGAACCACCGGTCCTGTCTCATCACATCATACACACTTATAGTCCGCATCTCCTAGAAACTTATCAGACACCTGGATATAAATCTCCTACAGAGTGGTGCACATGTTAATATCGCCTACATCGAACAAGTCAGTCGCTCCCAATCTCCTACAATACGGTTCACTTAACCGATTCCAACTCACAGCGTGCGATCCGATCGAGGCTAGCCATCCATGACGAGAGGCGTCCATTCAAGCATCTACCAACCACGTAATCATTCAGAACTTCTACCAGCACATCCGTCATTCCATTACCCCATACGGGTTTAAGCCGCGACCAAAATCCATTCAGACTACGGATACAACTCTAAAAGACCACATCATTGCTATCACATCGGTAATAGAGCCAAAAAACGAGCCGAAAATATCGCGAGTCCAAAACCGCGTCAGACGCCGCAGCTAAAATTTGCAGCTGATTCACACGTAGTGAGTTCGATCTACACGGCCAGCGAAGACTTCAACGGCTTCTTCGGCAAGCTCGCCTCCAAGTTTATGCAATAACACAACATTCAGAGACCCCACAAAGCGCTACGATAAAAAAACCTGGTAATTTTGAGTATCACTGTTGCATTCACTCCAAGTAACCATCGTATAAGCTCGATCTACCAATGTCTCAGACACTGTGCTGTCGACCTGTTTGGGACTGTTTGTGTCAAGACCACGGAAATGACCCCGTGTCAGAAACTGCACTGATGCGCCTAGCATGTCCCTCCTAAACTGTGGCAGACGCCGAACTCTATCACTACAGATAGTGTGCCAAGCACTACAGACAAAGCGTGCAACACTATGCACAAGGCGTGCAGAACTACAGACACTACTGTTATGTCATATGTGCAGCACTCGACATGCAGTGGTGCTACCTCCGACACTACAATATGAGAGTGCAGTGTGCGTCGCAGAACGCCTTTCCTCTAATGTTCCAACACCCATGCGAAAGATGTTAGAAGAAACTAAATAAAAGACCATCAGCACCCCTCACCATAGGGTTACCCTCACACACCGTGTTAGTCCCATTCACCATCCACCCCTACACTGACTACACGCGTCCCCTGGTCGGCCACCCGGAGGCTCTCTCACGTGCGCGCTGCTGGGGCGTCGGAGGTGTACGGAGCACCTCTGTGATCGCCTGCATCCAGTTGGTACGCTCCTGAGCCGTCTGGGCGGAGAGTAGGTAGGTGCGCTCGGGGGTTTTCAGTGTGAATGAAAACCCCTGTGGAATGGAGAAATGAGAAAGCAAGAGTGAGTAATCGTGGTGCCAATTAATAAGCGGGGCGTATGAGGGATGGTTAGGTTCAAAATACGAGTGTCTAAGATACGAATAGGTAGCATAAGCCAGGTAGATATAGCTGGGTCAGCCAAGATGACGTCATTTGTAGCCAGGCAGCTCAGCAGCCACGATAAGAAACAGCAAATTACTTTCATTTTACAGATGAGGCCCTCAGCTAAGAGCAAACTGCCATTTTGAATGTGGTGAATGGTCCCTAGGTCCCTACTCGCTACACTCGGACCGTAAACTAATCACACTTTCTAAACAATTTCAGGTGACCTTAGCTCTGGAGTCAGCTGCTCTATCAGAACCTCACCTGGTCTTTAGATCCGGGCGGCACTCCTTCCTTCACCGCCCACTCCGGCGGCTCCCCGATAGAGATGACACCCTTCGGAACCGGGTCCTGACGGCCAGACACACACAATAAGATAGACCCGTTACGTCAGAGTAGGAAGCACGGCATGAGAATTAAAATGGGTTTGTTACTTATGTAATTTGTCATCCACGAGTCTACCCAACCTCACCATCTGTATGATAGACTGTATGGTTTGGGCTGTAAGGTAGACTTCCCTGAGTCTCACCAGGTCATGGTACATGATCTAACGATCTTTGAACTGTAAGATAGACTGCCTCTCACCAGTGGCTGATCATGATACATGAGCTGACGATCTTTGGACTGTATGGTATGGAGTATGTACTGTGTGGTAGACTGTCCTCACCAGTGGCTGATCATGATACATGAGCTGACGATCGTCCAGGGTAAACCACCGCCGTCGGTACTGGTCGCCGGCGCGCGGACCGATCTTGTGCAGCCATCCCTCCAGGTGAAAGTCGTGCGTCAGATCAGCCGTCAGCTGCGGGGATAGGGGGGGGGGGGGTGAGTTAGTGGTGAGCTCCGCTAAACCTTTGTGTTCGGGGGGGGGGGAAGGAGAGGCGATCCGCGCAAATAAACTTGGCGGGCCTCGGAGATTTACTATCGCAGTCACAGATAGGCTGGAATATTGTAAAACCTATTGCATTTGTTCCTGAAGATTCATTTTTCATGATATAATTATCATCATACGTAAGGTCCTTTCTCCTTGGACCTTGACCCACCTCAGCTGCCGAGTGACCCGGAAAAGCCACACGGAGGTAGTTGAGCTTGGCGTTCCTGATGGCCATGTACCAGTCGATGGTAGTCTGGCCGTCGTTATGGTACACAAATATGTGCCGGATGGTACCTGGTGGAGGGCAGAGACGGGAGGTATGTGGTCACATGAAGGGGATGTGAGCTGAGACTAGGAGACGCGTGTTTAAATCTGTCACATAGGGACAGCCCGTTAGCTGATGCCTAGGCTCCACTACGCGATTTTCCGTGCGATTTTGCGACAATGCGAGAATGCGATGCCCTTGGCGATGCCAGACAACGTTCATCTAGTGCAAACGGATGCGCTGAGCCAAACTGCGGAAATCGCATTATTAAATGTCACGCAATGTCGCTCTCGCATTTTCGCATTTTCGGGGAACAAAATTCATAATTCTGACGCTAAATCGCTAAATCGCACAGAAAATAGCGTAGTGGAGCCTGGACTTGACAGGGAGCCTGTGGCATGAGAACCGCGAACAAGCAACATATGAAGAAATCTTCTCACTGTGGAGACTGGGGAGCTTATCATCAGGCGTTACATGTGGGGACCAGCAAACCCAATAGGCCATCGCCATGCTAACAAGGCGTATTCTCTAATCCAGCTCGGCTGTTTCACCCAACACCCCCTGTAGTCAAAATTCTCCCAGTCTCTTCCACCCATCCCTAATTCTAGCTCGGCCCCCATCTTCGCTTTCGTCTTCCGTCTATCCTTTTCCCAACGTTCCTCTCCCATCCACCCTCCCATCACCACCCTCTCCTCCCTACCTCCTCCTTCCCTATCCTACCCTTCCCCTGCATCCTGCAGCCTCTCACCGTGCGTCACGTAGGTGATCTGCATGCCGTTCGGGTGGTTGACTTTCTCCGGTACCAGCGCTACATTCATCGCCTGCAGCGACATCGTCTGCTTCGGGTGCTTCCCCTGCAGGGAGAGATGAAATAACATTGTCAGCAAGGAGTGACGCTAAATTTGTTGAATTGAATGCATCGCTACTTGCAGTTAGTGACAATCAAAGCACTTAATGTATCGATACACCTCTTGAATATTGATAACGCAGAGTCGTTTTAATGCACTCAACTTTATATTGATGAGGAGCAGGTAAGAGGTACCTACATCGTGTATCTCAATGACATAGGCAACAGTTCTGTGGACTTCAAGCATCTGTTCTTCGCCATGGTCATAGGATAAGCTGCCCAATAGTATGTATATATCGTAAAGTATGCTGCCATTTTATTGCTTATTTTGGCTTTATGGTGCGATACAACATCCATGCATTACATGAATTGCAATGCATGGTGTATTTAGCTGCTTATTGCGATTCAAGTTGTTGAAATGCAACAAACTTAGAATTAGATGGTACCCAAACATGTGTGGTACCACATAAACGAGCCAAAACACTGCCTAGTCGACCAGGCTTTATCACTACATTTCCCCACAGGCTTCTAAAACACCACACATCCGATTCCGGCGGGGCTCGACTAAAACAGCACAGAGCCGCACATGTGTCCCGTTCCGTCCCCGTCACCACAGTGGGCACCAGCGCTGCACCAGACACCATTTCCGGACCGGCTGGTGACAAATTCTGCAATCTGCACCAGCTGAACTTTGCCCTTTAGTTCACTAGCCTTCGTCGTTTGTTAGCTGACTAGCCTACAATCGTCAGTTGACTATCCCAGCACCATATGCCCTGTTGACTAACGAAATCCGTTAACTCAGAAACCTAAATATGTAGGTATAATACGTGGGGTGAGTAACGTTAGCCCCGTCATCCGATGAGCCTTACTACGTCAATATACTGAGCTTTACCCGTCATCTGACTAAAATTCACCGTTCCCTTACAGTAGGTAAGTTGTACCGATCTGTAAGCTGGCATAACTCGCTAGTCAGCTGAGTTACCAGCTTATTACGTCAGTTGCCTTACCTCTTACCTCTTCATAAACTGCTAAACTATACATACATAATCTGACAAGCCTCAGACCTTTGTCAAACGAGGAATATTTGTGGTGAATTGTGCTACATGCGGAAACACTAGAGCTGACGCTGCCAAACAGAGACAAAGCGCAACCATATTATAGATGGTCCTGTTAGTGGAGCTGGCGCAAAAAGCGTTCTCGGCAACAGCTGGACCTGGCTGAGTCCAGTTCTCTGCAGATCATTGCGTGATTAAGTTTTTGTTTTTGTTGCAAGGGCACGTGCTTCGTTGCGTGCTCTGGCATTATGTGCAAGTGAGCAGGGACGGAGGCACGCAACGTAACAACTTTCGTGAGTCTGGGGTGACTTCGGTAAGCTTCGGCTATCAGATGCAGCAAATTCACACGCCATCTTTTGACCAGGGATACCTACTATCTATACGGATTTCAAAAGGCTACACCATAACCAATACGCATGGAAAAACAAAATGTATTTCCGAACAGAAATTGGCGAAGAGAAAATTTCATGAAAAACACCGGTCTGACCCCGATAACTCTCCAGCTCCGATAAATCTACCCACAACAGCCAACCACACAGCAAGCCCAACGATTTGACCTAACTACTGTCTCACCGACTCACCTCTTTGACATAGTAGGACAGCGTGTTGGTAGCCTCGGAGAGCTCGAAGCGGCGGATCTCGAACTTGGCCGCGTCCCGTCCCCGTTTCATGAGGTGGCCGCTCTTGGTGCTGGCCATGTAGCCCACCTGGCGGGCCGGCTCCAGAAACTCCTCCCGCTCGTACTTGGCGCGAATAAACTGCTCCAGAAGAACACTGGAATATCATAAACGGGTCAATAAATTGCTCATGAAGATGAAGCACACCAAAGTCATAAACCAGTCCAAACACTGCTCTAATGGTACTCTGGAATCACAAACGGGTCAATAAACTTCTCGAGTAAGACCCTGAAATAATAACCGAGTAAATCACTAATCCAGTAGCACACTGGAACCATAAACGATTCAATAAACTGCTCCAAAAACTTCCTAGAGCCACACACGACTCCATAACTAATCCACGGTTCATCCACTGAGCTTAACGGCTGTGCGAGGCAGACACAGTTCGAACTCCCATTGGTGCGCTCCCCCCGATCTCATTATGCGATAGGCGGGGCTCACCTGAACCCAACCTATGATTGGGTGCACTACCCTGACCCTGCTCTCACATTGGCCACACCCCTCTGACCCTGCCCTATGATTGTCCACACCCCCTGACCTTGCCCTCACATTGGCCACACACCCCTGACCTTGCCCTATGATTGGCCACACTCCCCTGACCTTGCCCTCACATTGGCCACACCCCCTGACCTTGCCCTCACGTTGGCCACACACCCCTGACCTTGCCCTCCGATTGGTCACACCCCTGACCTTGCCCTCACATTGGCCACACCCCCTGACCTTGACCTCACATTGGCCACACCCCTGACCTTGCCCTCCGATTGGTCATACGTACGCAGGCGCGCAGCCGTCCGGGCGACGGTAACAGTCCGGTAGGTACCGTTCGTAGTGGGCGTTTGACACCTCGTTTCCATGCTGTTCCATGAAGATTATTTGGTTCTCGTCCAGCCACCTGGGCAAAGAGAGAACATAGTTACAAATTAGACAGAGTTCCAATCAAAAGCAGTGTGGCGGTGTAGTGGCCAACACAGGGGATGTTACATAGGTCTGGATGACTTTGTGGATAAATACCTGTTCTTTCAAGACAACTCATCAAGATTCCTTTCAAATGCAAACATTTAACCCGGCAAAATACAGCGTTGATCGCGATAATCAAAATAGCGAGCCGTTGCACACGATTCATTCGCCAAACCACACACGAGACTGTTCCGTGACCATTCCGTGTCTACTGCTCACCCGACCACATGATGCAGGTGTCCACCTTTCCACATCTACCTGCCCACATAGAGCTGTCCACAGACTGCAGTCCACATTTCCACACCCACCTACCCGCACTGAGGTGTCCACATTTTCCACATTTCCACACCTACCTGTCCACACGGAGGTGCCGTGTCTGGGAGATGTGTGTGCCCATGGAGCGATGGATCCCCACACATGTAGTGCAGAGAAACACTCCCAGGTTGTAGGAGGCATACTCCACCTCTGTGAAAAAGAGGCAACGGCAAAAGGTTAGATGAAACATATTGTATCGGGAGACTAAATGCATACAACCCCTGGAGGCTCATCTGCATCTTCATATAGCCCTTGGTCTCCTTCGCTCTGTATTCTCCCTGCTTATAACACGGTCATAAAAAACATTGCTTGGGTTCAGGAGAACCCGGGTTCGAGTTCCGGTGTCGCCCGTCCCCTGAACTATCGTCCCCGGCTGGCTTCTAAGCAGTGCTGGAAATGAGGCCGCTTTCTGGTCCCGGCGTTTTATTCTCCGGGCGGATTAATCCCGTCTAGCGTTAAGCCCTTCGGGACCCACTCAGGGTCGCGGTTGTTTTCGCCGCTCGCCCTAGTCGAGATGCAAAATTAATAGTCACACGAAACATATTCAGGCCAGGCAAAGCAGCCTAGTCTGGAGATACTGTTAAATGTATGCATATAGATGAAAGAAAAAGGTTTTGTAGACTCGATTAATTTCGAATTCGTATATTCAAAGCAGGGCTGCGGAGTCGGAGTCGGAGTCGGAGTCGGTCGGAGTCGGAGTCGGTCGGAGTCGACAGTTGTGACCGGAGTCGGAGTCGGAGTCGGAGTCGATTTTAGAAACCCGAGCCGGAGTCGGAGTCGGAGTCACCGAAAATCTGTCGACTCCGCAGCCCTGCTAGGTCTGCGGAGTCGGAGTCGGTCGGAGTCGACAATTCTGCCCGGAGTCGGAGTCGGAGTCGGAGCTGGTTTTTGAAAGCCGGAGTCGGAGTCGGAGTCGGAGTCGCCGAAAATCCATCGACTCCGCAGCCCTGATTCAAAGGCCCCAAATAAACTTCGTGTGACTATCAACTTTGCATCTCGAATGGGCTGAGCGGCAAAAACAACCGCGGCTCTGAGAGGGTCCCGAAAGGCTAAGCGCTAGACCTGTTTCACCGGGGGCCCTGTTTCACCGGTGATAGCAGCACGCTGCTTTTACACGTGTCAAATTGGGTCGTCCCGTGAAACACCGCCGGGGCTAACCCACCCGGAGAATAAAACGCCGGGACCAGAAAGCGGCCTCATTTCCAGCACTGCTTCTAGGAGTGAGGTGGGCTCTCGATATTGCCGTAACATAGAAGGAGCTCTCCTGGTATTAGACGAGCATAGCCAGTTGGTTGGAGAGAAATACAGAAACTGAGAAGTAGAATTACGGTCAGCGATGTTCGACCGTGACCCCAGGACTAGAGTCCACAGAGACCCCAGTGCTCCTATTGGTGAAGTGATCTTGTAGTGGGGCTCACACTAGCTGCATCCACCCCATAGAAATCTCGCATATCGAGCGCCGAAGTTCACGAACCGGGGGTCCGATACAATGCTCAACAAACTGAGTTACAAGAGACTTTGAAAAGACTTTCGCTTTGACTTATATCCACGTACGAGCACAGCTGGTTTGACTGCATTGCGTTCACCACGTCAAATCAGCATATGATACTGAGCGCACGTGAACACACCATCATGCGATGGCACGGAGCCACGTCCCCCCCTCCCCCATCCGTCCGGGGGGCGACCGGACCGGACGTTGTGGGTGATAGCGCGCCGTGCCACCGACCGTCGAGACGAGGCCGGGTGGATAGGGACTGGCCAACGATACCCCACGACGTTGCCGTGAATGCCAACACCCGGCACACACCGGCAAATGCAGGACGGTCGTCGTCACGCCAAACCCAAGATTCTGCCGCGGCAACGATCGTTTTGGACAGAATGCATGATGAAAGGGGTGTCCTTTACCGATATCGATCATTCAGTGATTGGTTTAATCAAGGGTTGCCTTAATTAACACTTGCCTGTATTGGTGTTTTGCCAGCCACGAACGTATAAGGGGGGGGGGTCCATTTAACCCTCCTTGCCGTTTCGCCCCTGATCGAGCTAGAGCTTCGCGAAAAAAAAAAACGAGCGTGTTGCCCGTGACGAGAGGAAGTCGACGATACCCAATCGGGACCTGTTAGAACGTCGTAAAGTGTGGCTGCCATGTTTTTTTCGGGGTGCTGATCACGAATATCATGCTAGTTTTGATCACAGATGATGTTTTAATGTATTTAGACCAGGTCGGGTCAGGTCAGGTCAGGTAAACCAGTAGGGGTTGTGAGTTGTGACGGGTATTCGTAGTACGTGTCAATCGCCTCTGACAGCTTCGTAGCATGTCACGAAGGCACAAAAACAGCTTTGTAATTGATCAAATGGTGGCTAATTTCGAATTCAGCTTCAAAAACTAGCCTAGAAACAGGTAAAACTCGAAAAAAATGAATCGAGGTCATCAAAGGTCAATGGCCTGACTTGACCTTCAGCCTTCAGGTGACCTTGACACCCACCCTGATGCATGGACTAACACACACATTTTGAACGCTTGAAACCACGAAAAGACTGCAAACGCGCGGCTAATGCGAGCCGACATATGTACGCTGAATCGCGATTCCGGCCAAACATGGTCTCGAAAAGTAGTAACAGGTCAAAGGTCATTTAGGTTAGGGTCATTAAATTTTCAGGGTAGGTGTAAGATTGATTAACGTGAGGGTACTGAAAGTTTCGTCGCGATCGGCCACTTTTTACTTGAGTTACTCGCGAAAAAAAAAAACGAGGGAGTCCCTTCACTTCCTCCCCCCCCCCCTCCCCCTATATGGGTGAGGGCTAAGTTTAAACACTTGAAACAATGGCAAAATTAAGTAGGTAATGAATTTGCATTTAGTGTACAGTGTGTCTAAAAAGAATGTACCGTCGCCACTACGTGGCGCTGGTGTCGCGAGCCGGTAGTTGGCTGAATCCGCACCAGACCACACATTCCCAGGCGCTAGGTGACAGCTGCGCAGCGGCCGGTAGTAGCGTAAGCCCGAACCTTCGTGACACGACCCCGGGGGGGGGGGGGGAGGGAGGGGAGCGGGCGGGGCAGCGCGTGTAGGGAGGGGTGCTCCAGCAAGCTGGCAGTTGTCGCGGCCAAAGGTCAAGGGGTCACACACCAAGCGAACGGACGCTGATGTGGGTTCGTGGGGATCATGAACTTGTGTGTGGTAGGTGCGTCTTGCGATGCACGGGTGATACGCCAGGTCTAAGCCAAAGGATTCAGGGGAGAGCTGAAGAAAACACCTGGTCAACTACGGCGAATAATAGTGCTGAAAATGGAAAGTATGGGTCAATGCAAGCCTTCATGACTATAAACAACTTTCTGAGGACGCAAAGGCCAGCATTGAATAACGATATCCGGATTGAAATTAGCAATGATTTATAATTAAATGCCGAACTAATAGCGCTGCAAAACCCTCCTAGTAAATTGTCAAGTCGGATTATACCCACTTGAATTAAACTATCCTAAATAAAATTGTTAATCAACTTTCTAACACTGACGTTCTTTATCATACGATAAGTATGGGGTTAACCAAGATTCAGCATCTTCAGCGTTCAAACAATCACCTGTAAGGCTAGAACATTAATGGCCAGGTAAAAACATGGTCGGGATTTGATTAACCGGATTATAAGTCGATTTTTTTTAGTCGGGATTTGATAAGTCGGATTTTTTACGCCAACCGCATTTTAAGTCAAGTCTGGTCACTGACCTCAATAAAGGTCAGTGACCTGACCTTGACCCGAGGTTAACACCTTAACTCTCGCCCGTATTGGTGTTTTTCCAGCCGCAAACGTATAAGGAAGGGGGGGGGGGGTCCGTTGGACCCTCCCTTGCCGTTTCGCCCCTGATCGAGCTCTAGCTCGATAGACCCATACACGCTCGATAGACCCATACAGATAGACTAGAGACTCGATAGAGCTCGATAGACCCATACAACACGCTCGTTTTTTCCGCGAAGCTCTACTTCGCGGAAAAAACGAGCGTGTTGGCCGTGACGAGAGGAAGTCGATGATGCCCAATTTTAAGGTCCTAGGTCATCGGTTGACTTTCCAGGTCAGGTCAATGACCCAAAAGTCGGGAAAATCGGGCCTGTTAGAAATTCGTAAAGCGTGGCTGCTATGGGGTTTTCGGGGTGCTGATCACGAATATCATGTTAGTTTTGATCACAGATGATGTCTTCATGCATTTAGGCCAGGTCGGGTCAGGTCAGGTCAGGTCAACCAGTAAGGGTATTCGTAGTAGGTGGCAACCGCCTCTGACAGCTTCGCAACATGTTACGAGGGCACCAAAACTACTTCGTAAATGTTCATATGGCTGCTAAATTCGAATTCAGCTCCTAAAACTGGCCTAGAAACATGTAAAACTCGAAAAAGTGAACCGAGGTCATCAAAGGTCAATGACCTGACCTGACTTTCCGGTGACCTTGACACCCACCCTAATGCATGGAAGCAACATCATATCCCATGTTTGAACGCTTAAAACCACGAAAAGACTGCAAACGCGCCGCTAATGCGAGCCGACATACGCCGAATCGCGATTCCGGCCAAACATGGTCTCGAAAAGTAGGTCGCAGGTCAAAGGTCATTAAGGTCAGGGTCATGACAATTTCAGGGTGGGTGTAAAATTGATTAACGCGAGGGTAACGAAAGTTTCGTCGCGATCGGCCGCTTTTTACGCGAGTTATTCGCGAAAAACCGAGGGAGAGGGGTCCGTTCGACCCCCCCCCCCCTCTATACGGGCGAGGGTTAAGTTGATCTCACCCGAAGAAAAAGTATACCATTCGACACGCCTGAGCTAGACAAACACGATGCTGCTAAAATCGCGGATCTGCGATCATTTTTAGCGAAGTTATTTACCAAAAACCGAAGCTGTGCCTTGGGCCACTTGACCTGACCTCCAAAGTCATCGGCTGACCCTGGTCCTTAAATCGGAGACCAATCGCTGCATTTCGTAACGACGCACACGATCGTTTCTTTCGTGAGGCTCTAACTCAATTAGGGGCGAATCGGCGAAGGGGGGTTGGAAGTGTTTCCTCACTTCCAACCCCCAACGTCCCCTCGGTATTCAGAAAACCTGAAGGTCCGGTGAGGGTTAAAACGTTTCTCCTGAACGAGGAAGAAATGTAAAAGTCAAAGCTCTATAGACGCCCTGTACCTAAAAGTGGCCATAATAATAAATTCGTTAGAAATAAGATGCTTTTTAAACGACTTCCTCATATAAAATCGGGTGCTGGGAACAATCTTATAAACGCTTTAGAATGGACAGGGCGTCACTGGCTAAAGTTTGGGTGCAGAAAACGGCTATTACCTAAATGCAAAAAAATGGTTTTCATGCATTTCAGTCAATTGTATATTGTCGGTCCCATTGGCCGAGCTAAAAAAAAAATCGGTAGTGTTTTGCATCTTTTACGCCCTAAGAAACTACACCATCTATCGAAGTGGGCGGGCTTATTTGAATGGGAGGGCGCATTATGCACGAATCGAGTGCTTTCGTTTATTTTGGACTGTATTTTACCACATCCACTGCTGGTATCACTATTAATATTATCTAATGCCGTGAATACGACAGCATTCCATTTATAAGATTGGGCCAATGGAGTCGCGCCCCGCGAGCTCGGTTTTCCGCTGGGCCTCTACAGGCCAGGAAGTCGGGCTTCGCCTGAGGGCAGGACAAAGGTCAGCGAGGGAGCGCGGGGTCAGCCAGGTATCGTCAAGTGTCGAGCGGATGCCGCTCCCTCCCTCTCTTCCCCTCTTCTCCCCTCCCCACCTCGGTATAGATGGGGAGGGACCGAACTGCCAATGACATGCGAGCGGTCAAGGCCGCTCGCGCGGCAGCGACCCTGGCGGCCGGGTGCCGCAACTGGGATTCAGCCAAGCTACCGATTCGCCTCCTGTGGGAGAGCCAAACCAGGGGACATACTTTTTAGATATACTGTACATACCTATTCAAAACAATAAACCACGATGAGTGACATACCATGATATTTTTAGCATAAAAAATTATAATCTATCAGAGATCTCTTCAGTTCAGGCCACCTGATCATGATGATAAGAATGAGAAGCTCAGCAGACACTTTTTGTCTTTGTTTGTCTTACTAGGAAGCTTGATACATGCATAATGAAAATGCAATTTATCTTAGCTTCACTTCACACAAAAATGCATGACAGGCAGACTCACTGTTGGTACTTGGTACCTATATGAATAATTTAATTTCATTTCATTTTTCAGTTTATCAGTTTCACAGTTTATCAATCAAAACCAGAGCAGAAGAGCAAAATATTATTGCTCATCAACAATAATGAGGGGCTAATATAATATGTATCCATGTATTTATTGATATTTTGAAGGTAAGATGAATTTTTCAGACAAAATTTAAGAGGTATGTGCGAAGCTTAAATCAATTAAAAATGCTGATAGGGTAACAAAATTAAAGGGCTGCAGGAGTAATATGATGTCAAAAATCCTATAAGGAAATGGTGTAAGAGCAATGCTGACTGATAAGGAAATAATTCCTCACCCTTTCCAGTTACTGAAGTATTGAATCACCTTGCCCCGGATCTGTTAAAAATGGGATAATTTCACCTTTTCAACCTAATAATTTTTGTGCAACAATTTACAAAGTAACTACTTCTGCTCTTTCTCCTTCCCTGAGCTATAACTGTTCTGAGAGCCCACCTCGCTCCTTGTGTTGGTCAGCTGAAAACAAATATGGAGGACATTTGCAGTCATGCAGATCAATGCAAAGTAATTAAAATCCCTCAAGCCACCTTGAAGCAACAGGGGACAGCTAGCAAGGTAACTACCTGGTTACAAAATGAATTAGGTACCTACCTATCACGAATTGAAACTTAACATCAGTTTGACTATGGAGATTTGAATCGGAAATAACAGCTGAAAATGGGCAAACTGTACAGAAAACATCAACATGCAACCATTTTCATATATCAAGAGTGATTATGTTCCCACAAATTAAAAAAACATTTTAAAGGAAAAGGGCCACCTTTAACATGGGGATTGGAACTGAGATAGCCATCTTGTAGCCCGTGTCCGAAAACCAAACTGTCTACCTCCTTACGGCCGATTTCGGCCTCCATTCGTAGTTATCGGCAATTTTAAAAGAAAATACGCCAGGAATGCGTCCTTATCCCAGGAATGCGTTCTTATCCGACAATACAGCCACCCGCGGCGAGGCTTTGGTTTTTTACCAATCAGCTCCAACCAGCTCAGCTTTAACCAATCAGCTTATCTGACACAATCCGACGAGTCTGTCTTCTGAACGCTGATTGGCTTGAGTGTGACGTCATCGCTATGCCATCATACAGTAGGTGCCGTAGAGAGTATCAACATAGTACCAATATGTTAAATAGTTTTAAATACTTTTTCGCGAATTGTGCACTTCTGGCACCAGTTTTAAAAAGAAAATGAAAAATAATAATGTCAAAATGAAAAACAACGATATCTTCATATTTCACGAAGGTGGCCCTTTTCCTTTAAGCTGTTATATGAACAATATTAATATTGGCTGGCTAATATCCCATTTTGATTTGATCAAAGTCTTCAAACTGCAAGCAATAATGAAGTCAAAGTGAACACTTACGTGGGCTCCTGCAGTCTGCGCACACATCGTTGCCAGGTAACCGAGAAATCTCCAATATTCTCGCGTTTTGATCACTCATCACTAATTCTGGAGAGCTCAATCACAAGAACTTGCAGAGGACACCTCGAAAACCAAACCACCATTCACGGTTTTGGTTTAGGCACTGAAGTGCTCAGCTGCACCGCTAGGAGAGCAGGCCAAAATTAATAGATTTAAGTGAAGCAATCAGCAACCGAAAGGGTGCAAGCACAATAAAATTCACGCTAAATTCACACATTCACTACTCTGCCTCTGATCAAGCACAGACAGCGCACACAGACATCGGAGAAGTTCACGATACAAATGATTGCGAATGAATGAAAGCTCAATCAACGTTGCCGAAATTCGGTATGTCAAATAGGCTTTTAAATTCGGAACGCTTTTGAATATTGCTGCCATATTTGAAGGAAAACAAGGACCATGGCAAAGCTTTTTTACATGTGGGCGAGGATGGATGACATGATTATTATTAATATAACGAGGCTTGAAATGAAGCTTTTCAAGCTTTTTTATGTTTACTCATTTTCATCGCGTTATTGTAGCGTAACCGGTAACAATTAGTAGGCACGATTGATGAATATCGATTGGTGACGAAAATATATTGGATTGGAGCTTTCGATTCGAATGTTGACGGAAATATGCAAATGCGTATTGCGTATGCGACCTTGACCTGTGACCTTTTTCTCAAGTCCGATCAGCCTAGAGTGAAACAACGAACTTAACTTCTAAATGCCGGATGATAAGAATTAGGGGGAAACATTCAGGGACGGCGCCACGCATAGGCGTAGGAACGTTTTCGAAAGTGGGGGGGCCAGGGTCCCAGAGGTCCAAAACCTAACCTACCCCCAAAATCCGATTTCTCCTCGGATTTCGGCCACTTTGTTTTCGCAAACATGCTCAGAGGTAAAAAAAAAAAAATCGAGACAAAAAAAAGAAAAACATTGGTTGAAATTTCAGGGAGTCTCCCGTCCATAAACTCAAACTGATGGACGCGTTCCCCTGTCCTCCGCAGCCGCTGGCACCCATGCAAATTCCAGAGGCATCCAGCAACTTTTTCATTACGAGCAAGCGTGAAACGTGCAAAGCGAGTCTTTTCAATATACCTATAAAAATCAGCATGAACGGCCCAGCTAGGCTCAGCCAGGCCTATAACGTTTTTAAGAGGTTTTATATCAGCGACCACTGCAACTGGGCTGATTGACTATCACTTATCAGAGGCCGGTGTGGGACTTTTAGACGGTCTGGGCCTTCAGAGGCCAGTTTAACCCTCCACGGCCCGGTCCTATAGGTTTTCTACATACGCGCTGGCCGAGGGGGCGGGGGGCGGGTACGACCCCCCTCGCTGTTTCGCCCCAGGTGGAGCTAGCGCGTCGCGGTAAAACGAGCGTGTGCGCCGTTACGAGACGCAGAGATCGATACCCGATTTTATGGTCCTAGGTCAACCGGTGACATCTGACACCGTTCCGTGCTTCTATCCTCAGGATACCGAAATCCTTCTCCTCCACACCGCAACCCCCTCCGGGCTGGACAGGCAACTTTATCTCATGCGGGCTGCTCCCTTGGAGCGGCACCGCTGCTCCCGAGGGAGCGCACCCCGTAGCCGGTTGCAGTGAGTGCCTTGGGGCTGGGTGGCCTGTCCTCTGGACGGGCTCAGCCCCGGCGACTCACTAGGGTGCCTGCCCAGACCAATGTCTCCCCCTATATCCTATCATCCTTCCGGCTCTGAAATGGTCTCATTGGACCGAAAGGGCCTAACCCAACAAAACGAACAAAAACCGGTGACCTCTGAGGTCAGGTCAAGTGCCTCAAGGCACGGTTCCGTTTTTGGTGAATAACTTCGCAAAAAATGGCCGCAGAGCCGCGATTTTGCCAGCATCGTGTTCGCCTCTCTCAGGCGCGTCGAATGATATACTTTTTGGGTGAGGTAAACTTAGGGTGTTGACCTCGGGTCACGGTCAGGTCGGCGTCCCCAGGTCATGAAATTGGTCGAAGGAGGTCATGTCGCATATCATTCGATTCGGCAGGTCTTCTTGAGTCCATAGGTGGCTTTCCCGACTCGCTAGCTCAATTTGATCGGTACCTAGTTATTGACGAAAAACTAATAAGACCCTTATAACTTCATAAATGACGTCGCGCAAGGTCAACATTGCAAAAGTGACGCATCGAACCTTGCAAGGAGTGCATCAAATCACGATTCGGTGTGCTTGAGATAGTTGGAGATCGATCGTTCCCGGCGCCAGAAAAAAGTTTTCAGTTTATCCCCATTGACTTATAGGGTAGGGTGGGGCAAAGCGCCCACCCTAACTTTCCAGCCCCAGTATCTCTTTATCTTACAAATTTGAAAGACAACTAGGTAGCTGATCTGGTAGCTCATTACCTTGGCTTTCTTCGAATAACACATAAGAAACAAGTGGCATGCATGGTTTTTGAGATATGCCATCCGAATTGAGAGGACTACAAATCGGGCGTTTTGCCCTACCCATGGGGCATAACGCCCATATGAGTGGGACATAACGCCCAGTCCTGAACATTTCATTACACGCTCGGTACTCTGACAAAAGAATGCAGTGTTTATCCATTCTCATTTCGTTTGACTTTAAATCGATAGATTACACCACTAAACACATCTTGAACACTGTTGTTACCACCCCACTCCTCATTCAGTCAACGGGCTGTCACCGCCTTGGAGAGCGGAGATAAGTTCGTGCGAATAAATTGTTCCAGGCGATACTAACCAGTATATTGCATATTTCATAAGAATCCTGAGCATTAGAAACGTATCCCGACACTCACTTTCAGCCAAAAATGTTCGCAAATACCCGTACTGTATTACTCCCATTAGGGGTAAAACGCCCATGATGGGCGTTCTGCCCCACACCAAAGTGGGCGTATTACCCCAACAGCACATTCAAAACGAAGTCCACCAAAATTAAACGTGTGACGATTGTGTTGCAAAACAGTAAATGCTCAAAACATAGCTTAAATCCGCAGGTTCTGCGTAGCTAAATTCCATTGCCTACTTTAATCTCTATCAGACAAAGTTTTAGTAGTATGAAAACATGTAATATCTAAAAATTGTCTGAAATAAACTAATCTTTATCTTACGTCCAGAACAACCCACTTGTAGAACCGAAAAAGGGGGCAAAAGTAGATTCCTGCTCGTTCTTGAAAATGGCTATCGAGAATTCTTCGAAAAGTCGAACACTTCATAAAAAAGAGGGGTGGGCGTTTGACCCGCCCTGGGCGCTTTGCCCCACTCTACCCTACCTAATGGTGAGGTCACGAAAATGACCTGACCTCATATGAACTTTAGGAAAAATCCGAGATATACATTATACAAGTTGAGAGACTCCTATTGGATACTAGGTCCTCCAAGGTTCATTTCCCTGTGAAATCTCCTCTGGCAGTGAGGGCGTTGCGAAGTTGCGACATCTGAAGACCGTGCAGAGGTTCACTTATGACCACATGGGTCAGTGACCTGATCTGACCCGAAAATGCGGTTGGTGTCAAAAGATCCCGTTTGATTCAAAGGTCAGGTATGCCAAGCTTCAGCTCTCTATCGCCGGCGTGTTCGGAGCTATCGCGAAAAAAAAAACCTATGGAGGGGCGGCACCCGCCCCCCCCCCGGCCGGCGAGGGTTAAGGCCCTCAGAGACCAGTACAGGGCCTGCAAAGGGCAGGATGAGAACCTTAAGATGCCGACTTGGGCCATCAGAGGCTAATGTGGGTCCTTACAGGCCAGTATTGGCCCTCAGAGGTCAGTGTGGGACCCTAAAATGCCGGCATGGGCCGGTGTTGGACCCCAGAGGCCAGCAGAAGACCCTCAAAAACCAAGATGGGCCTCAGAGGCCGGCATCAGGTCTTCAGAATCCCGTGCAAGGCCCTCACTCTCAGAGACTAATGCGTGTCCTTACAGGTCAGCATGGGCCCTTAGAGGTCAGTGTGGGGCCCTAAAAGACCGGCATGGGCCGGCGTTGGACCCCTCAGGCCAAGGTGGACCCTCAGAGGCCGATGCGGACCCTTAGAGGCCGGCATCGGGTCTTCAGAATTCAGTGCGGGGCCCTCAAAGGCACCTAAAGGCTAGTCTTGGGACCCCAGAGACAGAAATGAGGCCACCAGAGGCCGGTGTGAGGCCCTCAGACGCCGGCTGGGCCCTTGAGGCCGGTTTAGGGGCCCTCAAATGAGGTCAATGTGGGTTCTCAGCGGTCAATGTGGGCGCTTGACCGCCACTGAAGGGCCCTCCGAGATCAGTGTAGGACCCTCAAAGACTGGTTTGGGAGCTGTTAATAGCTAGCGTGGGATTCTTGAGTCTCGTGACAATCGAATAAGGGACAGAGCCCCATACGCCCATGGGGGCCCATTGGTTGTTTGGGGGGGCCAAATGATATGATGGCCCCCTGATTAGCCTTTGGAGGGGGGAAGGGCATGGCCCTGATCCCCCTCTGCGACCGCCACTGCACTGAAAGTGGAAGGGGGAGGGGCAGAAACAGACATTGCTGGCCCCCAGCCTGTTTGAACCGAGGCTGAGGCACGGTCACCCTGGCCAAGATTCCTTTACTACTCAGGTTGGTTCACTAGGGAAATAAAGGCGCCGTGGTGACGTCATCAGAGGAAATCCTTCACATTCAAATGAAGGGGTGATTTGAATTGCTGATTTTGGCTCGATATAGGCCTACTTTTTTAGTTTCAGTCCCATTTATCGTAATGAGGCCAATTCATTGTTACATTGGTACATCTTTTGATGACATATAAGCCTTGATTTTTTCTCAAGCTCGCCCGAAAGATGATGAAATTTGCATGCATGCCTATGGGTGAAGGGAGATTCTGCCGCCGTGGTGACGTCACGGTAAAGGGATTCTGGAGCTCGTGAACGGGGGCTGACCCTGGCCCCCAGCTAGTACGCCTTTGACGAACTATGCCGACCCCAAGCAGATAAGGTCAAGCGTTGGTCGTTTGTATACGCATTCTCCTGCACCGTGCTAGTATTGTCTTAGTATTGCCTATACCTTTTTAGTGCTCGCTGTCCCGCGCCTCGTATTCAACAAAATGCTGTCACCAGGACTCACAGTCTTGTCTCTGATATGGTTTCCTTCATTGAGTGAAGGAAATTGCGGTCAATAACGCTGTAGAAACAAAAAGGAATACTCATTAAAGGGCAAGCTGAATAGTTGTCAAGTTACCGGGTGGTAGGTTAGGTACAGACAGACACTTAAGTCAGCAAAAAGTGGGGGGGGGGGCAGTTAACATTGCTGGCCCCCCCACCTCCGAAAGTGGGGGGGCCATGGCCCCCCCGGCCCCCCCTGTTCCTACGCCTATGGGCCGCCACGGATTTCGCCTTGCGGGGGCAGGTTTTCAGAAAAAGGGCCCAAACAAGATGGGGGCCCAAACTTTCCGAAATATCGTCAATACCATCAATACTATGCAAGCCTTTATTTGTACCTTGACCTACCATTCCCACAACCGTTGCCTTCTACACAATAACTTTTGTGTTAAAAGACACACTCTTAACCTTCGCCCATATTGGTGTTTTTCCAGCCACGAACGTATAGGGGGCGGGAGTCCGTTGCCCCCCCCCCCCTTGCCGTGTCGCTCCTGATCAAGCTAGACCTTCGCAGAAAAAAAGAGCGTGCTGCCCGTGACGAGAGGAAGCCGATGATACCCAAATTTAAGGTCCTTGGTCATCGGCTAACCTTCCAGGTCAGGTCAATGACCCAAAAGTCGGGAAAATCGGGACATGTTAGAACGTCGAGGTTGGCTGCTGTGGGTTTTTCGGGGTGATGATCACGAACGTGTTAGTTATGATCATAGATGATGTCTTCATGCATTTAGGCCAGGGCGGGTCAGGTCAGGTCAGGTCAGGTCAACCGGTAGGGGCCGTGACGGGTATTTGTAGTACGTGTCAACCGCCTCTGACAGCTTCGTAACATGTTACGAAGGCACCAAAATTACTTCGTAAATGTTCAAATGGTTGCTAAATTCGAATTCAGCTCCAAAAACTAACTAAGAGACATGTAAAACTCAAAAAAGTGAACCGCGGTCATCAAAGGTCAATGACTTGACCTGACCTTCCGGTGACCTTGACACCCACCATAATGCATGGGAGCAACATCATATCCCATGTTTGAACGCTTGAAACCACTAAAAGACTGCAAACGCGCGGCTAATGCGAGCCGACACACGCTGAATCGCGATTCCGGCCAAACACGGTTTTGAAAAGTAGGTCACAGGTCAAAGGTCATTAGGGTCAGGGTCATGAAATTTTTAGGATATGTGTAAAATTGTAAAATTTCTGTACCCTCGTGATTAACACGAGGGTACAGAAAGTTTCGTCGCGATCAACCGCTCTTTACGCGAGTTATTCACGAAAAACCGAGGGGGTCGTTCGACAACAGGCAAGACATTGTTCTTGTGGTAACATGAATAGGTAACCTTTTGTTGGAAGCTGTTTACTATCCTGACCAACGAATTCCACGTAAACAACCCGAATCAGCCTGAACAGCCCAAATTCTTAACCCGGCTGGAAAGTGACTCTGACGGACAGTGGCTGAAACAGGAGCTCGGCTCGACAGGGCCGGCCCAAAAACACCGATACACACGTCACACATGACACAGGAGCGGCGCCTCGGGTTATGCCCTTAGGTTGACCTAAAGGCCCTCGCATGAGTGGAATGGGCCCTCAAGCATGGTACGGTTGACCCCGAAGGTTGACCGGCGACCAGGGTTTAGTGCGGCGTACTCGCGGGCGATTTCGATATCATAGGGACCCTATGAGGCCTAGTTCCTATGTTCCCCCGAGACTGGATATGGGCCCTCTGAGGTCTCGAATGGGCATTCGGAGACCTGTTACGCCCCATTAGGCCTAGTATGGACATTCTGAAGCCTGGTATAGGCACATTGTGGCCTGATACGGGACTTCCGAGGTCTGTTAGGGTCTATGCGGCCTGAAAGTGGCCTTCTGAGGCCTTGTAGGTGCCCTCTGCGGACTGGTCTGGGCCTTCGGAAACCTGTCAGGTCCCCATTAAGTCTATTATGAACCTTTTAAGACCTAGTATAGGCCTCAGAGACCTGATTTGGCCCCTTGAAACCTGGTATGGTCCTTCTGAAGCCTGGTTTGGGCCCCTGAGACCTGGTATGGGCCTTCTGAAGTTCGGTAGATCCTCAGTTTGGCATGGCCATTGGAGCCCGGTAAAGGCCCTTTCTTGACTCGGGTAGGGACCCTATGAAGCTTGATATGGGCCTTTTAAACTACTAGGGGGCTTCTGAGACATGGTATGGACCCTCTCAGACATTCTAAGGACCTTACCAGACCTTTTAATGGCCATGTCAGCACTGTTGTTGGCCCTCTAATGACTGGTATGGGCCCTCTCAGGCATGATACGGGCCCTCCCAGACCCTTGCAAGGGCCCTCTCAATACTGCTGCAGGCCCTCGCATGGGTGATATGGGCCCTCTCAGGTATGGTACGGTCCCTCCTAGTCATTGCCACAGTCCTCTCAGTACTGCTGGGGGCCCTTCCATGATTCCCATTGATTGACATAACCCTCAGTAATAGTTCAGGGTACGGGCCCTCACATAACTTGTGGTGACCCCCTCAGTACTGTTATGGGCCCTGCTGTGGGCCCTCTCAGTACTGATATGGGCCCTGTCACGGCTGGTATAGGCCCTCTCAGGCATTTTACAGGCTCTCGCACTCCTTCCAAGGGCCATCTCAGCACCGCTGCGGGCCCTGTCATGACTGGTATGGGCTCTTATCCTTCTCAGGCATAATATGGTACCTCCCAGACCATGCCTGGGCCCTTTCATATATTGAATGGGCCCTCTCAGACGTGGCATGGGCCCTCTTTGGCCCGGGTCCTTTCTACAGCCTGGGAAGATAGGACAGGGCCACAATCAGCCAAGATACAAAATAAATGATTTTCTTTCACTTTTTTTTTGCTAAATTGGGCCCTTTTCCAAAAACATGGGCCAAAGCCCGTAAGTTTAAGTTTTATCTTGGCGGCGGCACCTTGAGAAGGCCCCCTTTGGCTTGATTCCCCCCTCCTGAAGTCATTTCTACAGCTCTGCCCAGAAGTCTTCTTTCTCCACAGCCAGAGAGTATTCCGTCCATACCTGACCTGCTGGCTGAAAGAGGGCCCCAGTGTTCAGAGTTGGGGGGCGGCTGCCCCCCCTGCCCCCCCTGTGGCGCCGTCCCTGGAAACATTGGTCTGGGCAGGCACCCTGGTGACCCGTCGGGGACGAGCCCGTCAAGTGAGCAGGCCACCCAGACCTCTGACGGTCACCGCGACCGCCGACCGGCAACGGGACACGGGTCTGCTCCCAGGTTGGAGACTGGAGCTACCCGCATAGGATACAGGTGCCCATCCAGCCCGGAACAGGGGACGGGGGCGTGGAGGAGAAGGATTTTTCACTTTTTTATTTATCAAAGCCCTTATATAACACCACAAGCATACGAGACTAAACAGGTATAAAACACTTAGGAAATCCTACAGGTTTTCAAAACAGCGATACGGATCCAGATAACTCAAGCGTGAAGCACGGGAGGAGAAGGATTTGATTGTACCGAGGATGAAGAAACGACGGAACTGAGGCCATACTTCACCACAACATTTTCCTCAACACTATCCTACCTATAGGTACCTAAATAATTCAGATAGGTAATCAGAAACCAGGCGTTCGTCCATCTAAAACATCTCCGTACCCGCCCCAAACCTCGGCACAATCGGCAGTCTATTTACGCCCGTACTCGAGCCGCCCCTTATCGGTCGTCGTGGCCGCCCGTTTGAAGTGCTGTGACCTCGAGCGGGGTAGTTGAGAGGCGAGTCGCCGGGCCGACGGCCACCGTGACGCAGCAGAACAGCGGCCGTTCGCGTGCTCTGCAGCTGCCAGACAGCCGCAGTTGGCACCACCGCCCAGCGTTGGCCGCTGTACGGCGGTTGAACGCAGAAGTGCACCCTGCTGTCGCCATCATGGTAAGTAGCTGGCATTTCGGCGGGGAACGGGTCAACTCATGTGCCGTTGTCGTTGATGTTGATGCATGGTTGTCGTTTGTCAGTGTTTGCCTCATAAATGCACAATGCATGCCTTTTTAGCGGGTTCGGTTGGACTGTAGCGGGCCGTTTTGGGTACGGACGTTAGGTGTAAGTGGCACAACTCAATCGATTCATTGAAAATACAGCCTAATTACTGGTTTATTTGTGATATGGATCGATAATGTTCGAATTTATCAATAGCAATATTTATTGCCATGCCATGCCCATTTCTGAATTTACAGTTCAGCTTTTAAAATGTTTGTTTGGGTGAAAAGATTTACACACAAGTTACAGCCGCAAGGCTCGCCAAACTAAGGTTATCGTACCGTAACGACTATGTAATAGCTCGGGAAATGATGACGTTAATAGTTCTTTTCCCGTAATGTGACGAGTTAATGAACGTGCAGTGTGAGAGGATAAATCAGCAGTTACGCTTGGGTTGTGTCCCACGTATGCAGGGGCCCGGGAACGATTTTCAAGTTGGGGGGGGGGGGGCGAGCCTAAAATAACTGACATGATGCATATGAATCAGTGACGTAGCTAGGGGTCTAAGGGGACACGTATACCCCCCCCCCCATCGGGTTCAAAGGGACCCTGGGGTCCGAGGGGCCCTGCGGCGCCATTTGACCGCTGAGGGCTAACGATTGCCATAGTTCGACTTAGAAGCACCTCACGGGCCCCAAATAGCCACACTAAGATCTCCATAAGGGCCCCACGCCGGCTTCTGAGTGCCTCGTATGGCTTTTAAGGGCCCCTCGGTGGTCTCCAAACTGGCCTCTTGAGAGTTCTTACCGGCCTATGAGGGGCCACTTCTAGGGGCATTTCCCGCCTGTGATGGTCCCGCACTTATTTTTCTGAGGGCCCCATAACGGCAACTGTGGGGCCCTCATTGGCGCCTATGAGGGCCCACGGCCACATCGGTGTCTCTGAGAGGTTCACACCCCCAACTCTGAGTGCCTACACCAGTGCCTAAAAGCCCTATATCGGCCTATATAGCTCCGAGGACTCAACCAACACCTGCGCATCTAAAGTCCACCCAATGGTGAACGGCTTCACACCAGCGTCTATGAGGGACTACAGCAACGCCTGTAAGGACCCTGGCCGGCGCCTCTGAGAGAAATACACTAGCACCTCTGAGTGCCCACACCGGCACCTGCATGACGGCCCCACACCAGTGCCTCTAAACTCTAAGGGCCCCTCACCGCCGGCTCTGAGGGCCTTGCGCCGGTTATTCTGAGGGTGCTACCGATAACCTAAGGCACCACACAAGCCCTTAGTGTCGCTTAGCTTTAATCCCATACCGGCCCTCCGAGGGCGCCACGTCGGTGCACTCATTGCCCCACACCCCTTCCTCACACCCAGAGCGGGTAAACTGTGTTATACCTATAGCAACGCAACGATTTTACCACCGTTGTATGTACGTTATGTATTTCTCAAAGTTGACCCAAAATGGTCCATTATAAAATCTGGCCAAGGTCAGGCTCAAACCAAAGCGGGATGACAATAGCAGATGTTGTCAAATCGATACTGTACCAATCAGCAGAAAGCATTCAGATGGCAAGGGAAATGCTGTGTGTTGATGTTTAGATGTATAAAGAAAACAAGAATGAAAGAAGTCCGGAAAAGGGAGGAAAGATCCTTTCTCGCTGCCTCAATGTTGAGGGGGCGCCGCCCCCTCGGCTCCCAAGTTGGGGGGGGGGGGGCAAGCGCCCCCGCTGCCCCCCTGTTCCCGGGTCTATGCACGTATGTTTGATTTCTTCGATGATCGGAATCGTCTTGTAAAACGGCATTAAACGGGCAACCAATAGCATCTCTCCTCTCCTTATAGCGGGTAGACGGTTTGTCAAGAGGCGTGGCTTGGGCATGGCTGGTCACGTGTCTGCTGGCTAGTGGGATGAGCTTGGACAACGACAAGGGGTGTGCTGGTTGCCGGGGGGTTGTTCGGTCACGTGTCCACTGACTGGTAGGAGGAGCTCGGACTGCGATAGTCTGATAAACTGAAGGGTCAGCCACCCAACGATGTTGACCTTTGTACCCGGTGTGTCCGTTCACATCTCGTCGAGTTTATTTAGCGAGCTCTTCACGATAGGCGTGGGGGGGATGTGAGAGATAGTGTGCCCGTATACCTACAAGTCCAAAGTGATGTAAGTGAAAAGGTACCTACATAAGCTACAATACAAGAAATTGAATGTCATTTTAGCAAATGTGCAGTATTCTATTTTATCCGTACTCGATCGATAATCGATTTAAAAAATGGACCATGGCCCTATTACCAATTGCCATTGTCTTCTAAAGAATGTAGGTAGGTGGGTATATCAAGAGCTCTTAGACATTATGCTGTGTTTATGCCCTTGCTGACGTTCGCTGGGGATTGAATGTGTTTTCGAATTCTGCTGGTAGTGTCCCGTTCTGATCATTGACCAGTTATGTACATTACAGACGTGGTTTCTTTTTCCCACAGGGTCCGTCTCGCTCCGCCGGCGTGGCAGCGCTGCTTCTCTGTCTGGTGATTGGTGGAGAGGCGGCCCGGATCCTCATGCTGGTTCCCATTGGCGGAAAGTCGCAGAAGAACATCTTCTACGGCCTCGCGTCCGGGCTGGTGGAGCGGGGTCACGATGTAGTCTTCTTCAGCGGCTTCAAGCCTTCCACTCCCGTCAAGGGCGTTCGCGAGGTTGTGCCCGACGAGCTGGCGAGGATCTTCTCCGATGAAAATCTGCCCAACATGTTTAAGATGAATGAACGGGGCATGCAAGCGGGTCTGAAGCAGTTCTTAACTTTCTTTTCGGATGGACCTCGAGCGGCTTTGGAGAGCAAAGAACTTGACCAGCTTCTGAAAGAGAAATTTGATCTAGTCGTGTTTGGTGGGTTCTCATACCCACTGTATTTTGTCGCACATGTCCTGAAGACTCCATTCATTATCCTAGTTCCGGTTTCCTACTTCCCTATCTTTATGAGTCCTATGGGAAATCCGACTCTTCCGGCAATAATTCCAACACCATTCGTCATGAGCACGGATAAAATGACCTTCATGACGCGTGTGAAGAACGTCATGAGCCACTTCTTCTTGGAAATTGTATTCCGGAGAGGATTTTCATTCTACAGCGACCGTCTAATCGCTGAGAAGTTCGGTCCCGGAGTGATGCCTCCTGTGCTCGACATAGAAAGAAACGCTAGTCTTCTGATGCTCAGCAGCAACCCAGCTATGGACTACCCGAAGGCCCTCCTTCCCAACACCATTGAGGTTGGAGGCATGCATTGTGCTGAGCCGAAGCCACTGCCAAAGGAGTTGACCAGCTTCCTCGGTGACTCAGAATTCATCTTCTTCAGCTTGGGCTCGGTGGTGAGACCCCAAGACATGTCTCCGGAGCAGAAGGCATCCATCCTCGCCGCACTCGGCAAGCTACCCTTCAAGGTTCTCCTCAAGTGGGACACAACGGACCGCGCTGGACTGCCCGCCAACATCCTCCCCTCCAAGTGGCTTCCGCAGCAGGACATCATCGGCAGCAGCAAGTGCCGTCTCTTCGTCACCCACGGCGGTTTCGGCAGTCTGGTGGAGTCTGTGTGTCACGGTACACCCCTCCTTGTCCTCCCCGTAACTGGCGACCAGCAAGGCAACGCCATTACCGCCGAAAGGCTCGGTATGGGCGAAACCCTCACCTGGGACCGTCTGAATGCCGACACCCTGAAAGCCTCCATCGAGTCGGCCATGTCTTCGGAACGCCTCGCAGCTGCGCGGTACCGACAGCGTCTGATGAGGGAGCAGCCGGTTCCTCCGCGTCATCTTGCAGTTCACTGGGCCGAGCATGTCATCCGGCACGGCGGCGCTCCGCATCTCCAATCCGTCGGCGCCGAGCTCAACTTCTTCCAGTACTACTCGCTGGACGTGCTGGCCTTCCTGCTGGCCGTACTGCTGCTGGCGCTGAAGCTGCTGGTTGCCATGGTGAAGTGCTGCTGTCGATGTGTGTGCGGACGGAAGGCCAGTCAGGAGCCTCCGAAAGAAAAGTCCAAGGGCAAGCGTGCTAAGAGTGATTAGTGCCCTTGAAGTTTGTGCCTGGGTTTGCTACGTCGTGGCAGCAATTTGTGTCCTTGGATTTGTGCCTTTTACCGGTCAGAAATGACGCTGCCAGTTAATTGCGGAGAGTTGGATGGCTGAACGGGTGATTTGCCGATGATTGCTCGCTGTGTTCGTGCGCGTGTTCGGTTTTGTACCTGTGTGCTAATGCGGCGTTTTTGATTCGCGATTACTTTATTCCGTGTCTTATGTTCTTTCGCTTCAACTGCTGCTGGTGTAAAAAAATGCATTCGTGTGTGTTGTGCGTATTATCAGAATTAGACGATATAAACGTCACAGTGATTCTTTGTGGTCAGCTTTTTTCACGACTTTTTCACCGTCGAAAAAAATTAAACGTTACGTCTCGGTACCCATCGGGACGCGTAATTCTTTTTTCCACCCAAAGGAAGGCGCTATACGGAGAATATCCCATTGCGTCATCGAAAAGTGACTTACACCTCTCACCGCCCAGCTGGCTGCGTGGTGTAATGATGAGCACATTCGCCTCGTGATCTAATAACTAGGGTTCGATCCCCGCCGCCGGACGAACTTTTTGGCGCGTTGTAGGTTAGGTTGTAGGTTTGTAGGTTGTAGGTTTGTAGGTTGTAGGTCTGTAGGTTAGGTTGTAGGTTAGGTCGTAGGTTGTAGGTTTGTAGGTTGTAGGTTAGGTCAGGTGAGGTTAGGTTATGTTTGTTTTTGTTTGGTTTGTTTACCAAGAAGCATCTTCGGGGATAGCGCCTTCCTTTGGTTGGAAAAAAGAAACACGCCATCGGGACATCGGTGAGCGTTTGCAGCACCGATCGCAAGGTGGCGTTGGCATCTTTTGTGGGAACGACTAGATGGCGTCGCGACATAGTAGAACGGACATCAGGGCCTCGGCTGGACCAGGGAAATTCTGCTTCACACATTCGTAATGTAGATTGGGACAGATATACTGAATCTATTCGGGGACAAGCATGTCTCTAAAAGTTTTGCTTCACAACAATTAAACGTTTTGAATTAAAGTTTTCCCATAAATTTCGGTTTCGCCATTAACCCGCGCCCGGCTGGGGGTCCTGGATTTCCACGCCCTGCTGGGGGGGGGGGGGTGTTTGAACACCCCCCCTTCTAACTCGGCTCCTGGGCCACGTAGCGATACGCGGAAGGCGGCGTTCGAAAGAGCGTCAAAAATAATGAGGAAATCACTTCGGTCAATTTTTTTGCTCAGGTCAAAGGTCAGGTCACCAGAGGTCATTGAAGGCAAAATTTCGCCGATTTCCAGGTCGAATGTCGAAAATTTCCAAGAAGCCAACGCATAACTCGGGAACCAAAAGAGCTACAGCGCCGCGGAAAAGCGCATTCGATAGCCCTTTTAACGCCCTTTCTGAGCAATTTTCTCAGATTTGACCTAACGTCAACGGTTTTGCCTGCAGGGGGCAAAAACTGCAAAAATAGCCGATTTTTTTCGGAAACAGTTTTTCTGCAATAACTTTTGACCCAAGCCTTGTACGAGCTTACTTTTACCGGCATCGTGTTCCTCTCGTCAAGACGCATCGAATGAACTATAACTTGACCTTGAAAGGTCAACTTGAAAATTTGACCTCAGGTCAAGGTCATGACCTGACCGGAAAGGGTCATGTTGCATATCAGTCGATCCGTATCGTCGAGCTGAACACATCTAAGGCGTTTTTATCGCTCTAGCATGCCTCTATCAAAAGTTATTTGCGAAAAACTGTTAGATACCATTCGTGACCTAAGATGACCTCAGGGCATAAACAGGGGTCACGGACACCATTTTCATGTTCAGTGTGTCTAAACTACTTGTAATTCAGTGTTTGGGAGTGTTTATAATGTCTTTCGTCCAAAAGAGGCGCATTTCAATTTTCTCCCATTGACTTATAATGGGGAGGTCTCAAAATTGACCTGACCTTAGGTCAACGATATCAAAATTCTGAGATATACATTTTGTACATGCCATTGCTCTTAGCAATCGCTGAAAGTTTCAAAGCATTCAGTCACTCAGTGTAGCTATGACAGACATTGAAACTTTTTATGAGGTGAGGTCACTTCAAGTGACCTGGTGACCTGACCTTGAATGACCTTGGTCTGAAATTTTCACAACATGTGTAGAATTGATGTATGATAAGGTGTACCAAAAACGGCGGCGCTCCGCGCCGCCGTTTTTGAGATATTCGCGAAAAACCACAAGGGGGGGTGTTCAAACACCCCCCCCCCAGCAGGGCGCGGGTTAAGGTAGGTACCTACTAGGTATAGATTGAGCCATTTGGTCATTTATTAGGTCTGAGCAAACACCAGGCCACCAGAGATGATTGAAGGTCACATTCTCCAATATTGACGATCTTGAGCAATAAGCTTACAATTTGTGAGCGAATAAAGTTACAACGTCACAAACAAATCGATGGTGCGCCTACAACTGGCTCGCTAAGTCGCATTTGACGTAGAGTCGTCAACGGTGTGGTGGCTCCCTCACGTCCTAATGAAACAATCCTCACCCTCATGCAGCATTTAACTTTCATACAGTGTCAAAGTGGACGTTTCGGTGTACACAGTTTTTATAACCCCTCGCACCAAAAAATGCACGATTTCAATTTTGCCAACACCGTGTCTCTCAGTTCCTGATCCTCAGGGCTTCAGGCCAAACGAACCATACTTTAGGTCAAGGTCATGACCTGACCAACAATGGCCACGGTGCATAACAGTAGATCCGCTCTGTTGAACTGAACTCATTCGTGATACTTTCATCGCTTAAGTATTACTATTAAGGTTTTTTTTTTAGAAAATTGCAGCCTGCTGTTGACCTTTCCACCTACCTAACTTAGCATGACCCTTTTAAAAGGACCTATCAATCGTTCGCAATACTACGAGTATGTAGCCGCTATAACAGGGACGGATCTAGCCGATCTGTTTGTGGAGGGCAGAAGTTTCCGACCCATTCCGATCCATTCTGCGACCCGGACCCACCGCCGCACCGTTGACCAAGCGACTTTACAATGCCACACTACATCGGCAATTGGCATGCATTAACCCGCGCCCCACTGGGGTCTGTGTATAACACGCCCTACTGGGGGGGGGGGGGGCTATTCATAGCCCCCCCTCCTAACTCCGAAACTACTGGGCCGATCGTCAAAATTCAAACGGCGTCTGATAGCCCCGGAAAAACTGTCGAGCGAAACCTTATTTCATTGAGCTCGAGGTCACCGATGACGTCACAGGTCAGGTCAAAGTAAAAATTATTAGCACTTTGGCTTGTTCACATTTTGGGCTCTGGCCGCCGTCTTACAAGTCAGATCAGGCTCATTTTTGGTTTCCACACTCGTGAACAGATGCTCTAGATACCTTGAGGGTACCAAACTTGTACTTTGATTTTCAGGTCAGGGTCAGGTCATCACAGGTCACGAAAATATTATATCATGCGTCGGTCACGTGACACATGTTTTATGGTCCATTTAGGCCATAGATTTCGAATTTGATGTCGTCTGTGTCATTCAAGGTCATTTTGAGTCGAAATTAGCTTAGGTCAGGTCACTTTCAGGTCAAAAAGGGTCAAATTTTGAAATTGAAATTTTTCAACAAAAAAGGTGTCTATTGGATGCAGTTTGAGCTCAGGAACACGATGGTGCCATTTATGTTGGTGTACGATGCCAAATACGTACTGAAAAATTGATTTGAAAAATTAATAATTGTGAATTTTTTTGCAATAATGCGTATAACTTTGCCATTTTTGAAGATATTTAGCTAAAACTTGCTAGAGTTAGTCATAATCATGCGTTCTGTCACATATATTCCGGTTTTTTCGAAAAGTCAAAAACTTTTTGAAAAAAATATAAAAATATAAATTTTGAATATTATTATATAAAATTTTCAAAATTTTCTAAATTTTGAAAATCCGAGATAGCAGTTTGATAGCGCGGTCAATTTTGAGTCCTTTCATGCAAAGAAATTGGATCTAGCTTAAAAACTGAGCTCTTGGGAGCGATTGCCGTGGTTCAATGTTTTGCGTCGAAATCGGACGAACATGACGTCACTCTGACGTCATTTCCGGCCGACCTATGGTAGCTACGAAGTTCAAATTTTAACACAAGGTGTCAAATTGATGCAGCCGAAGCTACTGAAAGTTTGGCGTCGATTCGTCAAGCGGTTTGGAAGTTATTGCAGAAAAACGGGAGGGGGGGCTATAAATAGCCCCCCCCCCCCCAGTGGGGCGCGGGTTTAGTTCAGGGAGTTTCTTCTATTATCAGCACACCGACCTAAATCATCAGCAGCGAGCAGTCAGATCCTTCCTTCAGAATGGTCGCCACGGAAAATCCTACTTTTCGTCCAGCTAGGCATCGACACCGTATTAGATTTTCTATTTCTACATGCTTTGGGAGGGGCAAAGAATATTCTTGCCAACACGATTGAGCTCTGGGGAGGGCAATTGCCCATTTTCCCTCCCCTGTATCTGCCACTGGTCACATGTTAACCCTATTAGTGGCAGGCTCCTGGCTACCCCATATTAGTGGCAGGGGGGGGGGGCTGTTTACGACCCCCCTTGATATCTCGAGATCTAACCGGCCGATTTTCAAAATTCAAACGGCATTCGATTTGGCTCAACGAGATCTACATTTCTAAAAAAATAAGATTAAAAAAAATGTCGATAGGGGGGTAGAAGGGGGTAAAAACGGGCAAATTGCAGATACATTTTAGATTTTAGATACAAGATAGATTTTAGATGTTTATCACGGCCAGGTTTCTGAACCAATCTTAACGCAACTTTTGCCGATCGATAGAGAATGAACCCGGAATTCACATGGATCCTAAAAATATGCATTTTCAAAAATCATAGGCGGATACAGATCATTGAGATTGGGGGTACACAAAAAGTATAGTAAATAAGGTTTTTGTTGGTACTGTTTCTAAAAAGGGTGGCAATGGTGTTGTTATGTTACAATTTTCTTATGAGAGAACGACTAAAATTGTATTGGTCATGCATAGGCGGTGTCAGGGCACCTATGTTGGGAGGTAAAAAATAACCCCCCTTTTTGGACGCCTGGATCCGCCTATTATAGCAAAAACGTGTCAAAAGAGGATGCACAATAGCTTTGTATATGTTATCACATGATACCTTTCATTCACTGTTCGTAAAACTGGTGCAGCATCGTGATCTTCGCCCAAATGACTCGCTTCACGAATAGGACCCCCCAATGCCCAGTGCTCTGGAGCCGCCCCTGGTAAAGTTATGAACTTGAAATTTTCAGGGAATGTGCCCAATTTAGTTTTAGGAAAAGTTAGAAAATTTCAGCATCGTAGCTTCAGCGGTTTCGGAGATATTCCCGAAAAACCTGAGGGGTGGATAAAAACAACCCCCCCTGCCACTAATAGGGTTAAATATACCTAATTAAGAGCTCATAGGCACTTAATTGCAAAATAAGCCTGCCCAGTGCACTGCACAGAACACATTGATCGAAGGCGTCATACGCGTTTATTCACATAACCATAAAAACGCCGTACACATCACAGTGTGCTGCTGTGCACATCACAGTGTGCTGCTCTTACATATTGCAGTGTGCTGCTCGTGCGCACCACAGAGTGCTGCTCTTACACGCACATCACACAGGCCATTTCATTTGCCGTCAGTTAGAGACCAAAAGGAAAACCACCACCGCCGCCGCCGCCAAACTGGAACGGGTTCTGATTCAAACCTCCCAACCCCCCGAACAGGTTCTGTCCAAGCCCTTGAGCACCCTGACCTACTATGGACGTCAAACCCCTTGAGACCCCACTTTTTTGCGATAATTTTTAAATGCGTCAACTCTCGTTGACAATATTCTGGCAATGTGTGTTTCAGAACCTGCCGAAACTTTTATTACTAAGGTATTTTGACGCCAAACGATTATGAAAGGTACTTCTCATTCACTCGTAATGTTAAATTTCACGGAACGAATCTGCTGTTTGGGTAGAGGCTACGCGCTCACGGGGCGGAGCCACGTAATGACGTCAGCGCTAAGCTCCGCCCTACCCTGACCCCTCCGGCGCTCCTCGCCCGGCGACCGGTCACTCGCGTCTCGCGCTCCATTCAGGCTTGATGGTGTGCGGTAGCTGGTAGCGGTAGCGGGCGCTGGTAGATGGCATTTAGAGCAGATGGCGCTTGTGGCGGTGCTCGAGTGTGGCCGAGCGCATGCCTCTGCCCGGGCCTGAATTGACCTTAGCATTACGAGTGAATGAGAAGTACCTTCCATAATCGTTTGGCGTCAAAATACCTTAGTAATAAAAGTTTCGGCAGGTTCTGAAACATACATTGCCAGAATATTGTCAACGAAAGTTGACGCATTTAAAAATTATCGCAAAAAAGTGGGGTCTCAAGGGGTTTGACGTTCATAGTAGGCCGTGCACATTCTGACCCAGGCCATGGATGTTTCCGTTGAACGCATTCTGCCCCACGCCGGGCACCCCACCGTTAAATCCTCCTTGGCCCAGGTTGGAGAAAGCGGACTGTACGGGATTCTGTAGTTGATTTTGTAGGGGATTGTGCAGTTGTCCTTGTAGTTGATTCGGCAGCTGCCCCTGCAGCTGGTTCTGTAGGGGATTCTGAACACCCTGGTTCAGCAGGCCTCCCAGTGGGTTCTGACCGACGTTCTGCTGAAGACCACCACCGAGATTCTGCGGGAGGCCACCTCCGAGGTTCAGGCCTGGAATGTTCGGCAGGTGGGATACCTACATGAGGTGCCCATCCAGCCCGGAACAGGGGATGGGGGCGTGGAGGAGAAGGATTTGGCTATACCGAGGATGAAGAAACGACGGAACTGAGGTCATACTTCACCGCAACATTTTCCTAAACACTATACCTACCTACCTAAATAATTCTGATAGGTAATTAGAAACCAGGCGTTCGTCCATTCAAAACATCTCCGTACCCGCCCCAAACCTTGGCACAATCGGCAGTCTATTTACGCCCGTACTCGAGCCGGGCCCCCTATCGGTCGTCGTCGTCGCCCGTTTGAAGTGCTGTGACCTCGAGCGGGGTAGTTGAGAGGCGAGTCGCCGGGCCGACGGCCACCGTGACGCAGCAGAAAAGCGGCCGTTTGCGTGCTCTGCATCTGCCTGACGGCCGCAGTTGGCACCACCACCCAGCGTTGACCGGTGTACGGCGGTTGAACGCAGAAGTGCACCCTGCTGACGCCATCATGGTAAGTAGTTGACATTTCGGCGGGGAACGGGTCAACTCATGTGCCGTTGTCGTTGCTGTTGATACATGGTTGTCGTTGGTCAGTGTTTACTGTTTTACCTCATAAATGCACAATGCATGCCTTTTTAGCGGGTTCGGTTGGACTGTAGCGGGCCGTTTTGGGTACGGACGTTAGGTGTAAGTGGCACAACTCAATCGATTCATTGAAAATACAGCCTAATTACTGGTTTATTTGTGATATGGATCAATAATGTTCGAATTTATCAATAGCAATATTCATTGCCATGCCATGCCCATTTCTGAATTTACAGTTCAGCTTTTAAAATATTTGTTTGGGTGAAAAGATTTACACACAAGTTACAGCCGCAAAGCTCGCCAAACTAAGGTTATCGTACCGTAACGACTATGTAATAGCTCGGGAAATGATGACGTCAATAATTCTTTTCCCGTAATGTGACGAGTTAATGAACGTGCAGTGTGAGAGGATAAATCAGCAGCTACGCTTGGGTTGTGTCCCACGTATGTTTGATTTCTTCGATGACCGGACTCGCCTTGTAAAACGGACGCCGGTGAAAACAGGGCGCCGCAGGGCATATTAGTCACGTGATATTTGGAACTGCTCCCCCTCCGTGGGCCTTCTACATTCCAAACGTCACGTGTAAATTTCACGAACCTTGATCAGATCGCCCCAGGCGCCCTGTTTTCACCGTCGCCCGGTAAAACGGCATTATACGGCCAACCAATAGCATCTCTCCTCTCCTTATAGCGGGTAGACGGTTTGTCAAGGGGTGTGGCTTGGGCATGGCTGGTCACGTGTCTGCTGGCTAGTGGGATGAGCTTGGACAACGGCAAGGGGTGTGCTGGTCGCCGGAGGGTTGGTCGGTCACGTGTCCACTGACTGGTGGATGCCGGGAGGAGCTCGGACTGCGATAGTCGGATAAACTGAGGGTCAGCCACCCAACGATGTTGACCTTTGTACCCGGTGTGTCCGTTCACATATCGCTATGTTTGTTTAGCGAGCTGTTCACGATAGGCGGGGGGGGGGGGGAGGAGAGAAAGTGTGCTCGTACACAAGTCCAAAGTCATATCAGTGAATTGTGAAAAGGCAGAGTATCTACCTAGCTACATAAGCTACAATACCTACAAGAAATTGAATGTTATGTGCAGCATACCTATGTGCTGTTCTATTTTATCGGTACTAGATCGATGATCGATTGAAAAAAGCAATTGACAATGGTGCTGTTGCATTTTGTTCTGAAAGTAGGAAGAGGTACCCAGTGCCCAGTGATCTTAGACATTATGCTGTGTTTATACCCTTGCTGACGTTCGCTGGGGATTGAATGTGTTTTCGAATTCTGCTGGTAGTGTCCCGTTCTGATCATTGACCAGTTATGTACATTACAGACGTGGTTTGTTTTTCCCACAGGGTCCGTCTCGCTCCGTCAGTGTGGCGGTGCTGCTCCTCTGTCTGGTGATTGGCGGAGAGGCGGCCCGGATACTCATGCTGGTTCCCATGGGCGGAAAGTCGCAGAAGAACATCTTCTACGGCCTCGCCTCCGGTCTGGTGGAGCGAGGTCACGATGTCGTCTTCTTCAACGGCTTCAAGCCTTCCACTCCCGTCAAGGGCGTTCGCGAGGTCGTGCCCGACGAGCTGGCGAGGATCTTCTCCGATGAAAATCTGCCCAACATGTTTAAGATGAATGAACGTGGCATGCAAGCGGGTCTGAAGCAGTTCCAGACATTCTTTTCGGATGGACCTCGAGCGGCTTTGGAGAGCAAAGAACTTGACCAGCTTCTGAAAGAGAAGTTTGATCTAGTCGTGTTTGGTGTGTTCTCATACCCACTGTATTTTGTTGCACATGTCCTGAAGACCCCATTCATCATCCTAGCTCCGGTCTCCTACTTTCATATCCTCATGAGTCCGATGGGGAATCCGACTCTTCCGGCGATAATTCCAACACCATTTGTCATGAGCACGGATAAAATGACCTTCATGACGCGTGTGAAAAACGTCATGAGCCACTTCTTCTTGGATATTGTATTCCGGAGAGTATTTTCATTCTACAGCGACCGTCTGATCGCTGAGAAGTTCGGTCCCGGAGTGATGCCTCCTGTGCTCGACATAGAGAGAAACGCTAGTCTTCTGATGCTCAGCAGCAACCCAGCTATGGACTACCCGAAGGCCCTCCTTCCCAACACCATTGAGGTTGGAGGCATGCATTGTGCTGAGCCGAAGCCACTGCCAAAGGAGTTGACCAGCTTCCTCGGTGACTCGGAATTCATCTTCTTCAGTTTGGGCTCGGTAGTGAGACCCCAAGACATGTCTCCGGAGCAGAAGGCATCCATCCTCGCCGCACTCGGCAAGTTACCCTTCAAGGTTCTCCTCAAGTGGGACACAACGGACCGCGCTGGTCTGCCCGCCAACATCCTCCCCTCCAAGTGGCTTCCGCAGCAGGACATCATCGGCAGCAGCAAGTGCCGACTCTTCGTCACCCACGGCGGTTTCGGCAGTCTGGTGGAGTCTGTATGTCACGGTACACCCCTCCTTGTCCTCCCCGTAACTGGCGATCAGCAAGGCAATGCCATCACCGCCGAGAGACTCGGCATGGGCGAAACCCTCACCTGGGACCGTCTGAATGCCGACACCCTGAAAGCCTCCATCGAGTCGGCTATGTCTTCGGAACGCCTCGCAGCTGCGCGTTACCGACAACGTCTGATGAGGGAGCAGCCGGTTCCTCCGCGTCATCTTGCTGTTCACTGGGCCGAGCATGTCATCCGGCACGGCGGCGCACCACATCTCCAATCCGTCGGCGCCGAGCTCAACTTCTTCCAGTACTACTCGCTGGACGTGCTGGCCTTCCTGCTGGCCGTGCTGCTGCTGGCGCTGAAGCTGCTGGTTGCCATGGTGAAGTGCTGCTGTCGCTGTGTGTGCGGACGGAAGGCCAGTCAGGAGCCTCCGAAAGAGAAGTCCAAGGGCAAGCGTGCTAAGAGTGATTAGTGCCCTTGAAGTTTGTGCCTGGGCTTGTTACGTCGTGGCAGCAATTTGTGTCTTTGGATGTGTGCCTTTTGCCGGTCAGAAATGTCGCTGCCAGTGAATTACAGACAGTTGGATGGCTGGACGGGTGATTTGCCGATGATTGCTCAGTGTGTTCGTGCTTATGTTCGGTTTTGTACCCGTGTGCTAATGCGGCGTTTTTGATTCACGCTTGTCTTATTCCGTGTCTTAGGTATGCTCTTTCAACCTCGCTTCAACTGCTGCTGGTGTAAAAATTGCATTCGTGTGTGTTTTGCGTATTATCAGATTTAGACGATATAAACGTCACAGTGATTCTTTGCGGTCAGTTTTTTTTCACGACTTTTTCATCGTCGAAAAATTAAACGTTACGTCTCGGTACCCATCGGGACATCCGTGAGCGTTTGCAGCACCGATCGCAAGGTGGCGTTGGCATCTTTTGTGGGAACAACTAGATGGCGTCGCGACATAGTAGAACGGACATAAGGGCCTCGGCTGGACCAGGGAAATTCTGCCTCACACATTCGTAATGTAGATTTGGACAGATATACTGAATCTATTCGGGGACAAGCATGTCCCTAAAAGTTTTGCTTCACAACAATTAAACGTTTTGAATTAAAGTTTTCCAATAAATTTCGATTTCGCCATTTAGGTAGGTACCTACTAGGTAGGTAATTAGGTATAGATTGAGCCATTTGGTCATCTATTAGGTCTGAGCAAACACCAGGCCACCAGAGATGATTGAAGGTCACATTCTCCAATATGGACGATGTTGAGCAATAAGCTTACAATTTGTGCGCAAATTAAGTTACAACGTCACAAACAAATCGATGGTGCGTCTACAACTGGCTCGCTAAGTCGCATTTGACATAGAGCCGTCAACAGTGTGGTAGCCCCTTCACGTGCTAATGAAACAATCCAGCATTTAATCCACGCAACAATCCAGCTCTCATACAGTGTCAAAACGGATGTTTTGATGAATACCTACATTTTTTATAACCTCTCGCACCAAAAAATGCACGATTTTAATTTTGCCAGCACCGTGTCTCCCAGTTCTTGATCCTCGGTGATTCAGATCGGACAAACCATACTTTGACTTTAGGTCAAGGTCATGACCTGACCAACAATGGTCACAGTGCATAACAGTAGATCCGCTGTATTGTACTGAACTCATTCGTTATATTTCCATCGCTTAAGTATTACTATCTAGGTTTTTTTCGTAGAAAATTACAGCCTGCTGTTGACCTTACCTACAGAACCTATCATGACCTTTCTAAAAGAACCTATCAATCGCTCGCATTATGTAGTGCATGCTAACAGGGACGGATCTGGCCAATCTGTTTGTGGGGGGTAAAAATTTCCGACCCATTCGGCGACCAGGACCCACCGCCGCCCGGCGACCAAGCGGCTTTACAATGCCACACTACATCTGCATGCATTCAGTTCAGGGAGTTTCATCTATTATCTACCAGCCTAAACCATCAGCAGCGAGCGGTCAGATCCTTCCGTCAGCCGAATGGTCACCAGTCACCACGGAAAACCCTACTTTTCGTCCAGCTAGGCATCGAGATCGACACCGTATTAGACTTTCTATTTCTACATGCTCTGGGAGGGGCAAAGAATAGTCTTGCCCACACGATTGAGCTTTGGGGAGGGCAATTGCCCATTTTCTCTCCCCTGTATCTGCCACTGGTCACTTATGTTAAATATGCCTAATTAAGAGCTCATGGCACTTAATTGCAAAATAAGCCTGCCCGGTGCACAAAACACATTGATCGAAGGCGTCATACGCGTTTATTCACATAATAACCATAAAAACGCCGTACACATCACAGTGTGCTGCTCTTACATATTACAGTGTGCTGCTCGTGCACACCACAGAGTGCTGCTCTTACATGCACATCACACAGGCCATTTCATTTGCCGTCAGTTAGAGACCGAAAGGAAAACCGCCGCCGCCGCCGCCGCCAAACTGGAACGGGTTCTGATTCAAACCTCCCAACCCCCCGAACAGGTTCTGTCCAAGCCCTTGACCACCCTGTCCTAGGCCGTGCACATTCTGACCCAGGCCATGGATGTTTCCGTTGAACGCATTCTGCCCCACGCCGGGCACCCCACCGTTAAATCCTCCTTGGCCGAGGTTGGAGAAAGCGGACTGTAGGGGATTCTGTAGTTGATTTTGTAGGGGATTGTGCAGTTGTCCTTGCAGTTGATTCGGCAGCTGCCCCTGCAGCTGGTTCTGCAGGGGATTCTGAACACCCTGGTTCAGCAGGCCGCCCAGTGGGTTCTGACCGACGTTCTGCTGAAGACCACCGCCAAGGTTTTGCGGGAGGCCACCTCCGAGGTTCAGGCCTGGGATGTTCGGCAGCACACCCTTACCCCGGGTACGCTGTGAGCTCTGAACCCTCTTCAAGCTGCGCACCGTGCCTTTCCCGTTATTCTCTTCCACACTGTAAGCCACGTGATCCTTTTCGACCGAGTTCCCCTTGCTCCTGACACTGTCTACCGTACCGGATGCCACTCTTTGTTTCGCTCTTTCCGCTGCCTCTACCTTCTGTCGTTCCTTGTCCACAGGAACCAACTTCGTTTTTCCATCCACAGTGCTCAGCTCAAAGACCTCAGTTCTGCTTTTCGACGCCAATGTCTCCTTGGAAAGTTCGGGGATCTCGAAGGAGATCACTTTGCGCTTGTCTCCGTCACCGACCGGTGAAATGAGTTCGATTCTGGGCCGAGGGGTGCTGACCGTTGTGGGAGTAGTGGCAGGAGTGGTCGTGGTGGGTTGCGTAGTGGGTTGCGTGGTGGGAGCCGGTGTCGGAGGCGCAGGAGTCGTTGGGGGCTCGGTCCTACGTTCCACAATTCCGGGCACCACATAATAGGTCCTCTGTCTGTCATCATGCGGGTAGGACTGGACGGTTGGCATACTTTCAAATGAGACCTGTCCAGGGTAAGGCTGTGGATTAGCCATGCTGACAAAGTCTGTCCGACGGTCCCTGTCCTCCGATGGGAAGTAATGGGGCCGCTCCACACTGTCAAACGGCATCCGTTCGGGGTGTCGCTGAGCACCAGGAGCACTCACAAACGTTGGTCTCTCCTGTGCTGAGTAGTACCGGGTGCGATCTCCATGTTCCCTACCACTCACGGGCGCCCTTTCCGGATGGCGTGAGCTAGAGAACTCAGTCATATGTGGCCGACTGTCAAAAGGAACTGTGCCGTGTCTCCGGGTAGGACTGCTGGACATCGAAAACTCAGGGCTCTGGTGAGTATTTTCCGGTCCGAAATACTCCAGACCAGTGTCGTGGTGTGAGCGATCCGATCTATGAGAAGCGGGGGAGGAAAACTCATCCATGTACCGTCGCTGCTCAATGGAAGTGGGTCGCAGCTCCGGCATACGATGCTCGAAGTGGCTCCGGTCTCTGTGGTGTGGGTGGTTCTCATAAGAGGGCACCTCAGGGTGACTGCGTGAAACCTCTCGCTGAGGAACCAGTAGTCCACGATCGACGGATCTGTCTGGCGACGTGAACTCGGAAGTTGGCGATCGTTCGAAACCGAATTCGGTTCTGGACTGTCTCGTGTCTGTTGGGGCAAACTCCCGTCTGCGATGTTCGTCATGCACTGGCGTGAACTCTTCCCTGCGACGTTCGTTGTGCGTTGGGGTGTAATGTGCCGGAGGTCTGCGAGGCGGCTCTTCTCTGGGAGCTGATTCTCGTCCTCTGGATGTTCTGTCTGCAGGAATCAGGTCTGGTCCCTGGTAATCCCTGTCTCTGGGAGAAAACTCTGTCCTTCTCGAGTGCGAATCAAATGTCGGGAACTCTTCGCGAGCGGGCGACCCACTACCGTGACTGTACTGAAGCTCAGTCCTGTACTTTGTGCTTTCCTGCGGCGTAAGCTCAACCCTGCGCTGGTCACCCTCCGATGGTGTAAACTCAAGCTCCGTCCTAGTTCTGGCTCGATCGAGAGTGGTAAAGTCACTTCCATACGGTGTACCTCTGTCGGGTCTTTCTGTAGGAGCTTCCCTGAAAGAAGGAGGCTCACGACGCTGCTCTGGATGGCTTATTTCCCTCCTACGATGAACATTCTCTCTGAACTCCGGTGCGCTTCCGGTCTTTTTGAATCCAGTGAGCTCCGGCTCACGTGTCTCAGGCGGGGAGAACTCTGGACTGCTCTTCGGTCGCTCTCTCCGTTGTGGTCGCTCTCTTTGAGGCCGATCTGACGGATGCGGCGGAATATCCCGTGAAACGGGCTCTCTGCGGGAATGTTCGGCATACCCCGGCTTGGATCCGCTAGGTGCACTGTCATACGGCGATCCAAACTCCGCTCCCGGGGCTGGCGATCCAGTGGGTGGCTCGCTGGATGGGGGTGCTGGAGGTCTTCTTCGACGATCGGCACGACGACGTGGCTTCACGCCTCCTGGTGCGTCGCGGGGGCTCGGCGGGGGCTTCCTGCGCGGCTCCTTTGCCGAGGCAGCTGGTGGCGGGCCCCTTGGCTCAGCTGGAGCCGACGGTCCTGACGGTTCCCTTCTGGATGGCGATGGCGGCTTGGCCCTTGCGGAAGGGCCTGTCCGCGATGGCGGTGGACCTCCAGGCTGCGGTCCCTCAGGATTCGGAGGCGTTGGGCTCGGCTTCCTCGGTCTCTTGGGACGATTGGGCCGCCTCCTTCTCGGCTTTGGCGCTGGCGGGGGTCCACTTGACGGCGACGGCGGCGGAGATCTTGGCGGAGGCCGTGGGCTCTGCCGTCCACCACTCGGTCCACTCGGTGGCAGAGGGGACCTCGGTGGCGGCGGAGGTCGGCCATGGCCCGGCGAGCTAGGCGCCGTGTGTCGAGGAGGTGGCCGCGACATTGGAGGCCTGTGCGGCGGCGGCGGCGGCGGTGGAGCCTGTCGAGCTGGCTGTGGCTGATGGGCAGCTGGCAGCGGCTGCAGCGGAGGCTGCTGCGGTTGTGGCTGGTGAGCGGCCGTCGGACCCGGTAGTGCTAGGTAGGTACCCGCC